TCACATAAACTTAGATAAACAGTTCAATGAGAGTCTATACAAACCATTTGTTTGTCAATACTGAAGCAGACATCCCATGTGTATGACCAGAAGCCAATTCTCAGTCTACAGAGTGTGCTTATGTTAATTTTATATCTTCTCCATTTATGTTACTGTGATATCTGATGAGTTATAAATCATGCTATATTACAATAATGGTGTAACATAAAGCACAAAAGCCTGGATTTGAGGATTGTTTGTGTGAGTATCAGGCTTATGTGGATGAAAAGGGTCCAAACTGACGGTCAAGACTCACAAAACTTTCACTATACACAAAACATTAGAATATTTCACTGCCACCGACAGTATTTTCAACGGAGAAGTTCAACCCGACTCCAACTCTCTCTTAAACTCGTACTTTCCTTAGATGAAATTATGTCAGTGACACTCAACGAACTATACTACTGGAACGCGCGCTGGGCCTACAGATCCGAGCCGGAATCTGGGGTTGCGTCTGGGGTCTGCAGGCGCCAACTGGTGGCAAGAACACGGGCCGCGACACGGTATATGCACTACAATATTGCTCTCGCAGCACTTAAAATGCCATGTAGACTCTGAAATAGTCATATTTTATAATATATTTGTTTTTAAAAATGTTAATAACGGTTTTAATTAATGGTTTTCCTTTGTCATTTGGTATTCAGAATATTTATACAAAATATATTAAAACTTATAGATGTAACGTAACTGGTAACTTTCATATTGAGTTTGTAATTAGGACTAAGAATGTCTAAATATGTACCAGGTAAAATAATACAACAATTTGTTTTTAATAATTGTATTTTATTTTAAGAATAGCTTTACAACATTGTACAAACATGACGTAGTTAATCTACATGTTAGAAAACAAAATTAATTTTTGTCAACTTTTGTCTTATTCCTAACTTGGAATAATTAGTCATGTCCAAAGTTTTCTGTTTTGCTATGTGGTGAGATACAATTTTAAAAAATATTTGAGCCACAGATTTAATCAAAAATAGTTCGTGGCTTCCAGTAAATTCATCATTACTCAAGTGCCCTTTGAAAACAGTACATGTGAAGTTGTTACACACTCTCATGGTTAAATCACTAGTGGTAGCCTTTGTTTCTGTTAATTTGAGTAAATAAGCATATTTTACAATCTTAAATACATCGTCACTTGCCCTAATTAGTTTGCCTTTAGATTTAAAATCAGTAAACCTTGTGTGTGATTTAAGGTCGGAATCACCGGTATGGAGTAGAGAGCTACATTCGTTGCATTTTATGTTCTTTTCTATACGCCTTACAATGACGCCACAAATGTAGTATAAAATTTCATCCTTATAACTAGAATGATCATAACTTTCCATGGCGTACATTGCCTTATCAATTTCACTATCGTCCTCTATGGGCAAATCACACTTGTCATGACCCAACTGTAGAAGGCCGAGGTGTGAGCTTGGGTCAAACTCAACGCAGTTAGCGTTTTCAGAAGCCCTAACACTGTTGCGGAACATAAGTTGCCTAACCGCCCAAGTGAACTGTTTGGTGTTGGGATTGTCGTTATTCCCACCCCTACTTCTAACACAGGAAAAAAATAATTCCAAATGGTCTTGACTTAACTTATAGGCTAACAAATAGCTAAAGTCATCTAAAGCTAACAACCTCTCTCTTAAAATACGTATACTCTTAATGTTACTTAAAAATCCTAGAGCAAATGTCTTTCTAGCATGATCTAAAATTGGCTTATTCTCAATTTCAAGTTTTGACAAGTACTGCTCTGCTTTATTAAGCATTTCATCATCTTTCCCTTGATTTTCCAATTTTATGGGGCCTTTGAACCCTCTTCCGTAAGGATCCCTGCTGTTTAAAAAATCAAAGAGGTCATTTATCACTCTTATAAACTCTACTGTTGGTAAACAGTTTATAAAATCAGGATGTTGATTCACACACAAATATTCTAAAGCGTCCGCTACGCTGGAACTTAATGTTTGTCCTGCAACTTTAACATTCATTTTTCGGTTTCTATAGAAAACATGTTTGTCAGACAATTTGTTACACATTTTTAACCCCAATTTTTTCTGTAAGTTGTTCAGCTCTTCAATATACTTGAAACAAATACTACCCGACTCAGATGTTATAACTTTCATGTCTGCTAGAGCATTTCGGGCAAGTTTTAACATATGTGGAGGATCTAAAATAGCACATATATTATAGGTGATGGGATCAAGTTTAAAAAATGGTGTGTCAGGAAATTTACAGCCTAAATGTTTCAAAGCACTTACGTTTGTGCTTGTTCCGTCAAAGGTCACACTTTGGACATTCACACCAACTTCATTCAGTTTCAGTACTGCCACTTTAATCAGCTGAGACAGTAAAATTGAAGAAGTTTTATTTACAAAAAAATAACCAACAACACACTTAAAATTGCCTCTAAGTGAAACTATTTGGAAAACTAAAGCTTCTGTAGCAATTTCTTCCTCATTATCTATTTTAAACCCTCCAATATCTACATATCCCACGTTTTTCCCCAACTTCTCATCATAAATTATTTGTTTTCTAATGCTCATTGAGTCGAATACTAAACTTACGTTTCGCAAGTGTTTCTGGTCTTTTGCATTATTTTGTAAATAAATAAACACTTCTTCCAAAAACCCAGGTCTACAATTAAACTTTGAGATCCATTTTCTTAGTGTGGCAGGATTAGGTAATATTAAATTGGATGCCCTCAAATATCTGTAAGCCTTGGGCGAATAAAAGTACAGTGTTAGTGCAAACTCTTTTACTTTTTCTGAAAACGTATGTTTATTCTTACTGATATCTTTGTTTTTGAGATTACTTAATAATAATTCAAGAGGAAACCCTGTAAAATTGTTTTCTAAAATTTCAATCAATGTCTCTGGCGCTTTTAATTTATTTTGTAAAACTGAAATTAAACCTTTCATTGACCTTATTTTACATTCCCTTCTTTTTAATTTTTGCTGCAGAATTTTCACTTTTCGGCGTAAGTGCACTTTGGTGGGAGATGGGAGATTGGCCGCATTCAGTGGTGATTGAGAAAGATCTTGTTCCACCGTCGGTGCAATCTGCAAAACAATAATGCATTGTAATTTTTACGGGGAATTATATGCATAAGACCAGGACTTTTTATCTATAAATCAATTAGGCATTAATAAAAATTATAACTGCCTTCAGGCCTTTCAAGACTAAACTCTATTAAATATATATCAACCAACGAACCATACTACTTACCTACTACCTAACAAACTGTAGTACAGTTCGTTGATATCAACAAATCAAACACCATTCAATACATTTAAACCAACGAACTATACTAGATACTGTATACTACTATACTATACAATACTGTATACTATAGTAATAGTATATAGTAACTAATTACTATACTGTAGTATAGTGCGTTGTTTTAAACGAAGGAGGCATTCCATCAATAACTATAGCCTACATTAATTTCAAGTTTCAAAAATGTCTTTCTGTGCTATAAAAATAGTTTGTTTACTTTAAAAACTTACCGATGAAATAGACGTGCCAGGTTTACATTGCAGATCATGGGGTAACTCAACGGGTAATTCCTGTCTGAGTAGTATTCTTCTCTGTTTTGGAGGTCGTTGTTGTAAATAAGATGGAAAATCAAAAACTGTAGGAATTGCTTCATTTTTGAGTCTTCTTAATTTAGTGTTTGGCAAAATTAAATGATAATCAACTTGTGTGAAATGTTTGCTGCATAAAAAGCTATAATTTGTGGGCTTGAAATTTTTCCTCTTTGTCGCAGTTATCCACTTTTTTAGAAGATTTTCATCATGCAATGGGAATCTAAAACAAAAATATACATCACATTAAATACAGGTAGCTTAAAATAACAAAGGTTCAAGCAGGACGTTCATTAGATTATGTTTGTTTAGTTCAGTACTGGTTTGAGTTAATAAAGGATATAAAAAATCATTAACTAGAAGACCAACATCAATAGTTTTGATCATTATGCACTACCTGGCCATGTTTTTATTTCACTCTAAAAATATTAGTTTAAAAAATATGAAATGCAGGCCTAATAATTTTATACCAAGCAAACATTACTTCGTGAAATATTGACTAAATTCGTGGACGTTAACCAAGTTAGCTTATTAACAGGCTGAAGAATTTACGTAGGCTACTTACAACTTTTAGATTATGAGGGCTATACAAATATGTAATAACATTGGTCAAAAGCATACTAATTAGATATTGCTTAATCTGTTAGGGATTCAGCATGCAATACAGTGAGGACTTACCTGTGAAAAGAAATGTCACTGTCTTTGGTCCATCTTGACGTACAATTGTACGCAGCGCAACTTTTAACCATTTTACAAAACAAAACAACATCACAAACAATAAATACTTCTTGTGTTGTATGGAGCAGACGTACAGAACTGAATACGAAGTACAGAGAATAACCTATAACTTTTCCCGCCAATTAGTGTTGCGACGTAAAAAGGCGGGAAGGCAAAAGGCGGGAAAGTAGTCTCGACGTATTCTTGCCACCAGTTAGCGCCTGCGCGGCCCTGGATGCAAACGCAACACACCGCTGCATGCGCTCGGAAACTACAACATGCGGCTTATGGGCAGCGCGCGTTCCAGTAGTATAGTTCGTTGGTGACACTAGAATATCCTTTTTAATTTGTGTTGACTGTAAAGTTTTGGGTTTCTTGTGCCTTTCTAGACCTTGTTTTATTCAGGTAAACCTGCTTTCTTTACAAAATACTATAATAAACCGTCCTTACAGTTTTGCTTGGTTGAAATCAGCATACTCTGCCAATCCAATTTAATTGTATTCATTTTTACTCTGAAAGTGGCTACTGTAACTTGCAAATGGGATGTCTAGCTCTATCAACAATAACAGACAAGCCACAGTACGTGGTTCACATCCCCTTGCATGCGTTGTATGTGTGACGGGTGGTGTCAGGTACAGTTGTAACACTGTTTGATGATGTTTGACTGCCGAGAAGGGCCTGGAGATCCCGATCTACATATGGTACGACAGTTACCCAACCCACAGCGGCGAGGGGTACGAAGGTCGGGTGTCGAGAGTGTCACCGGACTCTCCCTACGGCCTCGCCTCGCTCAACCTGACCAACATCCGTGAGAGCGACCAGGGCTGGTACGAGTGTAAGGTGGTGTTCCTCAACCGCTCGCCCAACTCACACAAGAACGGGACGTGGTTCCATCTCGACGTACATGGTGAGTTCCACTTTGACGTCATAGGACGCTAGCCCACAATTGTTATACATTACTTTTTAGGTTAGACCTAGGTAGGGGCATTAGATAAAATCCATTGATGATTGTCTTACAATGCATACTCTTCGAGCTTGCGAAATCCTTTTTGAGATAATTCATAATAAATTATTTGTTACACTACATGTAGGAGACAATGCAACAATGTATATCAGCTGATCCGCAATGAAGTAGAGGATACAGGGATACCAACTTATGCAGCTGTTTTGTCCTTAAACCACTCTTGTTGCCTGTAATTTGTGTTGGGTTTTTTAAAAAAGCACTCAGTATCAAACATATTTTAAGCTCAAATTAACAAAACGTCAGATTATTTAATAAAAATCTGAAGGAATCATGTTTCTAGAGTAAAACACAAACTCAAAGTTTTTAAATGTAAGCAGGACATCTGCCACTATTCTTTCACACTTTATCAATCCATGTAAATATTTTACCACAATACATGTTTGTCACTTTGATAAATATAACCTTAAACAGGTGTAATGATGCGAAATATACGCCCAAACATTGTTATAATGATGATTGATATTTGATTGGTCGATGTAAATGAGGCATCAGTTTTGTTTACACTTTGATCAACTGATGAGGAATTATCTGTGTCAACAGATCGTTACTATTTGCCCACATTAATATTCCTCTATGGTTGTTGATTTTATGTTATATTTTGTATTACATAAAGTTAATTAATTCTACTACAATTTTGTCTAAATATATTACCAGAATAAACTACACATTTGTAGAAATTCTAACTGTAATTGCTCCAAGTTGTAACGTAATTGAACGTGAAATAGCTAAATGTTTCATGTGAACTAAAGCTTGATAGATTGCCCAAGTTTTGTGAAGCATAAGTGTTTCAGCTTGCACTAGTGACATTTCTTGCGAAACTTGTAACTCTGTCAGACAGAAAGTTTGTACAGTGCCTCATCAGTGTTGCACTAATTCCATGTTTTCAACAATTAATGGTTGTTTTATGATAAAGGAGTGTTAAAGTAATTGTAGGACATCTAGTTCACATACTACTTTAAACTGTCTTAAGACACGGTTATACTGTCTTAAAATGTTTCAAACTACTAAAGTTATTAAAAATCTCCATAACTTTAAAGGGTTGTTTTTTTTTTTTTTTTTTTAATAAAACCCCCATTAAAATAGAGGTACAACTGGTTTACTCTTGGAGTGTCGCTGGTCATGGTGGGCTGGTGTGGTGGTGTGGGTTAGTCATTTGGTTCTAAAGCCTAATACCACCACTCATTATGTGGTTTATTTAAGTTATAACATTAATCCCGAATTAATGTGGTTAATTAATGTGGTTTGAAGTTTAAAGCTTGAGTTGAAGATCTCTGGTAATTTTTTTTTTAAATAACATGTATCTCACAGGATTTTAAATCTGTATTAGAGAATGGCCGTAACTAAAAGTGAAATGATAAGAAACACTTAAATTTAAGTAGGCCTTAGAATCATTCCCAAAGGTTAGAAGAGAAATGCTGAGAAAAATAAGTCAAAGTGCTTTTAGCAAATTTCCCACACAGGGAATATTCTATTTTATTTCAACTGATTGTTTTGATAAGTGTAAACATTGAACATATGTCTCTGGTTGTATGATTATCTCAGAATAATATCTTTGATTAGGAAGAGTAGCAGACATTTCATTCTCATGTATAAGTTTAAGCCAGTTTTAGATTGAAGTCACCATTGAAGTTGCTGCTACCAATTACTGATTTCTATCATATAACACAGACTTTTGAACTATTGTATACTTTTTCCCACATCAATTTTCAAAGTATAAAAAACGGTAACTCACACAAGTGTTCTATTGGTTATTTGCAAGAGAAATCGAATACAATTTTTAATTTAGATGGAGTGACTACCCTAGTATCTAAAAGTCAATGTTAGTAGATTATGTCTTATCAAATTTACATTACTTGGAAAACAAATGTTTACAGATACATTTGCTCTTCAAAATTTTATTTTATTAAAAATTAAAATCTTTTCCAGCCCCACCCAGATTTAGCGTTACACCCGAAGACATAATCTACGTGAATTTGGGGGATGCCATCATTCTCAACTGCCAAGCGGAAGGCACTCCCACACCCGAAATTCTATGGTGAGTAGTTGTTAATTTTTGTTTCATTACATTTTTTATTTATATATTTCTTAGGAATTAATATTAATTCCTTTAAATAATTATTCTAATTATCAAAGATCTTGTTATCGAGGTTCGACTAATATTTTTCACATGACATTGGCAATGCAGGTACAAAGATGCCAACCCGGTCGAGCCGTCGGCCACAATCGGCATTTTCAACGACGGCACAGAGCTCAGAATCGCCAACATAAGACACGAAGACATCGGAGATTACACTTGCATCGCTCGCAACGGCGAGGGACAGATCAGTCACACTGCGAGAGTCATCATTGCGGGTGAGTCATCGTTCGATGATAATGGATTCCACAGACACGAATTACTGTGTGTGTGTGATTGTTGACAGAATGTTTAGTGTATTGCTTTACCTGTCCATTTTATAGTTTTGTTTCTAATTGCAGACAAGACAACTAAATGGTGTTATTGCCTGTTGTCTTTTGAATGTTCTTCCCCTTGCCATTTCTCTTGACAGTTATTTATGGTTGTAGTAACACTTAGAAATATGATTTTGTTTGTAGGGTCACAATCAGTTTGTTCTAGGGTTCTTGTAAGGTTAAATTAATTAATAATTAAGTTTTAATTTAATTCTTCATTGTGTTTTAAAATGATTCAAAAATTTGAATATGTTGAAAGATAGAATGATATTTTGGAACATTGGAAAAATTTTCAAGGGTTTATTTCACTAAATAAACCGATTCTAATTATTTTTTTTAATAATTTATAAATTTTATTCGTATAAAATTCTTAAAGGTATGTGTACGTACAAGGATGATTTTTATATTTATGTGACAGGAGGTGCAGTGATCATGGTGCCTCCGACCAACCAGACAAGACAGGAGGGAGAGAAGGTACAGTTCTCTTGTGAAGCTAAGGCTCTGCCAGGCAACGTGACAGTGAGATGGACCAGAGACGGAACTGCAGTGAAAGAGATTGCCGCTCTGGAAACACGAGTAACCATCAGGCGAGACGGCAGCCTAGTCATCAACCCGGTCAGTCCTAGTTTTAAGCAAATTTCCCACATTGGATAAGCTATTACTGTAGGTCTCATGGTAAGACCCGGACCCGGGAACAAATTATTATGGTCCCTGGAAGCAGAAACACTATGCTTTTAATGTGTGTTCCGTCCGTTAGCACAATAGTTTGTGTGAATATTATCGAATTTAATGAATTTAGTACAAACGTGTAAACATGTGCTTATTCAAATGAGTTCATGAACCAGCATGATCAGACTATGAGATCAGGGTTTTATGAAGTAAAAATTCGTTTTTCTCATTTTTTACCCTCAAAACTTAATTTTTTGCAATTTGTTTCCGAACCATTTTGTAAGCATGAAATAGATAAATAGTTCAGTATATTGAAATGTTGTTGCACGCTTAATAATTACAAAGTAAATTCCAAAAAAGTTGAAAATTTCAAATTCTCATTTTATTTTAATGTTTAATAAGTAAACTCTTGGAATATTGGATTAAAGTGTTTTCTTAAATGTCTTATATTCAGTTCTTGAGAGATAACTTATTCAGTCCATTTACTTAAATGACAAGAAAACAGACAGATTTAAATTTATAAAACTATGTGTTCGTGATAAGACAGATTTAAATTTACAAAATTATGTGTTCAAGATAAAAATGTATGTGAGATATAACCAAAGCTAAAGAATAGTTTTTAAGATATTTGTGCTTTATTAATGTATTATATCCTGATAACCTACAAGTTAACTTATTGCAATAATTTGATGTTTAGGTAAGTGCTGATGACTCGGGCCAGTACCAATGTGAAGTGACAAATGGCATCGGAGAACCGCAGAGTGCCTCCGCATATCTTAGCGTTGAATGTGAGTAACTTGTATGTATTCAGTAAATTTTACAGAGTGTCCCACATAGAGGTTCAGAGTTCAGACATTGTATCACTAGTCCATCTGTGCACCAAATACTTTGAAACTCATAGAAGAGTGGGAAAATTCTAAGTTTCACAACATTTGTCTATTTTCAGACCCAGCTAAGGTGACGTTCACCCCCACCATACAGTATCTACCCTTCAGACTAGCAGGGGTGGTTCAATGCTACATCAAATCTAACCCTCCACTGCAGTGAGTTCACTTTACTTAATCTTATCATAATAACTATGATTATAATTTGGCTCGCGATGAGGATAGCAACGTAATCATGTTTGGCTGTTTTAAAGATTTATCTTGGATACCATTTTCATTTTATTTTTATTGCGTTCTTTTGTTTGTCCTTACTTTCAGTTTTAGTTTCCTCATCCTTGTCACCAATTTAGCAGCTCCAATTCCTCAAGTGTAATGATAGGATTTTCCCATCCTAATCATTCCATAAATGACTTGGTCTTGCTGTTCCACAGTTTTTCTGTTCACAACCTATCTGCTTATCCTGGATATTAAAGATAACTTACTAATAAAATAAAAAAAAAAATACTATACTTTTCTTTCTTATTGTACTTATTACTGCTTGTTCTACTTCTTTATAGACTGTTTGATTTTATGCCAATATCCAGTGTCCGTTTTCTTGTTGTTTTTTTTTATGGCCCCTTTTTATATTGTTTAATGTACCGTCTTTGATGTACCATTTATTTTGTGGTTTTCCAATTCTTCTCTTTCTACACTAGTTTCTCTCTCAAGCAAGATTTAAATAAACCATTTTACTCACCGGTCCATACTAAATGTATTTTTTTTACTGTTTTCTCTCATCCAAATCCTTAATGTACATGTTATCTTAGTTTCATCAAGTTCGACCTTGTCATAGGTACGTGACTTGGACCAAAGACAAGAGACTTTTGGAACCTTACCAGACCAAAGACATTGTCATCATGAACAACGGGTCCCTGCTGTTCACTAGGGTAAGTTTCACCACTTTTCATCTTCAAACCAATTTTAATTGGCTAGTAATATATTTGTTGAAGGTATAGAGTTCACCTAGCTTACCTGAGAAGATTAATTCCAGGGACTAATAGATGCTCAATAGAACATGAAAGTGTTTTACAATTATGTTGAATGTTTGCAGGTCAACCAGAACCACCAAGGCAGGTACACGTGTACGCCGTACAACGCTCACGGCACGCAAGGCTCCTCTGGTCACATGGAGGTGTTGGTGAGGAAGCCACCTGTGTTCACATTAGAGCCGGAGCCGTTGTATCAACGTAAGGTGGGCGAGACTGTGGAGATGCACTGTGACGCACAAGAGGCCGAGGGAACGCAGAAACCCAACATTCAGTGGCAGAGGGTGAGTCTGGGAATCATACGTCAATTTGATGACTGGTGAAAATCTGTGGATTAGGAATGGGAACTGAAAATTAGGAATAATTGCTGATAGACTAAGGTTCAGCAATGTTTATTTGACAATTTTCCATCATCTAAGAACCCTTTTTCTAATCCGCTCTTGAAGCTAGTTACATGTCCCCAACTCAGCAAATCTGTGAAGTGTCAAAGTTAAAGTAAATGAAATGTATAAGTAGTGCTTTCTAATTTTCTTACTTGTCCTCAAAGTGTACATGTGGAAGTAGGTTATCTTTCTGAGTTATCTTTAGTCGGCAATGAAAATGAACAGTTCTAAAATGCATGCCTTAAGGGAAAGCTATTTGACTAGTCAGGATTTTTTTGAAAAGGAAGTTCAGCAATTAAAAGATTGTTAGAGTAATAATTAAAAGTGTGTCAAGTGACCCCAGAAAAATACATGAGTTACTAGATTTATAAATACAGCTGACTAATTCCAAGTTAAGTGTTTGGGAGCATCGCCCTAACATGAGTTGTATGTTTGCCTACAGAGAGACAGTCAGCCGTTGCCTCGCAATAGAGTGAGGATAACTGGAGGGAACATCACATTAGAGGGGCTGCGGCGGACTGACTTTGGCTTCTACCAGTGTGTGGCCAGCAACGAGGTCAGTTGACGATTTGTCTGTAGTTTATACAGTACATTCCGCTATTCCAAACAAACTGGAACCAAACTCTTTGTGGATTATCGGGAATTCACAATAAGCAGATTTCTTCAAGAAAATCAACATATCGATGGTGACATTGTCGCGGAAATAACTTTTGGGTCAAAGCCTGGTCAGGTCGAGCCGACCTTTTATTTTTGCAATCATATAAATTGTCTGTAATGATGCGTGATCGAAAATTTAAGATTTCACTGCAATTTTAGAAGATGTTCTTGATTTTGTTGTGACCATAGATGTTCTCGATTATGCAATGAGCGCAGAAGAGGTTAACAATTTTTCCCAGAGGAAGATGTTCTAGAATTCACTGCAATTTGGGGGGAATCTGTGTATAGTATTATTTACAAACGGATTACAGTATTACAATATATTTTTTTAACAATCAATACTTTTCAACACAATCTCATTTTGCACTGACACCAATTTAAAGTAAAAAACGCTGGCACATAGTTTACTGAATTTATCACTGACTTTTCCCCTCAGGTGGCAACAATAGTGACGGCTACACAGCTAGTGGTGGAAGGCACACAGCCTCATGCGCCATACAATGTGACAGGCAATGCTAGTGAGTTCAGTGTCACACTGCAATGGCTGCCTGGGTACAGCGGAGGTCCGGACTACAAACAGGACTACACTATCTGGTCAGTTGAAGCAGCTCATTGTAAAAGAGATGCTCTTGATTTCGCTGCTATTGCAGAAGATGATGATGTCTTCTTGATAACAAAAGTGCCTTAATAAAATATTACAATCACAGAACAGTGCACTGAAGGCTGAAAATAAATTTTTAAGTCATCATTACCATTTCCAAAAATGTTTACCCAAAATTTTTAAACACATCAAACACCTCACGGAAGAAAATCTTGTTCCTGGTTCAAAAATCAGGTTGGAAATTAAAATCCCAAACTAACAGTATCTTGTCCATCAATAATTGCATTGTGAAAGTTGATGAAATCAAATTGATTTGATAAATAATTTAATTGATTATGGGTTATTATTGATGATTTACTGCTTGACTTGACACATTTGTCATTTTGTGCTGTAGGTATCGTGAGGCTGGAGTGTCAGACTGGTCCACTATCCCGGTCACTCCTTCAGGAAGCACTCAAGTGACCATCAACCGGCTCACTCCCGGAACAACATACGAGTTCCAGGTCATCGGGAAGAACGCTCTCGGCGACGGGATGCTGAGCAAAGTTATCACTATCAGAACACTTGGTCAGTGAGGGATGCAATCAGTCAGTCATTGTGTTGAGTCTAAAGTTTCTGAGTTAAACCTGATAATTAGGTGGCTTACGGCTTGTGTGAGCTAAGTTTCATTGAGGCAAGATTGGACAGTGTCCATGCAGAGGTTGGTTAATCTAAAGGGATTGTTAAACTTTTTTAATGAAAACTATTTGCACATCAACTTATTTTTGAAAGATTTTGATGCATTTTTTTATACATGTGAGAAAGTTTTTTGTTAATAATTTAAATTCCAGTTACTGCAATGAACACATTGTTGTGATAAATTAATTAAACACAAATAATATTGTTTTATGAAAATAAAATATTAGAACTATGATTTCTAGATTGACTTGATCTACGTTTTGTACCTCCCAAATTAAGAGTTAAGGTTTTTTTTAAACTTGATCTTGTCAAATTAGTAGCTATAATGTGTTTTTAAGTGCAATTAATCAAAACTTGGTTTAAGTACTTGTAAATGTACAGAAATACATCTCTTAAGGCACTTATAGATTAGTTAAAGTATCCTGACTAATACAATGGTGTAATAGATAGAAGTGTTGCACTAAAGGGCTTTTTAGACACTATACTTGTGGATCTAATACTTTTTGTATGTCAAGAAGTTGTATGTTTGAAAACATTTATATTTATAACATACTCCATTATGCAATATTATATTTTAAAGATCATATGTTGGCTTTTTTGCCAACATGAAAATCCATGGGTATTATTACTTTTTGATCAACAAGTAATATGTGGTTAAAATTAATGATAAAAAGAGCCCTTTAATGTATGTATAACCTATAGTCAATTGTATACCTTAGTCAATGTGTACACAAAATCTGAGATAATCAGACTTTAAGAAGAAATTCACTTATAAATTGAATTATACAGCCAAATCAGAATATTTTTTTTTTAACTGCTTATCGTCAACTGCACTTGCTGACTTGTTAGCACTATGGCTATTTCGGAAGTGAGTCAGGTAGCAGTTTTTATATATTTTTTTATTTATTAATTTATTTTACTCACTTAATATGAGGTTTTACAGTTTACTGTAGACAGCCTACTTTAGTGTATGCAACAGATTATAAAGTCAACTCAGAAGTGGTCATAGTGCATTTCAACTTATTCTATTATAGGCTACATTTTTTGTTTGTAATGGCCAAATAAATTATTTGCTTTGAACTAGTTTTGTCTCGTCAGGAAGTCATCATTTAACGCCTAAAAATAGCTTCCTGACCATTCAAAACTGCTACAACCTAAAATAAAAAAGTTCTGATTTTGTCAGTTTTGTGTACACATCTTTAGTTGCCATCGCCTTGCTCTGCTGTCTTCTTCATTTCTTGGTGGTTTGTTGCGTACAGATGCCAAGACGGCTTCAGACCCAAAACCTCAACCGACTGGAGACAAGCCCAAAAACCCTGATAACCCTTTCAAACCTCCCCCTGGTAAGAGAGGGGCTTAGCCTTCCTGTATGTGTCTGCGGTTTTTGACTTTTGACCTTGGCATGCTTGAAATATTTTTGTACTTTTTTAAAAATTAGAAACAATTTTCTGTTTGTTTTTGTTTTTTTATGTATCATGTTATTGGTCGGTAAGCTAAAACTGTAAATCAACAAAAAAATGAAGGTTTTGTGATTTGACTATAAGTTTTGAAAACAGATAGTCATTTTCAATATATTCCCTATCTTCAAGCTTAAGTTGATTATTTACTAAATATCTCTTTTTGGCCAACATATTGGGCATTTTGAAAACTGTTTTTGAATTAGTTTTATGTACCAAACAGGTGTTTTGTTTAAAAAGATCTTTGATTACTGGATTTTAATTTATAGGTTCGTTGGTTGACAAAAATTAACATTTTTGTGGGTTACTTAAATATGTCACTGGTACATTTTATTTTACTATTTCAATAACTTTCGGTCTTCATTTTATCTTGTGGCAGTGACTAAATAATATTTAAGTAAAACTAAATATAACTGAACATTCTTACTTAAGGTTTGGTAAGTACTTAGTAGTGCAAAACCTGCATGTTTTTATGGGTGGTCGCATGAGTTGGATTAACTTTAGCACAACAAATTGGTGGTGGATTTCCTTTTTACCTTCTGTTAGTTTTGTTGTTACTAACTGCAAAAAAACTCGTCTGCAGACATTTTAGAAGTTGTATGCAGTAAAGTATTGGTGAGTACACCTTATTTTGCGGGATTTATTCTATAATGTACATACCCTTTTGAATGAAACGTGTTTTAAATTTAGTTATCTATACTGATTCTCTTTAGGTGGTTTGGGTTTGTATTTATATTTAGGCCTAATGTGAGCAATTCAAAATTAATTGTCCTAACTCCGGAAAAGATTATTCATTTTGTACTAATTGGATTCGTCACTGTAAATAGTTCAACATGATTAGGAGATGAAAAATGTCATGAACATTTCATCATTTGTACTCCTCATCCTTAAAATATTCGTGTCAGCCTTTAGACAAAAAATTAAAAAAATATATGTCACTAAATTTAAAGCAGGAATAATTGTTGTTAAAATATTGACAGAATGACGATTTAAATTATTTTATATACAAACTTATTGAAATTGACATCTGTAAAATGCTCTCTTATACATATTGCCTTAGTTATTTTTTTTAGGAGATTATGGATACCCTCACAAATATTTAATCAGTTTCATTTATCATCCGTTTATTTACTTTAATGATTTATAAATGTTAAAGAGCCAAAGGGTTACCAAAATCACAAAATTGGAATCACGTTCAAGGTATTAACACGGTTGTTTTAATACAAAAAATTACTCAGAAAGAGAGCTGATCTAGTGGTAGAGCGTGGGACTTCAGTCCCCCAGGTCTTCGGTTAAAATCCCCCCAATCACCAATTGGTTGGATTTAAGTGATAATGCTGCACCCCGCTCTAGGCATAGCCTGAAGTAATGTGGAAAAACAATTCCGGTCTAGAACCTAGAAAAAAAACCAAAATTGTGCTGTAAGTACTAATATTACATTCAAATCGTCTTCTGTTAAACTTTCTCTCAGATCGTTTTATTTAAAATTTTCATAAATTTCTACATATACAAAATTCACTACTGATATTTAGTTTGCTTTTGCACTATAGAATAGTCAGTGCACAGTTCACAGTTTTCATCTTGCACAACTTTTGCTTTCTGCACGGTTTACTTCTTCACGTAATTCTGTTTTCGTTTCCCGGCACCTTTTTGTTTGCTCGATGGATGTTGTCATTTTATGTTTGTTTGCAGACGTGTTAAGTTCTAGTGTCGTTTTCCCAACTGATTCAACGGGTTCTACGATCTTTCCCCCTATCTTTAGATCTAAAGGTACGTCCCATCAAACCCCGTTTGATGCTTAGTTTCAAAGCTTCATTTCCCTAACACATTTCTTTATCTCTCCTTGATGACTTTGTAGTCTATATTTTCTTCTCTACTCATAAAATTTAGAGAGCAAAACCGCAATTGCGTAATTTGTTTGTGTAATTCTTTATGAACACAAATTATGTTTGTTTCAAGCAATTAGAAACTGCTCATAAAAAAATGTTTTTGTGCTTTTATAATTTTTTGGCACTAATTTGTATAAAAATATTGTTGTTTTAAGGGTTTGTAAGTTGATTAAAACACAACCAAACCTACACAAAGAAAACAATCATAATAATTATTGGCTTATTGTTATTAAAACCTCTTAAATTATGTTAACCAGTATACCTACTTACCAACTGGTTAACTGCTGTAAAATATTTTGCAAAATGACCAGTCAATAGATAAACTAAACACAACAAAAATAACTTTAGAGATTATTGAAACAGCTAGCATGAACATAAAACCATTTTTCAAAACACAATCAGTCCCTGTAGTATTTTTATAATTTTTATTTTTAAATATTAACAGTTAACTAAACCTGAGAGATAAAAAGAGACACAAGTTAAACATTTTTATTTACATTGACAAGTTTTGAAAATAAATTAAATTAACATTTCATTTTATTCTTTTTTATCCATAGTATCTTATTTTATTTATACAACTCAAAATCAATTAAGTATTTCTTTATCTTTCTTTAAAAACAGTAGTATAATCTCATTAACTTGAATAACACTTCATATACTTTAAATTCTTCTTAAAACCCCTTGTCTGATGCTTTGTTGTTCTAACGTCTTCCTTTTTTGTCTTGACTGTCTGTTTACTGATAGTTTATTTTTGTTTAACCAATAAAAAACCTCTGTGAAGTTAAACATATCAATAAATAATCTTCAATTCTTCAGTTCTTTAAATATATGTATTTTATTTTATGAGTAAAAAATACTGTTTCAGGATTTAGTTGGTACTTATTACTTCGGCATTATGCCAAATGAAAATTGTAAAGATTTTAACTTTGTAAATTTGAAACATAATAAGGGAAATTAACACAAGAAAGAAGTGTGGTAATGCTTGCCACAACTCACTGGCTTTTATTCAACCAATAAAAGCTGACTGAACTCTTATCTCTAAAAAAACCTTAATCTGATGGATTTCCCTTAAAATATACACTAAAGTAACTACCACTTTACTTATATGAATGAACAATGTTACGAGTCAAACACTGATTTTATAACTAAATTTTCCCGTACTTGCGAAGGGTTTGTTGACTGTTTGTCTCGCTTGTAGGACCCCGTCCGGGACATCCTCGTAATCTAACGGTGACAGAAGTTCACAACGGGTTTGTCATCACATGGCAGGCTCCCCTAGAGAAGGCCAACCTGGTACAATACTACACCATCAAGTACCGGACTGACGGGCCGTGGAAGACACTGAACAAGGCGCAGATCCGTGCTGAAGAGACCTCCTACCTTGGTAAGCTTAAATAATAAGTGAAAATGATTAGCTGATTATTTAAATTAACGATTAAGCTTAATAGATTTGATGTTAAAATGACGGCAACTTAAGTTTGGCATTGTTAGAATTGTAATGAAATTTTCTAAATAAACATGACTTCTGTATAGTCTACTTTGTCTATGTAGTTTTCATGGTATGCAAATTAAACATTTTAAATGGCCACAATTTAAAACTAAACACTATAAAATAATAGTATGGAAACAGTATTCATAATATGGAGTATATAATTTCTAAAACGCTGCTAACCTCTAAAATAACAGGTTGAAAAATTTTACTTTTTATTCTAGTAAAAAACTTGGTGGGAGGAAGAACCTATTACTTCCGTGTGTTGGCAAACTCTGTGAAAAGTTACGAGAGCAGTGAAGAGGTGAAATTCTCTGTCCCTGCGAGAGTCAAACACAAGGTGAGATTTGACAATAAAACAGTCTATAGGTAATGTGTTTGGGATGTAACTCTGCACTCTTTCAAGGATGTTGGTGTCATCATATGAACATTTAAATCCACGAGAGAATTGTAAAATATTTTAAGAATGCATGAATAAGAATGTGGATTTCTTTGGTGTAGCGTTGAGACATCCATCCAAATGTTACACTTGAACCAATTAAGAGTAGATAATCAATTGGTGCACACACTAGTCACGGTTTATGAGTTTGTTTACTTTTTAATTTTTAATGTGTTCACTACTCAGTTGAGCTAGTAGGCCTAACCTATGAACATTTGCTTTTACCGTACGGTTAGTACAGACAGTTATTGTTTTGTGTCATAAAAACAATGAACACCAAGAAATAACAGATTATTTTTAGGTCTAATAACAGTCACAGCCAATTAACTGTTAAATAATCTTTTTAGTTTTACCTAAATTAGTGAATTCACAACATTTTGATAAGCCTACATTTCTATTGGTTTTGCAAACATGTGTATTTTTCTAACAAAATAATCCCAATGGAGACTAAACACTACTTTTGACTAAATTAATTGATTACACATAATTGTTAGGTAAAGATTTGTGTTTTTATAACAGGTTGGTTTATCCGGCCAGAGGCTCGGTCCAGTGGTGGCTGGATATGAGTGGTTCTACTGTACTGTTTAGTGTTTTTGATAAATTTTTCACTGTTTGCTTGATTCTCACAATGTATTTCTCTTGTAGGCCATCACAGCTGGTGTGGTCGGAGGAATTCTGTTCTTCATCGTCGCCATCATCTTGTCAGTCTGCGCAGTCAAAATCTGCAACAAACGCAAACGTCGGAAACAGGAAAAAGGTACCAGATTTTATTATTTCAAAGAATTTGGTCACTGGCCTAGTTGTTATTAATATGAGGATTACTTAGTAATTTTAAATGTACTTATGTGTCACTGGAGCAAATATCAAAACATAAGGAGTAGCTAATACAGTAACATGTCTATTTTGTACGATATTTTTAAATTCCTGAGTTCTTAAAATCACCTATAGCCCTAGTAGATTAATGATATAGCTTAGTATTTTTTCAAATCACCCTATCTTTTTGACCCTTGCTCACTTCCACAAACCTAAACCCAGACTTAGTTAAACTAGTTTGTGTAAAAAAAAGGTAACTTAAAATTGCCTAATATTAACTATTTTATGTGAGTGATACTTCAATAAAACATATTACTTGGCATTCATGTGTTTTTCAAAATCTATACCTATATATTTAATCCGTGGCAAAGCCTGTGTAAGAATATCTAACCCACAACAAAAGCAGTAAAGAATCTTGCATGTTATCTTACAAAGGAATTTATTCTACTCCATATTTCCAACAATGTTTGATGAATGTTGTTCTAAATGTTGTTCCAGCTTACAATATGGTGGCCTGTCGTATAACAGACGCCCGTAACGGAGGTCAACCTCCCGGAGTAAGCCAAGTGCCTTTGAAGAAGTGAGTTGGTACATCGACACTAACCTAACCTAACTAACTCTAACCTTCCACATTCAGTACGGACTTCTTCGTCTATCGTTCTGTTTCCTAGCTGTAAACATTGACATTGCATGTGGAAAGCTCTATTTCTGTGCTGTACCTCGATCAGATGTACTTTTGGTAGATTCTATGAATGATCGTCACAAACTTCTCAATAATGTTGTACGATTTTGTGTCTGTCAAGAAGAAATATTCTGAAAAATATCAATACATTTAAATCTTCAAATTTTCTTATTATACTTAAGACTTGTGTTTATCGTGTCAGATTAGACATGGCTGAATGTGGAATGAAATATGTCCAGCTTTGTCCATATGTGACAATTGCTGTCAACACTTATTCAACTTTGAAATGTACTGAGTTTAATGTGTCGGGATGTGATGTGACAGAACTATGTTAGAATTGCTGTGTCATCTGAAACTGTTTCAGTCAGACTTATTGTGAAAGCAGAATGATTTTGATGGCAAATAACGCTGGACACATATTACGCATATACATATTAAATCCTGTTTGCTATCCTGATATTTATTAAGCAAAGTATTTTGCTTGTAATGCTCAAATTTGACACTTTTACTTGTCGTAAAATGTTGTATTGTGCAAAACTTAAGCCAAGGTTTTTTCCTGTTTTATCAACCTTCTTTTCTTTATTTCTGCATTTTCCATACGTTTATTTTCCATAACTTACCATTTCATGCTGTTAAAACTTGTGAAGTAGTTGGTTGTATACTGTTTGAAAATGTGTGGGCAATTTGTATGCCCTTTATTCATTTTTTGAAGGCTGTAGTAAGTGGTAATTCATAACCATGCATATTTTTACTTCAATGCTTTTACTGACGTCTGAAATAATAATTTGTAATACTTTTTGGAAACATCAAAATATTTAATTGAGTTTTAGCTGAGGATAATTAACGTTAATTTATTCTGTTGGTAGAAATACATGAGACAACAGCCAAATAAACAAACTAAGTTTGTTAAAATATGACAATTTGAATGTTTACATAGAGAGAAACAAAACGTTTCTTTACTGTACGTACCATCAAAATTAAACAAAATATAAAAATCAGACCTTTTGTTGAAACTGATTTGCATTCTTGTTTGTAAATTATAAAACAACATGTCTCTAAATAATCATGCGCCGATTATCGAAAATTAAATAAAAACATTGACCTTTGGATACTGAAGTGGACATCCCATCTATATGGACCAGCTGACGCCATTTTTTATTCAAAAATAAAATAGTTGAATGAGCCAGGTACAGAGTTGGCTAGTGGTTAAAATTATATTTTATACCTTGTATTTTGTTACGCAGATTATTGACATGTCATAATAGAAATCAGTTTGACTTGGATAAAAAGTCTGTACATCCAAAAGAAATTTAATTTACATTAGTGCAATCTGTTGTTTGTTAAATTAAACTGAGTAAATTTTGATTTAAACTGGCAACAACTTTAACATGGTGATGGAATGTCTAGTTCTACCGATAGTCAAAGATATGATATTTTACAATGCATTATAGGTTTTAAACCAGAACTATTCTAATATTGGATATATTATGTATTGTTTTGCTTATAAAACCAATGAAACGTTGTGTCCAATTCAATGTTATTGTTGTAGGATTGTTGAGTCCCGAACATATCGAGATTTCAGTCTTGAGCTTACGTAAACATCAGAGTAAGCCGTAAGCACAGATCTATAAAGCTTGTGTCGCTTCTCTAACTGTCTTTGTCTATCTCTTTCTATCTCTGTCTGCTTATAATGTTTATGCACCTTTCCTTTCCAAATAGCTCACTGGGAACCTATGGGGAAATAGCCTCTGAATCACTATATTTAAACTAAACTGTTTGTGTTACCTTGCTTTGGTAGTAACACTACTGGAGTCAATCTCAAATGCGACTAAAACATCAGGATCCGCCAAACATGAATGAAAGACTGATGTTTTGTCACACTTCAAAGATGGACTCTAGTAGTCTGAAACTATAATCAGGGCTGCTTAACACAACAAGTTAAAATAACCCATTTAGCTACTCTTTCAGAATAATACTGTACTTGAATGCAAGTGTTCAATTTATTTGTTGAAATTGTCCTCAGTTTAGTTTAGCAACAAATTTAAATTTTAAAAATTGGGTTTTTTGTTTGGGTTTGATGGATATATTTTTCTTTAGAAATGTAAAATTGTTTTTTCTCGTTATAGTAGACTTCCTCTTGTTTGTAAACATTGAGATTGGACTCTCATCCTAAATATAAAACGTTTGATCCATCAGAATTGAATACAATAAATAGATTCTCTTGGAAAACACTAATAATGTGTGCAAAATTAAGTAAACTGCTGTAATGTATCGCACAATAAAGTAATACCGAACAGCGTTGGATGAACAATTTATATTTGTTTACTTTGCAATAATACGTTGGTGAATAAATCAATGGGAACGTTTGAGTCATACATTGGGGCTTGTCCAATCCAAACCAAACCAATCTGAATGAGAGGGTCTTAACTGCAATCATTTTAAGAAATGCATTTAATATTTACAAAATTTTGAGTGTTTGGAAAAAAAGTGTTACCTAATGATAAAAGCATTTTCCTTAAATACTTCTAAGTCATGTTTGTGTTTGTCATACAGTGAAATCTCATATCTAAATTTTGTAAAGATAAATTACTTATTTTATAACTTCAAAAAATAACTTTGAACTTTTGTACAAATGTGTTCACATTTCATGTTTTTACATTTCTAGTCAAATTAAAATTCTGGACTTAAGATTCAAAAAATTTAATTAAAACAACAAATAGCTACCTCAAAAAATATAAAACCCATGGTTACCACTGAGCTATAATCCTGCTGACCCTCACCTTGCGTACAATATACCAGATGTACGCAATCAGTGTTGTGTTGCGTACAGTCCAGAGTACAATTTGTGCGCACTCATTGTTATGTACATGCTCTATGTTTATGTGCTACTTACTAATAGCCTATGTTGGTGTGAAGCTACAACAAATATTTACATTGTACAGAGAGTGTTTCAAGCTTTCGTTTATAATATTTGTCTAATGTTTGATTCGTTGAATTTTTAACAAGAATATGTAAAAATATATTTCCTATCATAAAATTCGAAGAGAAATAATTCAGTTTATAATATTTGATCAAAGGGAGGTTTTTGGGTTAATTTATTCTATTTAGTGTTGTTTGAAAAATATAAGTACAACAAATATTACTACAGTCAACGGCATATGAAAAATTTCAAAATAAAATTCAATATCAAAAAACTAGCTAATATCACTTTTTGCATTGACAAAATTAAAACATTCATTTTTTTGTTTAATCATTTCATGGATTCAGTATAATTTCTGCAGTTTTGCACAAAACCCTTGCAATCTAGTGTACAACAACACATCCAAGAATAGTAGATGTGTCCTAGAGAACTCCCAACACAAACCAGATTCACAACTAGCTAGTAAAATCATTCTGCATTACCAGTAATGTATTATACAGAGTGTTTTTCAATGGTGTCATCATCCTGCTGCCTTCAGACGAATTGTCGGGTTATTGAATGATTGAAATAATTATGGATTTGCTAGCTTAAATTTAAGGTTGTGACAGAAATGAGGAATCAAATTTGAGTGTTTTTCAAAAATATCACATGCAGTAATTGTAATATGTAGATTATGTGTGATGCCTTATGTGGCTTTCAAAGAAACTAACCAACACGCAATGAACAATGTCAGTAGTTTCAGAATCAGACTTCAAAGACATTTATCAGAATTCATTTTGCGATTATAAGAAAAAGGTGCACTAACCTTGATTAGATTTCCAACAAAGTTGTCTTAAACCTATTTGATTAAATAAATGATTTCTTAATAATAAAAGAAAAAGTTATGGATACACAACTAGCTTACCCAAGAGATTGTTCCAGACAGCTAAACCTCAACTTGAGCGTTTTCGTTTTCACACATCAGTTGATCCTTATTAAGCTGGGTTTTCCTAGACGCGGAGTCGGCCAGCGGAGAGCGGACAACAGAGAGCGGAATTGAAATTAACATGGCATTCCGCTCCGCTGCTAGGAAAACAGTAACATTAAATTACCTAAGACCAGCAGAGTCCGCTCTCCGCGTTCCTCTCTCCGCTGGCCGACTACGCGCCTAGGAAAACCCGGCTTTAGGATGATTTGCTCAAGCAAGGTTACCCTCCAACAAAAAGATAAACTTCCAACATTCATGGAAGTGTATTCTGAAGGCTGAGGACGATGGCACCATCTCTTGACATAGAGTTAGTTTAGTTAGACAAAGATAGTGTACTAATTAATGGTGTTTTACCCGCTGGCCTCTCGACCGTAGGACTAAAGGTGAAGACTAAGGCAGCCACTATGATAACTGGTACCTATACTCACTGAGCATGTCACGTCTTGCAGCCTTTCCCCCCCACACAGTAGGGCGCTAGGCTATAACCTGAGTATACTCATTACATTAGGCCTAAAGGGTTGTAACACTCTCGTATTTGGGTCATCAGATAAAATCCATTGGTGATTGGTGGAATTTGAACCTGGGACCAAAGTGACCTCAGCCTTGTGCTCTATCTACTAAACCACTCCCGAACGTTAACATTTAAAATTTACCGAAAACTTTAAATTTATTTTACTCATCCTCGTAATTGTTTTACTAATATTTAGCATACATCATATTTTGTTATGACTATAAAAAAAACGTAAATGAGTTTTACTTTGCAGTAACCTTGACTTTGGGTATTGTAGTAGACAAAGTAGACATTTCATCCGATCGATCAGAAATCGTAAGAAAGCGACCCAAACAAACCTCTCGATGTTTTGTTGATATAACGGGGATTCATCACTTTCCTCTTGCAACAAAGTCTGAGATGCTGAGCTAGGAACTCGCCCAATCTATTAGTTAAATTTTATCTTGTAGATTTTCATACATAAAATAGTTTGTGGGGATTGTTGTTAAAAAGATTGTGTGTAAGAACTGACACTGTATTTTATAGCAGCTACTCTGTTAGTGACTGAATTGACATATTTTTCATGGGGATGAAATGTCTACTATGTGTCTATAGTCAAAGGTAGCATTACTCTAGGATTGTTCAAGCAATCGGTATAACTGCATTTTTGATTGGTAAATTTTGTTTGCCAAAAGGTTTACGATTCAGTACAGTGTTATAGTATTGAATCTGCAAACAGGGAAAAGGCTGCAAGCAGAATAAAAGCATGACTTTTTTAAGCACCGCATGATTTTTTTTATTTCTATTTACTCTTATGTGTTAAACCATGAACACTAGTGGTTTTTCAAGAAGAATATAATGTAAGAATACCATCTATTGCACTTTTTGATTGTGAAAAGTGACATTATATTCTTTGTGTTCTGCATCATATTTTGCACTACTTTTTAAAACTAATTGGGTACAGGATGATAAGGTACTTACATTTTTGTTGGACAACATTCATTTAAATACCTATTGGAAGTTTTGAATCTATAAATTGTGATGTCAAAGAAGTTACAAATAATTATATTGGTTGGAATTTGTGGATATCAGACTGAAATAACTAATTGATTGACTGCAATCAATGACAAGATTTGTTCATTGAAATCCATAACAAACAGATAAAAGTATAATTTCCTCACCAATCATCACATTTTAATTGCCAGAACATTGTTCAGTGAGATTACAATACTACCAAACATTTTTTACTGCTTATTTTCAGCATGTATCAAACACTAGTTTTATTTGATTTCTTAAAACTTGTCAACATTCTACAATATTATCTAGTTGTCGGCAAAATTCCATAGGCAGAACAATATCAGACTACTCTTAAAGAAATCTTATATTTTTAAGATTTTTCAGGATTACATATTTAATAGCTAAGAGTTCAAACTGGCAGTAAAAACACAAAACTTAGTATTTCCCTGTCATTGGCACAGTTTTCAACTAAGGGAAGTATGAGTTGAGGAGAGAGTTTTATAAGCCTTAGGCCTGAAGAAAACTCTCTCTTCAACTCATACTTTCCTTAGTTGAATATGCTGTCAACTGCAGAACTAAGCTTGCTATCCTCACAAGACATCCTCCCAATTTAAGCACTTGTCTATGTTAACATCCTGAATCAGAAGCCTTTGACTGTTTGCAACCATAATTTGTCTCCAAAGGTTGTATTGATTTGCAGATTTGGACAAAGCAGAGTACCAAGTGTAACCGGACTGTTGCGGGGCCTGGTGCGGGGGGTAAGCAGGACCCCCACCCCCCCGTGGGAGGCACAATTCTACCTGGGCGGGACTCGGAGACTAGGCCGCATCTCTCGAGCACCTGATGGTCGCTTCGTCGTTGTCGACTCAGCCGCCAACTCAGTGTCCTCAAGTAGTGACGATGGTGGTTTCCTCTCTCGCCCAGGTTTCCACAATCGAGCGTCCTGGCGTCGCCCTCTTGTCGGGTACCCGAGTGACCTCAGCCTACGAAGCAGTGCCTCGGGCGACAGTGTCACCCGAACTCCTCTTCACATCGCGACGGTCTACACTCCGAAAACGCCATTCCATAGCAGTCCTACACCATCTGTTTTCTCCCCTATTCGCTCTCCGGTATACTTCTCCGATCTGAGTTCTGTGCGGCAACCAAGCTCAGCAGAACGGACGTTGCGAAGTGTGCACGAAATGTACAGTCAGGAATTGCCGAGTTTGCGGGCGATTCACGAAGAGAACCAAAGAACATTAGGTCAGAGAAGAACGAGGTCGAGACTTCCGCAACGATACGCGAGGAGTGCACCAGACTTGACCGAAACGTCCCCGGAAAGTAGATCCAGCAGTAGCGGCTTCGGCTCGAAGAACACTTCCCAACGTACAACATCGAGCAACACCGGAGAGTGGCGACTTCCTCCGTATCGACCCCCGCCTCCTCCGCCTGTGGTGTCGCACTGGTTAGAGTTAACCTCGGATTTCCCCAGCCCATCGCTCAGCGTCGACGACCACTACGAGTTCGATCCTGTCTACCCGATCTCGCCTACACCCACCGAGATGACTCGCTCGCTCAACCCCGCGCACGTTAGGTCAACCAAGTATGACAACATAGAGGCGAGGGTCCAGGCCATGAAGGAGGAGTTTCAGGCCTTTAAGCAGCGCCAGGCGCGAAGGAGGCATAGTGAACACCTGGAGAGTGTTTGCTGACCAACTGTTGAAGGCTCAATTGATAAATATTCTATCCAACCTAACCTAAAACATCCCTACTGCTACGCAGTCAAGTCAAGAGAGGTTGAAGAATATATGTTGGTTGACCCTTTGATTAGTGATATTTTATTCACAGTTCACTATGTATTTATATTGACCCGGTTCTATTTTTTTCAAATTTATCGAATACCTTTTATTTGAAAACAATTATAAATTAAGAGTGTAAAATGCCCGACAAACCAAATCAGGAAGCACAAACAAAGTCACAAAGTGGTTGCCTACCGACAATGACAGGTTTCATTCTAAATACTGTGGCTTAACTAGACTGCTCAACCCCTATAAATGTAGCACAAAATAGTTGTTCAGTTTAGTTTTATTTTGTTACCAATGTTTTATGTAAATTCATTTAAAGGTAGGTAGTAGAGTTTATTTTTCTTAGTAGCTAATTACCTCGTACTTATAATTGTTTGATCAAAAGTAAAAATAATAAAATAACACAATTGTAAATCTTTGAAAAAAATATTTTCTTATTAATTTAATTAGAGTTTTAATCATCACGATCAAAGATACACAAATTAATAATTTAAACCATTTAACGTTCTTTCGTGCTGATCTCAAACTACCACCAAAGTCTGAGTTGTGACCAAGGTGGAACCGACAACTCTTTTCCTACGTACGAGGTAAAAGTGTATTATTCTGTCCATTGTGCATTGTGTTGTGTTTTGACGATACAACGAGAGTCAGCAGTTTCAAGTGTACAGTGAGGGACTCCCTGAGCCCAATAGACTACTAATACTATTATAATATGTATTATTATATATATGATATACCTATAAAGTTAAGTCGGATCTATTTATTCACTCACTGTTTCCACCTCAGCTGAAACGGTCAAGTGTCGGAAACCGGCGTCATTGTAAATATCCGAGACCCGGTGTTTCCTAGTTTTGTAAATATTTTAAAAATATATAGCGGATAAGTAATATTTTAGAGCAGGTGGTAAAATGCTGAAAATTAAATACTGCATAAATATACAGAACTATTTTCCATTTTGCAAAAACTAGGCCTAATATGTACTGTAAATATCTTAGTTTAAACTAGCTATAATTAGTTTCTCTATCTCTTTTATAACTCGTTCGGGCCGTACGATGAGGTTTCCGACCGTGAAGTGGTTTTACCTGTTGCGCAAATAGGCTTAAACTGAGTGTAAAGGTTAAACCAACTTGTACGACAAGGTTTAACTTAAACAACGAGGTCTGAACCGACTTGTACAACTATGTTTAACTTTCTTGTACGAGGTTTAGCCGATTTGTACAACTAGGTTTTACTCGTACTATGGGGTTCCTTACCTTCCTTAGGCGATGGGAGGCCGAGAAATTAAGCAATATCGGTTATATTTCAAATTGTGATATGAAATTCTATATTTTTATTTGATTAAATACCGATATCTTACCCAAAATATGATCTGTTATCGACAAAGCGTTGTATGTTTAAGTTGTCGAATACTGTTAGATTTGAATATTTAGGTTATGACCGGTTCAGTTGATGAGGACAGAACAAGCGAGCTCATCTACGGATTTGTGCACACACGACGTTTTTTATCATTAAAACAATTACTAAAAACATTGTTTAAGGTTAGTTGAGGACCTATGTTCGACACTAGGTAAGGAAAATGAATTCTAACGCTTTCGACAACTGTGCATCTATTATGTTTTTACTAAAGAGTTATTATTGTGATTGAGGTTATGATTTTGTAAAAGCGTTGTAATTATTGAATTATTAGATGATTGTATTTATTTTTGTGGTAGTTAACACCCTTGTGTACAAAGACGTTTGGAAGACAACAAACTTTGTAAGTATTGGGAACGAATTTATGAAAAACTCATACAAAACAAGTTTGAACATTTTAATAAACATAAATACTAAAAAATTATTTTTCAATTTAGTTTGTAACTTCTTGTAAACATTACAAGAGATCATTCAAACAATGTAATCTATCTTTTAGAAATTAATTTGTAATTTATAAGTGATTAGTTCCTACTATATAAGTGTACAAACTGTATTTCTTGTGTTGATTTTCCAAACACTTTCTATACAAGGTTTATCTAAACAATATAGATGATTAAGTTATTTATGGTTGGGTCCACATTCAAGATTCTAAACAAACGTGGCGAGTATCGATTAAGTCAAACCATGTGCAATTCCATGATATTGTTTTGTAAGTACAAACTAAGTTTTATTAGATGCTAGGCATTGTTTTGTAGATAATTATTTATTTGTTTAAGATTATCGTTTGTTGTATTTTATGTATTTATCATTGTATTATCGTTTTAAGTTTGATTATGATAGTTGTGTTTAGGTCAGTCCGTTTTTATTTTGGATATTTTGCTACGATTTTAACAGGATTTTTAAAAGAATTAACTATAACAATCGATAATTATGTTAATAACGACACCAAAAGAGTAATTACTATTATTAATTAACTTGGAACTACAACACTTCATTTTTAGATCATTTCATTCAAAACTTAGAATATTCTTATAAAGTATTTGCTTTTGCTAGTGTTTGCTTTTGCTGAATATTGTAAAAGCATTATACTTAATATAGTTTTAATCATTTAGTTGACTAAATTTTATGATGGATTTTTGTGGTGGGTGGTATTAGAAGGGGAGATCTACTTAATTTAGATATCTGCCAGAATCAGAGTGTTTCCTCCAACATAATCTCTGATTGAGTAAAGAGATCAGATGTTTTTACTGATTACAGCTTAAAATTAATTATTAATGTCCAACTTCTTTTCTTAATAATTGTCTGTAGGCTTTGATTATAGTTCTTCCGCTAAGATTTTAATTAAGATTTAAAATTCTCTTGATTTTTAAAACTCCTCATCAATAAAAATCGTAACAAAATATATTGTGTGATTGTAACTGAGTGAAGACTAATTTTAATACTTTTTGTTAGTTGAGAGATTTATTATACTTTTGTCATTTTGATCTCATTTTGGTTTTAACGATTTTACAAATGATTTGTATGAGTATTACTGGATTAAGTTATAGCAGTTTGGTTTTTATTAAGCTAAATGGCCTACATAGTAGTGTTGCATTTTGTTTGTAAAGTTAGTTATTTATTTTCCAGTTTGATATGAGACTGTCAGAGAAGGAATGTCTAATAAACGAGCGTCATGTCATCTTTTATGTGATTTATTTACATCCCGAGCGTCATGTCATCTTTTATGTGATTTATTTACATCCCGAGCGTCATGTCATCTTTTATGTGATTTATTTACATCCCGAGCGTCATGTCATCTTTTATGTGATTTATTTACATCCCGAGCGTCATGTCATCTTTTATGTGATTTATTTACATCCCGAGCGTCATGTCATCTTTTATGTGATTTATTTACATCCCGAGCGTCATGTCATCTTTTATGTGATTTATTTACATCCCGAGCGTCATGTCATCTTTTATGTGATTTATTTACATCCCGAGCGTCATGTCATCTTTTATGTGATTTATTTACATCCCACCGTCATAAAGTGCATTGCTGAGCAAAAAATTAGGATTTTTGTCCCCTCCTAGCCCTAGCAAGTAACAGCTTATAGGCTAGAGAAATAATTGCGCCCCTTCCCCTTTTTCTGGAGGATTTTTTTCACTTTTCCCTACCTTGCTTCCCCAAACGTACTGTACAACCTCATGCCCCTAAGCCGGATCATTAGAATGATGTAATAGCAGCAAGCTAGCTACTTTGGAAGACTGTAAAAACACAAAATTAAGTCCCCTTCCAATGCATACAAGAGAGAAAACTGTTACTGTCATGGTGTCTGTAGGTGGTAGCAGCCATGGCAAATGACAACAACCATTTTGTGAACAACAGACAAGTTTATTAATCGTCAATGAATGCACAAGAATTACAATAGACATAATCAGTTTAAACAATAGAAATTTATTTATTTAACAATAGAATTTATGTACAACTCTAAAATCTAACTCTCTGATTAAAATTGTACATTGAGAAAAATCACTTAATTTGTGCATAAGATTGGCTTTACACAAAGAGGATGAGAGCAGTATTTTTTTAATTCTTAAAAAAACTGCCACATGTAAAGTACTAGGGAACTAAACATTGTGTGTCTTGTGTATGTTCTATGCCATAACTGTACTTTCTCTAAGGCTAAGCGCACACGGTCGATTTTTTGATTGGCTGATTGGAAAATTGACCAAATATTAATATAATGTCCAGACGCACTTGTGGCGATTTTTACGAGTGTGTTAAGCTGTCCTAAAATGGACTTTGTTTTTGATTTAACCTGTGCTCTTCTAATTAAATCAAAGAAAAAATAAGACAACGTAAATATTAAGGTCCATCCGATAAGTTAGAGACTTTTAAATGAAATGGATAGTTTTATAAACTGTACACTTGTTTGTGTGATGACAGTGTTCTTTAATAGAACGTCTAGCTGTTAAAAGTTTTGATAAAACAAGAAAAATAGCAAAGAAAACAACACAACTCACACTGAAGTTCATTGACTCGTGGATAACAACAAGCGACTGGCCGGCTTTTTACTCGACCGTGTGCGCGGACAGGTAACAACAACCTGTACGTTACAGATTTCTGCAACAATCGCGTCACCTACGAATCTGCAGCATTTTGCAGATTTTAAAATTTAAATTAAAAACAACTATGACTCCACGGCCGCGAGGGATGATCAGAATAATTTACCGCGGTCGTACAAATACGATGATAATTATTACCCACACACGACCGCAGGATAGGATAAGAGAATTTTGCCTTATTTGCAGAAGTCGATGATGATCTCCACTCAACCACGGGGACGGGAGATGATAACCATTTTGCCGCAATCGTGGGAGACGATTACGATGTCTACATGGCTGAGAAGTATTATCAGAAGTTTAACACGGTCGCATGCAAATACAACCACATTTTTTATTTTAAAATCTTTGGCCACACTTTTGGCCCCCTCCTAAAAGCTAATCATTGCCTCAAGCTCGTCAGTAGTCACGTATCACGTGCCTACCGAAGTATATTTTCTGTACTACCGTGCATATTCGGTAATCGGTCCTGCAATGCAACAATAACATGAGCGTTTTAGCAAGTTCTAAATTCTGTGGTTTTTACTTCATCTATGGTTTTAGTAAGCGACGGTATTCATTCAACAATGGTGGATTTTCGATGGCCGTCCGTACTGCCGTACTTGATTGATACGAAATTCTACAACAACAGAGTATATTCTCGATCCGATATTTAGGTCGATACTTTTGCATGATGGTGACGTCACTATCAGTTATACAAAAAATTAGCTAGGATGCGAAAAAAGCGCTCACCGAAGGGTGAAAGAAAAGAAAGCTGTGGTTTTTTTTAGTGTGGCCTTGGGGTGGCCATTATACATCGATGGGGGTGACATAGAAAAGAATTCAGAACAAACAGCTGAGACTCGTGGGGTGTCATAGCTTATAATGTCATAGCTTATAATCGTGAATTTGTTCCATAGCTTATAATGTTGAAAATGTGGCATAGCTTATAATCAGTTATAAGCTATGCCACACTTTCACGAAAAATTATAAGCTATGCCACAATTTCTCTAAAACGTTATAAGGTATGACACATTTTCAGTTTCACAACTTATAATGGTCAAATAGTGGCGCAGCTTATAATTCCGATTCTGTTCTATAGCTTATAATCCTGATTTTGAGTCATACCTTATAATCCTGATTTTGGGGCATAGCTTATAATTGAAGAGAATGTTGCATTGTGGGAATGGCATCAGCTGCTCGCTTCAGTCAGGTCTACCATATATACGATATTTTATGGTAGGATACGATAATTATTGTAATTGACCGTACTGACAACTGCGATATCGTAATTTATAACCTAAACATTTATTTATTTAAATGTTTTAAACGATTTTTCATTTTTATACGAGAAATGGCAACAATTACATGCTATATGACAATGAAAATGCAAGAAATATTTATAGTGAGAAGTTAAAAGATATGAAGTGAAGGATAACGGCATTGAAAATTAATGAATCTTGTCAATAGTCCGGCTGGTGTTGACAGAAGATAAAGAAGAGGAACAATAATTATTAATAAATTGTAAACATCAAAAAATTCCATAACGCAAAACTATTGAGGTGTTGAAATTCAGTAAGTTGTGTTTTAATCCAATCCTGTTCCTATAATAATAGTTTTATTAGTCTTAAAATAATGACGTTACCATGTATGTATATTTTTTGTAATCTGGTTTATGTTAAGGAAAATATAGTTAATTTTAGTGAACAATGTAATCAACATGAACACAGCACGAGAAACAAACATAATCTTGTAACACCTTACATTCGCCTTCACAAATCATTTAGAAGTCACAGTTACCAGCAATTTTTGTTATTTAACAAGTTACCATTAGTTGTAAGAAATCTACCTCTTGTAAAATTCAAAGAAACTATCTCAAACTGGCTGAAACAAAAAGCATTTTATAGCATTGAAGAATACCTTAAATGTACATTTCAGACTTAGACTAGAAACTTAAGATTTTTTGTATTAAAACTATTTGACGAAGCCTATTGTACGCTAATGTATTCCTGTACATTGTATTTAATGGCCAATAAACTTCTTGATTCTTGATTCTAGGCCTTGTTATTCAAAGTAACAAAATGCAGTAGGCTATTATTTGCTTGAGTGTTATTAGGTTAAGTTAGTAGGTACAGTTGCCTAGCCTACTTAAGCTTAAGGTAGCTGTGACTCAAGTTACAGATTTCCTGTGACAGGCCTAAACAATTAACTTAATAAAAATATCAGTGAATGTATTCAACGGCTGCACTTTATTTTACGTCCTACACTCATTCGAATGAAAATATCGATTATTAGATTGTTTCATTCGATATATCGTTTGGTTAGTTAAGTTAGGTTAACCTTACCTAACTAACCAAATGATATAACTTATCTACTTAATAATCGATATATCGATCGATATTTTCATTCGAATGAGTGTAGGACGTAAAGTAAAGTGCAGCCCTTAAGTTTACGTCCTACACTCATTTGAATGAGTATTAAGTATTCGAGTAGGCCTATATTCGATATAAGTAGGCTATCAAGTTTGTATCATTTGTGTAACCTTAGAAATGGTAAGCGTGATAATACTGAGCCAAGAGATTTAACTTGGGTAGGCCTACAGTTTCTTAACTGGGCTACGCTAACTTAAGTTAGGGCCTAATATATTTTATTGAACTACAGTATTGAATTAAAAATATTGATTAATAATAGATATTTTAAAATATACCTATCTAAGTTTATTATAAAATTAAATTATCATAACCTAACTTAACCAACCAAACTTGCTGATGGTGAAAAAATCGCATGTAGGTTTACTAATCGAATCGATAGTTTCAACAAAATTAGCGTAGCCCAGTTAAGAAACTGTACCCTTTAACTTATTCTACCATCAATACTGTTAATACTATTCAATGAAATGGCGACGATACATATTAGGTATTTTAAGCCAAGTATGAATGGAAATTTAAGTTAGTAGTCTATAAAATAACTTACAATAGGCAACGTCACAAAACTTAAGTTAGGTTAATTTCACACAGTAAACAAGGCAGCAAACCATGCAGTTAACTTATGGCAAAAAAACATGTAGGCTACCTAAGAAAATGAAATTGTGACACATACCTGAGTACATGAATAAAATTACAAATTAGGCAAGTAGGCCTATGGGTCAACTTGTTTAATATTAGCCCACCATACTTACAATTGATTGTAATTGGCAAAGGCAAATATCCTTGTATTATGTTTCTTTCATAACCTAAAATCAAATGAAAATTCGGTTTGAAGGTGTAAGGCGGGATAAATCTGAATGAGTTCGCGAACTAGCATGATCGGGCCATGGGACCGGGTTTTAATGAGTTCTATGCAGAGAAGGGGCCTAGGCCAAAAAATGGGGTTTTCTCATTTTTTACCCTTAAAACACAAAATTTATCAATTATTCTCTAGGACCTTTCTAAAGAAATTAAAAAAAAATAATATGTCATCTATGTATCGTGTTGTGTATAGTGGAGTCGTGGATTAGTTGTCCGCTTAACTGTGTGTGTGTGGAAGTGTTCGCATAAAAAACTAAAGCTAACCGTTGCACCTATAGTGTTAAAAAATTGCACGAATCTTAATTATGACACCAATGGAAAGACACCATAAAATTTAGACGATTCCGTTCAGTAGTAATTATAAAACCCTCAAAATACATTTTTAAATTTGTCCCATAAGAATAACATTAGAAGCTGAAGCTACCTTCTACTTTTTATTTGTTTATGTTTTGCGACCAACAAAAAGCTTAATTTATATTTTAAACTTTATATATATATAGGCTATATTTATTTTTATAAATCAAACTTGAAAGCTTTATTTTATACTAAGCTATTAATGTTTTAATAAAAAACACACTATTAGTTCCACCTGGGTAATGACACTTGGGTCCGAGAGAACCAGTGGCCTTCGAGTTTTTAAGTTTTTATCTACCAATCCAAATATTTGTACAAAGAAAATATGCCCTACCTTGAGCTATAGTTCTATATTCTGTTTTTACTTTTAACAAGAAGTAGGCCTGAATGATGTACACTGCCTATTTTTGTTCCAGGTAAATTTTCTTGTAAAGCTTGGAGCATTGCAAATGTTTGGTGTTAATGTATGAGAGTACTTCACATGTACACTATATTGATGAAGTTGTCTGCTTATTTGGGGCCAAATAAGAAGGAGAGAAATTTTCTTGGAAAAGAATCGAAAGCAATAAAGATAAGTAAGTTTGGCTTAGTTATCAATATGATTAAAACGCATTTTCAGTCCTTGTTTAACATTAACACGTTGACTGCTAACGCCGACTCTAGTCGGCGTCGCTAGCACTTCAATGTGGCGCGCGCCGACAAAAGTCGGCACCAGACCAACAGAAATATATTGAGTCAGTGTGAGCTTAGCCTCAGACGGAGACGTTATAATCGTTGCCAGCCTGCCAGCTTAGAATGCGAGCTTTACTTTGGTGTAGGTTGGTACTAAAATTTCCCGTAAAATCCTGTCTGGTAATGCTTTTGTCCCGGTTTCGGGGATTTTTTCTCTTCAACCCACATTACAAAGACACTGGATACGGATCCGTGCAGTGCTGCTACCTTTGGGTGTTTCAGTGAACTACATCCACTCTCGGGGTAACGCAGCACAGTCACCACTGCTCTTTTGTGATTCGTCAGACTGAAATATTTGAATGCCAATTGCGTTCGCTGATTCGGTTGCGTGCCGGGGCTTCGCCCGCCACTGGGGAGCGCCTGTACGTTGTTTTCAGCAGTCATCGTGTTAACTTATGATGTGCTGTGGCGGTTAAGTTTTTATATTTGGAAAAAAATACACTTTAATCAACTTACAGCACTGTTCAAGTTTCAGAGTTACCTATGGTGACAGAATAATACAAGGCATGTTATTTAAGTAAGTACTGTTTTTAAATTTCTCCGTTTCAGTGCTGCGATTGGCATTTTGGACATTTGTGCTGTGTATGTGGATGTATTGGCAAGCCTGCGCTGGAAATTCGCCACAAATCGGCTGTGTTTACATCCGGTTTAGAGCATTCAAAACGGTGCCGCCAATTGAGACTGCCGTCGCCTGTGAAGTTTGCGCTGTACCGGTAATTAGATTTTTAAGTGCTAAAGGTGTGAAAGCCATTTAAATTCATTGACAGATTAGTGAAGTGTATGGGGAGAAAATTATGAGTGGCGGAATGGTACCTACGCAGGTGGGTAAGGGCATTTAAAGATGGCCGCACCAACGTTCATGAGGAGCAACGCACAGGGTGGCCATCTATCAAATTGTCATGGTGATTTCCAGGATGTGAATCCGTTATCTTCGGAACCGGAGACTTACGCTGTACAACTACACCAGTCTAAATATGTGGAAAGATCAAGTTATTTGTTTATAGTTTATTGCCCCCACACAACTGGTAACAATAAAGTAGTTTCACATCTTTTTGTGGTAAAAAAATGTTAATACCAGCACAGAATTAAATTAGTTATTTTTCCCCAACACCCATTAAACCTTAGATACATCGATTGCTCATATGTAGGAGCTTGAACAAAAACGATCATACTAGTTTGATGAGACACCGTGCTTGTCAGATCATGTGAAATGAGAAAGGCTACTATCTTACTATTGTTATAAATGTGAAAAAGTGTGTTTGTTTGTTCGTTTGTGTGTTTGAAGTTCAATCACGTGTTAATTACTGGATGGATTGGGCTCAAATTTGGCATGATGATAGCTCACATTCACGATTAACATAGGTATAGGCATATTTGTATCTCAAAAATCCTTTTGGGCTCCGCCTTAGTGGCTCTAGAGTTTCCCATGTTAACCTTATGAGTACTCATATTTAAATGGAATTAAAGAATTTAGTCAGCTGTTTCAACTAAAAAGGTTGGTTCTATGATATGCAAAGGCATTAAAAGTTATAAGATTTACCAACAGGATGCAGCACTATTATTTTTTTTTTTCATTTATGAAAGCAGCTAATTTGAACTAAGCAGCAACAAAAAACTGTGATACACAATGATAACTGTCTGTTTACAGTTATGTTTATGTTTTTAATTTCACGAATAATTTGTGATATTTTGTGAATCTTTAATAATTAATTTTTTTCTTTTGTTTGGGTGAAGTGGTAGAACATTATGGCTATGGTAGATGAGTAATACTATAGTCATAGACAATAGAGTAAATATAGACTGTCAAAGAAAGGTTTTGCGATCTGCCGCTAGAGCTTTTTGCCATTCGATATCAGTTATCGGTATTCGATTCAGTGTCGTCGTCGACTACTCGCCAGCTGTTACCAGCACTACCACTCTTGCAAACGAAATGATTACTAATCGCTATTGTCGTCTTCTGCAATCGCGTCAAAATCATGAACATCTACCGCGGCTGTGTAGACATCATCATTGAATGCCGTGATCACGAAACGTCATCGTCGTCCTCGATTGCGGCAAAATTGTGAACATCTTCAGCGGCCGTATATACAATCGTCTTGCGGGATCGCAGAAAAGACGTGATCATTTTTCCCGTGGTCCGTGGTCACAAAAACGTCGTCTAGCACAGTCACGGTTTAAGAACATCTCCCGCGGTCGTGTAGACACATCATCGTCTTGCGCCATCACGGAAACGTGATCGTTGTCTAGCGCGATTGAGTAGCGGTAAATCATGAAATTTACCGACTTTGATATCAAAATAAAGACTAAATCCCAACTTTTCCAGACCATTTTGAAATTCAATACTAATACCTGACTTTCCCGTTTTCCCCGACTACTAGACATCCTGGTTAAATTTAACTTTGACCTTGCAAATATAAAACAAAACCTTCCAATAAACCACTTCCTAAAATTATGGATTAATAAAGAAAAACTTTGAATCATTGTAATGAAACTACAAAAGTATAACAAATATATGTTTAAAAAAAAATACAATAAAATATGGCATTTAAATTAATTTATTGCTTAATATTAAATAAGTCAATAAACTCCAATTCTGGGGGATTCCTCCAAAGTTGGCAACACTACTCCCAACTACCAAGTTGTTATGGAAACGGTCGCTAGCGCTTGATGCTGCAGCGGTGTGCGCCGTAACTACACATTACCCCTGGCGGTCGGCGCCAGAATATACGCTAACCGCAGCACAGCTGGCCACTCTACTCCTGCCCAGTATGGTCAGACCAACTAGCATATGATTTTATATGATGAAGCCGTACTTGGGCTACCGCTGTATGGTTTCATCATGACATGTATTTCAATCATTCACTGGGTTATAATTTGTATGTATTTGAATGGATACATTTAATTCTTAATTGATAAAAGACTATGAAAACCGTTTAGTGCTCTTTGGTGTTCTATAGTGCTATGGTGGACACAAGAGCGTAATCTGATTTGGTTCTACAGTACTTTACTTTACTTTAATTTTAATAGTAGCCTGCTGTTAGCAGGTTTGTGCTGTGCTGGGCAAGTGTGTGCAATATCCATGGAAAAATTATGTTGAATCCTCTCACCTTGTGCAAGGATCCTTTAAGTCGATCTCAATTTCACTTGCAGCAAAGTCCAGGACGTAAATTAACCACCAAGCTAACAAGACACCCCTTTCTCTATTTAGTTCTGATAACAATTTTGAGTTATTGTTTATTTGTTTCAGGATATCATGACAGAAGAATGCAGAAGGGTTGCTCAGCTATTAACTTCGCCTTATAATCTTTATTTATTTCAATTGTGTTGTAAGAAGTATTTTTTAAACAGTAAAACTTTCTCCAATTTATAGACTACCTATTATGATTCATTGTTGTGTTTTATTAAGGTCCCTACCCTTATCTAAGAAATATTTTATAAACCAAAATGTTTAATGCTGCTCGCCTATTATTCTTGATGAAATATTAAAATACACTCCATTATTGAGCCTAATCATATTGATTTTCACCTTTTAAAAAAGTAAGTAACACAACCAAGACCACCAGTCCTTAAATAAGTACTTCATAATTATCCCAGTAAGACATAGGCTAATGGATTTCCAAATTCCTCCCTAGGAGTTTATCTGCATCCGGACAACCAAATTTTAAGATTATTATATTTAAAGAATAGGCTTGCTAATACAAATATTATGTTCATTTATAACTATTTTCTCATTATCTATACATAAAATCGATTAAAATATGTGAATGCGACTATTATTACTGGTGGGGAGGGGGCGCCACAACCATGTTTGCTCCGGGCGCTGCCAACCCTAGGGATACCCCTGATATTTACCTTAGGCCCCATTTATGCTCAAGTTTGGGTTGCAACTAAGGCTTGGTGTGTCCCCCAAAACAAGCGACAAGCAAAATTTAAATTTCATTCTTTTGTACCGAATGTGATGCAATAGTGATGGTCTAAACCAGAAATTTTGAATCTCAAAACCGAAACCGAAACTTTAAAAAAATCAAATCCCGAATCTCAAAACCTAAACGCGAAACTTTTTTACTTAGCTGGTTACAAAGGTCAAGGTTACAAAAAATACACATAATCATAAAATGTTAAGTATGCAATCAAAACTGAAAGAGATCAATTCCTGACCATGACAAAACATAAATATGTGAATGTGACTGATAATCTTAAATCCCAAAAATAATTTTTTATAAACAATAACTAACAAACCAAATAATTAAACTTCTAACACCAACATAAACATGAATATTAAATTAATTAGAACATTTAGTGGTCAATATTTGTTTTTGCATTTAGTAAATATTGATGTGAAACTGAATTGTACCAGTTATAGTATTTAAGATACCTTTTGAAGTTCAGAATAAAATTTACTTAAAAATAAATTTAAGGCTAAAAAACAATAACAACGGCACAAAAAAATGTCAGTAGTTTCAAAAATAAAACTGCCAAAATCTTCAATTTCGAAACTTTTGAATCTTGAAACTTTGTGATCGAATCTCGAAACCGAAACTTTTCCGAAGTTTTCAGCTGATTAGACATAGGCGACTTACCCAACGGCCCTACGACGTGGTGGGGAAAGCTTCTAGCCAAGGGTCTGTCTCAGTGACCAGTGTGTCTCCAACCATCCTATGCGTGGGGTGAGTTGTTAAGTGGAGTCGTGCAAATCAATTTGTAGTTTGCTGTGTTAGTTGGCAAAAATTTAATTTTCAACAAACCCTAAAGCCTATATCCCGCAGGGATATAATTGCCACGCGTTTGGAATTAAATTAAGTTAGGAAAAACTCGTTTCATCCTCACCAACTTATACATACCGCTCCCAAAATTTCACGTCTTAGTTCAACCAAAATTCAATTTGTCCGCATTTTGGAAAAAAACTCATCCGTATTCTCTCTGATTCCAAGTGTTTTGTGTCTAACAACCTAGTAAGTAAGTAACTATATATTATTTATTGTATTAGTGTTATAATTACCTACTCTTAGTGGGTCGTACAAGCCGTTACATTTTATTTTATGTTTTGTCATTTCCTGTTCTTGAGCACATGTTTTCAGATTCAGATACTAATAAGTACATTTTGTATCCATTTTGATATAATTAATTGGTATTGATACATAGTCAGTGATTTATTTATTAAAATACATCACATAACGCCTAAGGAGTGCTTCTGCACGCAGGCAGGTAAATTGTCAAAATATAATAATAGTATAGAATAAAAGCAACATAATAATAAATATAGTAATAAACATAATAGAATAAATTATTAACAGTATTGAAAAACAAGTATAAAATAAGTTAGGTTGTTATCAAAGTTTACAAATAAGTTATATCAATTTCTATAAGTTATGTTTACTACAATCAGACTAATAAAAAATCCTCAATTCTGTAACAACAATTGTCTAACAGGTAAGACAGTAAGTGTAACAGGAACTTTTTAAATGATTCTACCTCTCTCAGTGATAAAGGAAGCTTATTATACAGTTTGAGACCCATATAAAAAGTACTCTTTTCATAAGCAGCAGATTTATGTGTGGGGTACTGCAACACAGAGCTCATGGGCCTAAAGCTGTATTGGGAGTTACTTCTTTTTTCTTCATAAATAGAAAAATGTTTTTTGACAAAGATTAAAGTGTTGAATATATACAAAGAGGGCACAGGTAAAATCTTCATTCTTTTAAATGAATTTCTACAAGATGTTCTTGGATTAACTTGTGCAATAACTCTTATAATTCTCTTTTGTATTTTAAATATTTTTTTACTGTCAGTGGCATTTCCCCAGAACTCAATACCATAGCCAATGTTAGAGTCCACATATGCAAAGTATACCATTATCTGAGTTTTTTTCATCTATTAATTTTGAAAGCACTAAAGTAACGTGAAATGCTGCATTAAGCTTAGATTCCAATTGATTTATATGATCAGACCATGTTAGAGTTGAGTCTAATTTTATTCCTAAAAGGTTGCAAGATTGAATTTTACTTAATGTGTCTTCTAACGGGTTATAGTCAATCTGTCTACTTTTTATGCTATTAGAATGGAAGTTCACACAATATGTTTTATTTCTGTTAAGTTTAAGATTATTGGCCAGAAACCATTCAGTCATAAGATCAAGATCATTTTTAATTTCAATTTCTAAAATATCAGGGTTTTTATTTTTTAATACTGCAGTAGTATCATCAGCATACATTACCAATTTTGACTTAAGATTTTGTTTCAAGAGGTCATCAACATAAATAAGAAACAACAACGGACCCATTATTGAACCCTGGGAAACACCTTCAGTGACATTTTTGAAGCCTTAATAGTTAAGAGTAATTCAGTTGAACTTTTTGTTTTCTACCCAACAAGTACGACTCCACCAAATCATAAGCTTTTTGTCTAATTCCATAAAACTGAAGTTTGTGCAATAAAATATTGTGATTGACACAGTCAAATGCCCTTGACAAATCACAGAAAATGCCAATCGCATACTGTGATCCATCAACGGCACTTGCTATGTAATTCAAGACCTCAAAGAGAGCATCTGAAGTGTTACAACCCCTTTTAAATCCAAACTGATTACTACAAGGAATATTGATGGTTTCAAGATATGATACTAGTCCAGAGCATATTTTAAGTGATTTCCACTGGGCGACAGTGACGCCGGACTTGCTGGGGTGTATGGAATACCCCCAATCAAAAATGGGGTTCCGAGGCCCCCCCGAAAATGTTTGCATAAATTTAAGTGAAAATCACACATTTCTACATATCTTGTAATGCACTTTTCGATTATATTTGCTTGTAAATAGTCCATATAATCTCACTTAATTACGTAGGTATTCTAGAACGTTGTAACAGGCCAAGGCTCCCTTCACAACCTCTTGGGCCAAAATCTAGCTCAATACTCTAAAATATTTACTTAATGTTATTTTTTTAAATTCCGATACATTTAAAATGTGAATCATTTAAAAAAAATATGCCGGCACCACCCATAGCCTAGCCACTGGGCGACAAAATCTCAGCACTGGGCGACACTTAACATGTTATTTTATGCCCTGTACTAGTCTATTACAGATTAATTTTTCATAAACCTTGGAGAAAACTGGCAATAAGGATATTGGTCTGAAATTCTCAAGCTGTGTTTTATCTCCTTTTTTGTAGATTGGACGAACAATACTATATTTCAGTAAATCTGGAAATATGCCTTTATTAATAGATATGTTGATGATGTATGACAAAGGTTCAACAATGCTGTTTTTACAAATTTTTAAAATTAAAGAGGGAATGCCATTCCATCCTGAGGATCTGGAATTTTTCAATTCACTAATTATGGACCTAATCTCACTTGATGTAGTTAATTTAAAACAATCTAAGAAGTCAGTACAATTTGTACCAGCATTAGTTAAATATTTATTCACTTTATCCATATTTCCCATTAGATTAAGCTGTTCACTGGTGTGCAAGAAAAAATCATTAAAAAGGTCTGCAATTACTTTTGGGTCTTTTATTATTTTATTTGATTTCTGGATTCCGTTTAAATTAAAATTAAAATCCTGCTTCCTGTTACCAGTTTCCTCCTTGACAATTGACCAAGCAACTGTAGTTTTGTTCTCTGCACAACTAATTCTTTTATTATTAAACTTCATTTTAGCACACTGTACAACCTTTTTTTAAATTAGTTTATAAGATCTAACATATTGGATAAAGTTGACATCATTTGATAATTTGCTCAACTTATGTAGTTCTCTCTTTTTCCTACTTGCTATTATAATGCCTTTTGTTAGCCAGCTTTTTGTTGTTATCTCCTTGCTCTTTGTCTTTACCAAGGGAAATGCCAATTCATAATGATACATGAATATACAGTACCAAGAAAATGTTTATAAGCAGTGTTAGGATCAGAGATTTTAGCGCAGTATAAAGAATCCCAATTTTCATTACTGATTGAATCTTGAAATTTTAACATGTTTTCTTTCTTAAAACATCGCTTTTTGGTTTCAGTTTTTTTTTTATTTACTTTATAATTAATATTAGTTGATAAAATCTGATAAGTGTGGTCAGAGATGTCAGTAAGTTATCTACAACTAAAGTTTGACAACTGTCTAAAGCTACATTAGTAAACACGTTATCTATACAGGTTTTAGAAACATTAGTAATCCTAGTGGGTTGTAAAATAATAGCAAACATGCTGTAAGATTCCATCAGGGATTTGAAATGCACTGGTGTGAGGTTCTTTTTTGAACAAATCAAAATTAAAATCTCCACATAAAAATATACTGTAGCCTACTTAGAATATTTTTTAACAATATGAGAAAGCAAAGAATTTAGAATATTAAAAGAATTTCTTTAAAGTTGTTGTATCATTGTGTGGTGGTCTGTATATACACACTACCAAGACAGGTTTAGCTAGTGAGGCTTCAACTGCACAACACTCCAAAACAGATTGTATGGAAAATTTGCAAATGTCATGTTTTTCTATGGCTTCAATTGTGCTGTATGCTGTACATATGATAATAACCCCTACAAATAAGTGACTGGAGATCATTTTTTACATGCACAACTGAAACAAAAACATACAAACTACAAACAGTCATGATTTCCTCATTTACAAAGAGATGTCTGAAAGGGGCATCATACTCAGGTTTGCTAGGATTCTTACAGCTCTTTTTTTATTAGCAGTACATCATTAGTTTCAGCAGACCCACCCCAGAGTCTGAGCCCATACAAAAGAACTCCTTGAAAAAAAGCTACATAGGCTTTTTTTAGACAGTTTTTATTTAGACAACTTTTTAGACTTCTCAAGAGGAAGATAACTCTGGAAATTTTACTGCAAACCAAGGTTATATGAGGGCTCCAAGTCAGTTTTGTATCAATGCAAATACCCAAGAGCTTAACAGAGGTCACATGCTGAACATCTGCTAGATAACTCTAAATTTAAACACAGAATTCTGACTGTAAATTTTAAATCTCGTTTTTTGTGTCTACTTTAGTTCTTGTCCTGTGACACTGACCGCTACATGAGAAGATCGTTTTATTTGGCTAAATGAAGGCGTAAACAGTAAAATAATAATAAACAAATTGTAAACAAAACATGACCTCTATAATCTACATTGCACCGTACAGAAATAAAACTACAATAATTTGGGCTTAAGCTGTTCCATAAGTATGACAAATCTACTAAATATGTTTTGATCATAAATCAAACATTAAGCCCCTTGGAAGATTTGTCATCCTTGTTGAAAAGCTGAAGGCAATTTTATTGATATTCTATGCCGACTGTAGAGGTTGTGTTTTTTTTACAATATGTTTCTTGATTGTTATTTCAGTTATTTAAAACTAATTTGACCAAATAAAACTATCTAATCATAAAAAATAACTGGTCTCCTAGTTATCTAACCAAACCGTAAAGCACAAATCTTAAAATTAATTACCCTAATATAATAGAAACAATATTTCGTTTACACTAGCGATCAGTGTCGACATACATGAACTAGACACGAAAAACAAGCTTCAAAATCAACAATGGAATGAGAAGTCTACTTATGTTGCATAGTCTACGGTTTTATCTATGAAAAAGTATTTTTACACCGGTATTACACAATATTACAAAATAAATATTATACAATAGTTATCATGCATAGCATAAATAAGCAACACGAGCAACATCAAGCTTATGATAATATATTTCAGCTTACGTAATTAAAGTAAAACAGCAGATACAAAAAGTTATTCTATTATTCAACAAAAAACCATTTCATATATAGGCTACATCTATTACATATGTCGTCCAGGAGTAGAAAAAAATTGAAATACTTTTGGTTTTGCTACGTTGGCTGCACTTAACGCAACTTCTTATTGCTGAGTAGCGGCTGCTAGTCCATACGATAATTTGAGGACCATTGCACGATAATTTTTTTGTCTACTCAGGATCGATCAGCTGTCCCATCCGCTATGACGTAATTCCCGCGCGTTATAAGCTATGCCACGTTTTTAAAATTATAAGCTATAGAACAAATGAGATATTATAAGCTGCAGCACATTTGAGCTATACCATTATAAGTTATGCCACATTTTAAGAAAACCGTTATAAGCTATGCCACATTTCTACGATTATAAGCTATGGAACAATTTAAATTTTCCATTATAAGCTATGCCACATTTTCAAGATTATAAGCTATGCAACATATTCGCAATTATAAGCTATGACATTATAAGCTATGGCATCGTACCCTGAGACTGACAGCAGTGACAGCTGAGTGGAATCGTGGAATCAACGAAACGAATCATATGGATGGCGATGGGATGGAGTGGAATCGGAGTGAGAGTGAGAGCTACAGCAACGCTATGCTAAGCATACAAGCAGCGTATTGTTGTCATTGTTAAAGTTAAATTTGTAGGTTATGTTTTTATTCATGCTCAGTGAAAATTATTTGTATTATTGTGTTTTTATCCGATCACAATTACAATATGGATTTAAAAGCTCATAAATACAACTGGTGTATCGTATAAGAAAATCGTATACAATTTCTGTACAATGACAGGTATAAACAGAGTGGTAAGTGGCAAATTAAACCTAGGCATATTTGGCTAGGCCTATCCTTCATTAAAAACTGAATGATAAGTTTATTTAAAGATTTTTATCTATATTTCACAGTAGGCCTATTGATTTTGTCGTGAAATTTCGCACAATTCGAGTACCTAACTTACTCACAATGTGACTTTTGGGCAAAAAAGTTTTTCTTACGTAGGCTTTTGCTGCTGGTTTCCTTGGGTTCATGGTGTTTTTTGTTGGTGTCAGCCAATTATACTATTGGCAGATGTGTCGCCCTTGCTATGAAGTAGCATCCTCAGTGACTAGACTGAGACTGAGTTGGATTGGGTACATCGAAGGGTGAAACATCTGGCGATAGTAAGTTAGCCTTTAGTAGTGGTGACACCAAATAATACCATGGAAATAATAGTGTTTCCCACGTCACAAAACAGATGGCGGGCTTTTGTGAGGATAAGTTAGGCTACTTACAAGTTGTTGGATCATAATGAAAAATACATTGTTGAATTCGTTATGAAATTCTGTAGCCTACAATTTGAGTAGGCTACTGGTACCCACAACATAACATTTTGGGTCAAAAAAGTGTTCTCCGCTTTTCCGCAAAAAAAAATAATTACCTAACTTATCATTTTCGGAATCAAGGCAAAAAACAAAGAATTCACTACAAAAATTCTGAAGTTGTAGTCCACTACATAGGCCTATTTGGTAGGCTGAACGAAGATTTCCTTAACATAACGGTACTAACTTACTTGAGTAGCTTATAACTGGCTTGGTAGCTTAGTGGTTAAAGTGATCGCCTGACAATCGGAATTCTGCCCGTTGAATCCTGAGAAAAGTCAATACTTAGCTTGTTGATGGTTCGAAACTAAGTAGACCCAGCTGTTCCCGATCATTGACCTCTAAATCAATTAACTTATCCTGGCTATAAAACAGCTGATCTCAGTAACAAAGCTACACAGATCATCACACTCCATTCTACACTCACCCAACTTCAATCATATTGAGTTTAAAATATGCACCTTGATGTGTGTCGCTGTCTAAAAGCTACAAAGGACAAAACTTCCAAGCTCGGACCCCTACCAATATTCATATATCAAATGTATATCACTACACAAGTTTTAGGCCTACAGTTTTTATTACTTATAGATTCAGTACTTCCGATGGCGACCAATTTTAACTGGTCTTTGTTCAACCCATAAATGGAGAAATTTCCGCAAAAGAAGCTCAGCAGCCGTTCTACTTGCTCACTGTGCATCAATCAAAGATGATAAAATAGTTCCTGTGCAGGTAAGCAAAGCTTCAACATATAAAATAAATCTGCTAAGTTTTTTATTTTTCATACCTATACTAGGCCTACCTACTTTTCTAAGAATTTTAAATACCGGTGTGTAAGTCTAACTTAGTTGTAGTCTAATTAATGTAAGCAAAGAATTGTGTTTAAGGTTGTAGTAGGTATTCATTACAAATTTACAGGTAGGCCTAGAGTATGCCTGACAAGAGAAATTCTTTTAGGTACCGGTACCTACTTGAAAATACATCTTGTATTCTATCGCCTTTGTCTTGAGCTGAATCACTTCTGTTTCATTTTTCAAATGCTAACTTATCTAGCTTATGTTTTAACTCAATTAGCATATAGTAACACATTTCAACCTAAAAACTAAAAGATAGGCATAAGTTAGTTGCTAAAAAAGTAATCATCAAGTTACACTCACTACGGTACCTACATGATTTGTTTTAGTTTCCTGACCTAAGCCATCTTAGCCATGAGCAGTTGATAAAGCAAGCGTGTACGGCCACTGTAAACTCTGCATCACAGCTGCTTACCTGCACCCTTGTGGCAGTAATTGACGTCAGTAATAAGTACAGGTAGTCGAATAACTCCATAAAGACCACATAGAATATTTGTATTTTAGTTGTTAGGCTACAATATACAGTAACTTATTACTCCAGCCAATAGTTTTAACTTTGTTGACAAAATGGCTAAACGTACCTCATCAGATAACCCTTGACATGTAGTATCAAAACTTGAAACATATCTGGAAAGTATTGATTCTACATGTCAAGGGCTGTCTGACAAGGTACGTTTAGCCATTTTTTGTCATAAAAACACAACCCTGGCTATGAAAGTGTATTATTATCTTTGCTTCTTTACTTATTGTAGGCTATACCATACCTGAATAATCTGTTTAATCTTCTTTAGTTGGTTTTTTAATATATTTTAGGATAGTTTGCCGGGTCTCACAAACCCAGACCTTGGTAACTCGGCTGCTTGTGACAGAGAATTTTAAATAAAATTTCTTTAGCCCAATGTCAACCCAAATCATAAGCTAAATGTGACAGCGATGAGTCTCGTTACATATTCCCATAAAGGTCAATGCCCTTGTGGACAGTAATTTCCCCTTATAACACTTAAAACATATATTTACGCTTATACTGTTACTCACAAGACGGTAAATATACAAAAAAAGATGGTTAGTGGTATACGATGGACCACTTTTTTGTCTTTTTTGTATATTTACGGTCTTGTGAGTAACAGTATAAGCGTAAATATATGTTTTAAGTGTTATAAGACGTTTCTTTTATTTACTTTCCGTAAATTTAATAACACGTACAATGCTGATCAAGAAGTTATTTAGTAATTCCCCCCTCCATGCAATTTCATTTCACAATTTCTGAGTTAGGCCTAAGTTGGTTTTTTTTTAGTAGGCCTAGTTGTTGGGGAATAGTTTTTCTGTTTGGTCTGCAGGGTGTGAAATATACAGGGTGTCCCGTAACTCTCTGGACACTTGTATATAGCGTTACTCCTTAGGTCAAGACAAACACATTTCACCATAGGAACATGGGTCTGTGGTGTCTAGTTTACCAACTGTCGGTATTTATGTGTTTTTTACAAAAAAACTAATAACTCTTAAACGGTTTGAGATACAGCTTTGATATTTTGCAAAAATGTTAATCTTATTAAGACCTATTATCTTTAGAAATTATACTAAAAAAGCATTAACCGTTTCAAAATGGCGGCCATTTAAAATATTTGATGCCAAATTTCACGAAAACCGTTAACTTAACAAAAAATTGCAAGAGACAAAAAAGTTTGTAAATTTTATGTGGTTTCCAATGATACCTTATTTGTTAAGATTGGATGAATAATAACAGAGAAATGTCTTCTTTTCTAAATGCATGACTACTTTTCTCCATTTAAACAATGCTAAAATTAGGTCCTAAATTTAGGAAATGTGTTTGTCTTGACCTAAGGAATAACGCTATATACAAGTGTCCAGAGAGTTACGGGACACCCTGTATATAACCAAAATATTACCAACCTAAAACTCAGATGCAGATTTACTGAGGTTAAAAATAACAAAGTCTATAGGGACTTAAAAATCTTATATGCGAAAATAGGCGGACATTAGCTACAATGAGTTATTTTTTAAAGTAGGGCATAGAATAAACACAACAGTGTAAAAAAAGGTTTTTAATCTGTGAATTAAAATTAGAATTAATTTCCTACTAGAATGTCAATTATTAATAAATAATTATAATGTTACCTTCTACCGTTGATGTAGTTTATGATGCGTTTCGTCAACACAGTGACATCATCAGGTAATCCACTACTGCTTCGTCTTCAATATTAACGTTAAACAGTCATTACACAATACACAAACACACATTTAACAAAATTGAGAACTGATCGGTAATGTCGTCGCGGTGGCCTCAACTCGCGTACGCTCATGATTAATTCTGTGCGACGACTGTATTGTGTAATTATTATTATTTATGTGAATTATAAATTGAAACTTGACCAAATATAATTTACAAAGCAAATCAGACCTTACTTAATGTATGTTGTACCTTATAAAAGCAGTTTATTTTACTCCACAGGATAAAAGGGATAAATAATTTTCCCATTTTACAGCAAAGCACTGAAAGATCAGTTGAGTTTACTAGAAGAAAGTTTAACACATTTGGGAAACGAGGGAGTACAAGAAAATTTGACAGATTTAATAACTGAAGCTAGAAACAATGTGGACTCCTTTAGGCGTGCGTTTAGGGTAAGTACCTAGATGAATGCAATGACATTTGTACCTATAAGTTTTTGATTAAATTGAATAGTATCAGTATCTTTTGATAGATTTTTAGAGAGTAATAGATTTTACGCTACACTAAATTATTTTGACGTAAGGATTTAGACCAGAAAACAGCTGTTTGCTGCCAGCTTATTCAAAGCTTTCATTGCGTACTACTGTACTGCAATGAGTTTTAACGGATGCCAACCAGCTGATTATACTGTATTTAGGTGGCAATGACTAGTGATTTTTAGTCCTTTAGTTTGTGGAAATGTATAAGGATTTGTATGGATTTAGTAGTTTGGCGTAAACTATCGTACGTAACTCGTCCAAAATGTATGTACCGGACTCGTATGGTAATCCCCAACCACACACTCGTCCGGTAAACACTTATTTTCAGGACTAGTAACGTAATATACTATTTCATTTGAGCATAACTGTCTTACTTTAAAGGTTTACACCAAACTGGCCATTGGACTTACTATAATTAATTAATCCCCGTATTGTTACTACTACTGTGTTTTGCTATTTCATAGTCCTTTAAGAAGAGTCAAAAGGCATAAAGTATCCATTTTACTTCTTAGAGATTTCTCAATCACATTGCAATGTAGTTTAGGATAAACGTCCGCTCTAGTGAGTACTACGACTATCCGCAGTACTATCCTGATAATCAGACCAATTCGTAAATTACAAAGCAAAAATGTGGTTCGAATTCCACTCCAAACTTTAGGCCCCTTTGGTACCATTGGCTGTATGGGCTATTAGTTAACAGTCCTGTCTAAGGAACTTGTCGGCCTTAGTCAGTAACAAGACTACGAGATCGTGCCACTCATTTTACACTCATCTCCATTCATACTCGGCTTAAAATACCTGCCTTTGTAAGGTGGCCATTTCAATGAAAACTGTTAAAGTATTAATATTTTCTAGTAATGTTACATTTATTTCAGGAGCTGGATTCTCTAATGGAATACGTAGAGAAATTGGTTATCTCAGCGACGGAAACCTCCTACCTAGCCGGAGCTGAGACTGCCTGTGAGGCTCTCAGTGAACGGCTGCACTCAGCCAAAACTAAGGTACTTTGTCACTACATTGACAGAACAATTGTATGATAGCTGATTCATTGTGGTGTATGGACGTTGAACTTATACAATGTCATAACTTTGACTATTGATACAAGCCTTGTAAAAATATTCTATAAACATGAACCTTTTTGGACCTTATAACCTTAAATACTTCAAATACGTTATTCAGTAGACTCTTTCCATTTGGAAACCTTGGAATTGGACCCCAGTCTGGTGTAAAAGAAGTCTTAACTGTAAAAAAAATTAATACAAAAAATTGAAGTGTTGATTATAACTAACACAATTTACGATAATTAATGGTCAGCCGCTCTTTGATGGTTTAAAGCAAGACCCAGCTGTCCTTGAGCGTTTAATGGTCCTGGCTGAACCAGCAAATCTTTGCCAGTAACAATCCTACCATCCCATCCTTATAACACCCGCTCTTCACTCATCTTTGCTTTACATACTGTTGTGTATTCAAGAATCTAATTTTATATTATTATTATTATTATTGTATGGCCAGCATTGGACCACTTAAGTCAATATAATAACCAGGTTCTTTTTAAATTCTGTCTCTTCTTCTCGTCCGCCCAATACTTCTTCATTCTTTCCGAGACCGTTGTTTTCTTTCTTCTTCCAAAACCACTCTTCCTTGTCTCTGACTGTTTGCTTCTATTGGCAGGATGATATTTTTGTCTTTGAGTACTGCAAGCGCCTCTGACTTATTTTCCAAATCTTCTAATGATATTTTTTATTATATTTATTTTGTTTTTTTTTAGATTGAAGAACAACGGCTGCTATTAAAAGAATTAGAAAAAGAATTAGTAATACTTCAAAAAGAGGTAATAAAGAGAACCATAGAGCCAGATAAAAAGAATTAATATTGATGCCATGTTTTTTGTTACCTTTTTTGTACAGATAAATTTGTTCACAAATATTTAACTGTATCGTTTCCATTCAAACCCTGAATTATACTGCACCAATTAAAGGAATTAAGGGAATAAAAAAACATGTACAGAAAGATTAGTACACATACTCTATTTTTAACTTCAAAGGTAACATTTTAACATGTTGTATTGACATCTCTGTAGTAGCTGATGACAACCAGTATACAATAAATATTTGCAACTGAAAAAGAAAAAAGTTTCAAGTTGAATGAGTTTTAAAAATGTTATAAATAAGGTTGTCTTATGGTTGCTAGTTTCTTGAAGTGTGATGTGGATTTCAATGCGCATTTTGTCACTTGTGTGGCATCACCAGTTAGCAAAGTTTTACTTACATAATTTTGAGTTTTATTATAAATAAACCTACGATTTTTCGCTTTTACTTCCGTGTCTGCAGGATTGCTGTTGTTTTTAATTTGTCTTATTGTATTTTGAGGTTTGTTTAACTGCTGGACTAGGCAAAACAACCATTACAATATTATAGAGCTGTTGTGATAGTTGTGTTAATTTACCAGAGAGTCTGGGCTTGAACTGTGGATGGGTTTATGCAAATGGCAACTTTCTCCAACTTAAACTTTAGCTATTAATTCAGAGTTTGTACATTCAAGGACTGTTAAAGAGTTAGGGAATGAATTATGGTTGCCCATGTGTGTGTCGCTGTCCCAAAGAATTAACAATTGATAATAATTGTTCACGGATAATTGTTGAAAGGATCTGTTAGTGTATTTGAAGTATTGTTCATAGCTAGGAAAGTCCCGATGCGCTTTTCCGGAGTATAATTGGACTGCAGCCTTCCCCAGGTTGTCGTGAGAGCCAACTATAATAACTGGAGGATAAGCGATCCAGCACGGCTGACTCGATTCTCAGTTAGCTTGCTCTCAAACACGATGTTGACACCCTCTTAGTCAGCCAAACATACCAGTATTGGGATAGGGACCCATATTCTTGGTTCCCTGATAGTTTTAGTTCAGCTGCATTCTGGGTGTGTGTTTTGCAGCTAAAGTGCAAGTGAGGGGTCACACGAATGGTCCAAGTACTCGTTTGGGTCCTATACAGGGATGTCACTTACTTCAATGTCTAATTTTCCCCCAAAGTGGCTATCCATGACTTCTGCCTGGAAGAGAGTGGGTGTGATACCCCAGGGCACTTCATCGTGGCAGGTGATACCTGGGGCTGTCGTGTAGGGAATGACTCTCACCAATTTCCGAGGAAGCACATTCTGGACTCATATAGGTTCGATTGGTTTGTCAATTTTGTAAATCATTTTTAACCAGGGATTGCGTAAAGAAAGTTGCGTAAAGATTGCTTTCTTTACAAAGAAAAATAAAACAAACTACATGAATATCAAATGGTGCTAGAGTAATTTCTCATTGCTTTCCTTATAGGTAAATAAATATACCTGATAAAATGGCAAATAACAGTTCTTCTTTGTAGAACATAGAAGACATCATCATGCTGTACAATATGATACTTATTAGGGTTAAAACAGCAGTTGCCACAGTCCAGCAAAATATTAGCGTTCGATGGCCCTGGAAAAATACAAAAATAATGTTACTTTTTGCGTGATTGTTGTCATTATTGAATAAGTTTAACGATTAAACCAGTGGCTTGAAATTAGCATAACGTATTTGCATATTGACATAACATTGTTTATTATTTTCACAAAACAATCACAAAAACTCGAATTAACATGCAAAAGATTGTCTTTTAACCAAAGATAACTAAAAATTCTCGTTTCGCTAAATGCATTGCCCCAAGGTTTAAAAAAACCTAGATGGCTTAGAAATGAAATATTAGTTTGGGTAAAGCTACCATGATAATAATTACAGTTCCACATAATTTATATGACTCCCATTTACCTTGTAAGTTCCTACAAGCAACAGCCCAGTGAAAGCCAGTTGGATTGTAGATACAACCATAGTCATTACTAGCATGTGTATGGCATCTGAAATTGAAAGACATTATTGGTTTTGGCCAAACCATCCATGAATTTGATACAAGAACTGATGTTTCTTCAGATTGTCAAGTACCGGGTAATACAGTTAGACAGAAATTTTTATTTTTTCCTAAACAGATTTTGAATGAAGATAATAAGCTCAAGATGTCATATTTAAGTTATCATAAATAAATTAAAAAAGGACACGATTCATACTTGACGAGAGCGTAGATTTTTCCTCACATTGGTATTGCAAATGCAACAATAAGAATAATAACTGTCACATAGGGGTGGGGCCTGGCTTGAACATGGGATAGGGAAATAAATAACAAGGCGCTGGTGTTACATTTCAACTATATTAGCTTACTTGGTCCACCGTAGCTAGTTTAAGACCTTGATCTACAGACAATCCTCCTACTAAAAGCTAGAGTTAAAAAGCCAAGGACAGGGTGGCGCAAAAAGGATGGTCGGTTTGAAATGAATATAACTCAAATGATTTATACATATAAATTTTACTGACGTTGCTGGACACTTTCAAATACCCCATTACAAAAAATAGCCTTGTAAGTTACAAAGTTGCCAGTAGGCTTATGGTCAATCAAACCATAAAAATCTAAAAATAAAAAAACCATAAAAAAAACGTAGCAGACTTTGAATCACTGACGCTCTAAAGGTCTCTATGTTTTGTGGAGTAACTGCCGTTTGTGAACATCCAGTAGATTTACCACTCATGACAGACCCTGTTGTCTGAAATGCAGTCACCCAACGTGATCTTGATCTGCGATTAGGAACTAGTCCATTACGGGCTACACCAAAATGTTGTCAAAACAGCCATTGCATAGTAATATAAGATTTACTGTTTCTGAAAAACTTCCACAGCAAAAACGTGGTGCTCGATCATCCGCTGCGCCATCTCGCAGCAAACTGCCAAACTATACTAGATGCTTTGGTCGACTTACATTTAAGACGGCTGGCAGTGGACCCGCCCCTCCCCCCAATACTATTACTACGCAGTTCAAATCGGACCATCCTTTTTGCGCCATCCTGTATATATCTTTGCCTAAGCTGCATATTAAGTTTTTAGTCTACTTACGGACTCGCTCTCCTTCTTCTTCTACGTTAAGGTTCGATAAAAATATTCCGTTAACAAGTAAAACCAAAAAGCAGTAGATCTGAAAAAATAATGAATCTTACAACAGACTGCAATAAATCAAGATATCAAACAACCTCACTGAGAATATTGAATGTCAAATTCCTAAATTTACTGATGAAAAAAATATTCATATGACAGAGAGAAAAGGAAATAATTTAATTTTGATATTTGCCATATAAATGATTTATCATTATAGTCAATGAACCTCTGAATGTTTTATGGATAATAATTTTCAAAAAGGATCTTTCCAAATCATATTGTTTCCAAAAGTTCACAAAAATGTTGATAATGTCCCTCTCTAGAACCAATAAACAATCCAATAACCTCAATTTTTGAAATTTTGCTTGATATATTTTAAAGGTCGGTTCTACTTTATGAATGTTGAGTAGGGTGCAGACAAACAATTTGTGGTTATTGCACTTTTGTAACCTATGAATTGGTAATTATTGTGTAAATAAAGTTTCTTGATTTTTTTTATATCATTCAACACTCTAAGTCATAGTATCGTAATTAATGACTATTTTAAATATTAACATTTTCAAGATAAAAGAAATTTTCAAGTTTTGTATGGCAGGGTGTTGGTTAAAATTCTATATATCAAATCATGGGACTATAACACCATAGGGAAAATCATCTCATCTGTCAAGTAAATTGAGGCAATGTCATAATAGTAAATAAGCGATAGTATTATAAAGTCATAATATAATCCCTGGAATTTATAATACTGTAATAAAAAAATGGAAGCCCGTTACTTACGATGTTCCACCAACCAATGATCCATGTTCCGGTTGCCAAGGAGACGTAATGGCAACAATTGTGCAGATGAGGCAGGGACATGACTCGGCAACGGACAACGTCACTGTTTAAGAGACAATTTCGGATTAACCATCTTTAGGAGTACTGCTCACTATACAAAATGCTAGATACACTAAGATACAACATTACTGTTTTAGAAATACATTATGAATACAGTAAGACACATACCTAAGTAGATTCAGCGATTCAGCATTTAAAACCACAATCAACACTAAACCATCGATTACCAACAACGATCTTCTAAAATCTAAACAAAAATCAAAGAAACATTCCTAAGAGTCCAACAATGTGTCCATGTTGGCTTATACCTTCTACAGCCAAAGACATCAGCATAATCATCTAATGATGGCTTGCCAGTCAATTGAGGTTAACTGTTTAACATAATTATTCAATGCTTGGCGTCAATCTGTTGAGTTGCGTATTATCAAATCTGTACAGTTGTATTGTCCACTTAGGATAACTTTTGGGTGTACTATTGAAATTAACCTATTGATACAGGGCTGAATTAGATAAAGCCTTAGTGAGATTTTTGTCCACTATAATCTAATGAAGGCAAATGGAACTACTCTAAAAAAAAAAAAAAAAAATTATCCTGGAATCATAAGTATCTGAAAAACTTTCATAACACTGCTGATGCACTTGACTAAACATATTAACATATACAATCAAATTTTTATATTAAGTTTTGTATTTACGATACAAAGTATTACTTCCTGCACCCTTATGATGTTATAGATAAACACAACTAGAACCTATTCTAATTTGTAACAAAATAATCCAGCATAGAACAAGTTAAAAGCTTATCTTCAAAGTTTTTTGAAAACAAAATTCAATAAAATACTGTCTGAGCGCATGATTTTATAACGTTCAATCTCTGGATCAGTTTTTTTTTTTACTAGAAATGAAATATTGTTACATAAATTTGTTTTATTTTAATGTAGAAGTTGTTTTTTATTTTTTAGGTATGTTGACCTTTGACCCTGTTATACTGTACCAGATATTTCTGTTTTAAAATAAAGTTTTAAATGTAAATTAGAACTATTGTAACCGGTCAATGTTTAAAGGGAAATCTTGATCTTGCATATTTGTTAATGTATATTCACACCAAGGATAAAATACTCCATTATTTATTTTATTTTGATGTATCCAGGTGTTGGCTTTCAATTTTATGTCTTTATAAGTTTTTTTTAGTTTGATAGCAGTTAGTTCTAAAACTCACCTTTGCTGCAAAACCAGGCTATAGTATGGGTCAGATGGTTTGACGTCTTGTGTGGGCTTTTCCTGCTTCCTCTTTAACAAGTTAATAGAGGATAGTATTCGTTAAACTTTGTTCTTCATCTTTGTACCAATACAGTAATAGGAAAGTAAGATTTAATCTTATGAAACATCTTGTAAATGTATTTATAATATCAACATTTTTTTTTTAATTTTATTTTGTCATTTGAATTGCATATTTTTGATCTGATTAACAGAGTAACTGTTAATGAAAGCGCATGAATATAATTTAATGTCAGTGGTGCTGGGATGCTTGCGTGTTTTTTTACCGTAGATTTTTATATTTAAATAGTTGTTACTAATGCTTTTCAAAGTCAATAGACTTTTTTATTGAAATATTTGCAGAAATAAAAAAAAACTTTAACTCAGATATAATGGGGTACAATAAACAAAAACACAGAACTAAAAGTTTTAAACTTTCAACTTTATTTCAACAGTATATAAAAACATTAAAACAACATAGTTACTTTAACAATACATATTTTAACATAGAACATAATCCCATCCAAAACAAAATCTCATTTACTTATTGTCATTATTTAAATCTATTCTCTTCGGGCTTGGAGTATCCAGTAGTTTTCTCCCTCGTCTTCTTTTCTCAACATTTTTCAAATGGATTCTCTTCATTTCCATAATTTCTTTCATCTCTTCCTTGTCTTCCTCCTGCAATTTTATTGTCGAGTTATGTAAAAAGTTCTGAGAAATATTTTGTGATAGTATTAAGTGTGGGCTAGGAAACCCTCAAAAATAAGTAATTGTTCTTTTGAAGTGTGATTACACTTTTTACAAGCTGTAATATTTACCAAAATAAGCTTTCATTTTGTTGGGTATCATGTATCATTGACTTTGGATACTTAATTAGACATCTCCGTAATATGGTCCAGCTGTAGGCAGTTTTTACTCAAAGAAAATAGTTTACAGGATCAAATTAGATACAGGGCTACATTGAGTTACCATTTCAGTTAAACCATTGACTATTAGTAGTCAAAGGTCAAACTTATGACATGCTGGTGTATAAGAAAGACAAAGGAATCTCACAGGAGCAGACACTGTCTGTAGATCTCAATTGAAGTTATTCTTTTGTTTTAAAGATGCCTACATTTTACCATATGGGAATTATTAAATGTCTACTTTGAGTTAGTGTATTTATTGTCAATGAAATTGTGCATCTTCATTTAGGTTGCAGATAGAGCACAAAAGCTTCAGGGTTGTGTTGTATTATATTCCTCTTTTTTTATCCGAGGAAATATTCTTTTTGTCACTGAAATTATATAAAATAATGTACAAAAGTAGTTACGTACAGTCTGGTTAAGTCTGAGAACGAGAGCTCGCCGTCCGTCGGACATGGGTTGACTGTACCACATGAGTTTGTTGAGTCGTTCCTTTGGACTAACACCTCTCTCCACTACCAGAACAATACGAGCCCACTGTAGACAAAGATAATATCAGTACAAGGAACAGATTTAAACAAAGAACAGTTCAGTAAAAGAAACAGGTCTGAAAAAAGAACAGTTCAGTACATGAAACTGGTCCAAACAAAGATCACGATCACAAAATAACAGGGAAAAAAGAACAGATCATTAGACTGAACAAATGCAAAGAAAGAACGAGTCAGTATCTTCCGTTCTGATTTAAAACAAAACAAACAATGTTTGCCTGTTTCCTTTAAAAATCTAACTTAAAACATGATTCGCAAATGATTACTATTATCAGGTAGTATTGTAAGAAAGCTTGTGTAACTTTAACCATCAAACTGTCCACATACCTGGCGTTGCCACTCATTCCTGGTTTCAGCAATCTTCTGATAAGTGTTGCCCATCATAGCAATCAACATGTTCACCAGTAGAATGGCTACAATGCCCATGTACACCACGAACATTATCTGAAACAACAAACTTTCAAATATCTTATCCCCATTAGGTATCTGGTCTGAAAACGCATTGCAGTAATGCCATGAAGATTTTATGTTATTGAGTAAATTATGCTCTATGTCACCGAAACTCTTTGTGCCACAAACCTATTTCAGTATTGTTAAATATTGACTAACATGCAGTTGATAGCACTCAAAAAGTTCATAACCAATTAGACAGGCTTCTTCAAAAAGAGAAAGTTAATACTCTCTAAGTAGTGCACACTTCTACTGTCTGGAACTCTTTTTCTCCGTCAGTTAGTTGGATATTATCTTTAGAAAAAATATAAAACAAAGTTTTCACAATGTTTTACGATCTAGAATCTGATCCCTTCCTCAGTTAAGAGACTATCAAACCATCACAAGAATAGTACACAAACCCAGCCAAAGCTGGGAAAACAAACCTAGCAACCTTAACCAATCAAATTCTAGTTGCCAACTATAGTGGAAGCTTGTTAGGAGTAGGAAAGTAAAGTATGACAAACCTTAGCTTCAGTTTCATGCTCAGTTCTCTCAAAGGCCGCGTAGTAGTCGCCAAAGTTAGTGAGGGACATAAAGAACATCCCCATCACTGCTTCCATAGGGTTGGGTAGAGGGTTAGACACTGAATCGTCCACCCCATCAGGAGTCAGGGGGTTGTCAAACGATAAGAAGATAATGTAGTACGCTGAAAAGTGTTATAAGGTTATAGCTTTAAAAATTATTACAATTAAATTTATTAATAACTTTTAAGTTAACTTTTGTACTGGTTTTGAATATTTTGTCACCCACAATCTTAGCAACACCCACGAGCATTCATTGCAGTCTCGGCAATACAGGTGATCGTCTCTCACACAGAGAACACCAGAGTATAGCAGTCACTTGTTGAAGTAGTGATTGGCAGTTTAAATATTGCCGATTGGTGACTTGCGGTTTAATCTAGATCACTTGTTTTTTCTTTCTCTCAGTTAACCATTTGGATGAGCAGGTTTCGGATAGTCGACGTTCTACTGTAAGTGACTAACAGATGGAACAGTTTTTGATAGGCAAGTAAAGGTATTTTATTCATAAGAAAATATTTATGCATTTGAAATTGCTGTTGGAATAGGCTTTCTCTTGGTGATTTAGTTGACTTAGAATTTTTAGATTACTGACCTTTGTGAATACTGAATATTGATTTGATGACAACTCATTTAGGTCGATTTAAAAAGTGTCTTATGTTATATGAAAATTGATTCTGTTGAACCTAAAAAACGTATATTCAATTCATCAAGCAATACCGTGAAAATTCAAAAACATTTCAGTGTTTACTGTTTGTACATTTATTTCAACTATGTCTTGACTAAGCTAAATGTTAAAGGAAATATTACGTTCCAAATTACCTTGGGAGAACCCCATGACAAAAACAAGATAAATGGTAGCAAATCTCAACAAGTCCCCCATAATCATACGGTAAATCATCACTACGAAAGGTCCAACGGTCTTGAATCCTCTGTGAACAAATATAATATATTATTAATTGTAACAGGATGTTTAGTGAGGATAGCTTACCTGAATTGGAAAGAGTCCAAACTGGCTGAAAAAAAAACTATATTATAACAAAACATTAGACCATTACACTGTCACCTAAGAAAGGTTTTAGTACCATTCGGTTACACAGGTAATATTTTAGTGATGTGATACAGTTTACCATGAAAGGTAGTGGAAACTTGAGCAAAACAAACCTTAAATATCTTCTATTATCCACTGGTCTTTTGTATAGAAATATTAAAATTTAAAATATGATTAATTGATGTGTACCATAATGGAAAAGGATCACTATACAGTGTTGAACTAACAGAAGCAAAAAAAAAACTAACCTGCAAAAGAACAAAAAGTAAGGAGCTGTAGTTAGCATTATGATGACAGAAACAACGTCTTCTATCTCTTCGTAACAGCCGAACCTCAGGAACGGCATCACGAGCATCAGTGAGCAAGAGATCAGAAACATGACTCTAGATGGCGCTGTCATCTGGGAAAAATAATAAGAATAAGTCAGTCTGAACCAATCTTTTTAGGTACATTGTAAAAATAACTTTGAAAGTAGATGCCTTTATACTAAACCTTCTTTGCCTTTACTTTGTCTAGAATGATAAATGTATTGTTTTTGTCAAAATTTTTGAGTTTGAGTTTTGGGTGGAAATAGTCTGATTGTGGAAGTGATGTACCGGTATGTATGTGTACAGAGCTACAGACTAAACCAGTGGTCAGATTTTGATAAATTTGGTACCTATCGACAGTCATTCTTTTCATTTTTTTTAAGTTTTGATTTTTAATGGTGATTTTTCCATATAAATCCATAAAATAATCGGAAAGTGAGATCTTCACAAAACTGGCTCAAACGATTTTGATTAAAATTTGGTTAGCCATGGTCCTTTTAACTCTAAAAAATGGTACAATCCCAAATTCGGTAAAAATTGCAGTTCAAAAATTATTGCAACTTTTGTGACTTTCCCCATAAAATAGCATAGTTACTCCTACCACTTACCTTTAATTAGGGTTGTTGACAAGTTAATGCAAGATAGTATTTGTCAGTTTTTTGATACCGTTTTTATTTATATTAAAAAAAAAAATTGAAGGATATATATACTTGACGTGTGCTACAACCTGTTTAGTAAAATTCACCAGCTAAAACTTGACTTCCTTACCAAATTTTCAATGAACATATTGAGTCCAAGAAACTTGGCTTCTCTCAAAGCAGCCAGGATGTACAGGAAAGCTCCAATCTCTAGGAAGAGTTCAGCAAGAAGTCTGGTGACGTCCGTGCTATCATTGGCTTGTAGAAGACGACAATCTCCAGCGATCTCCTCCCATAATCCTTTGATTCTTTCTAGTGACCCGATCTATATTCAAACAGATAAACACTTGTTAGAGAGTGTATCTCATTGATTATTCCAAGCTTAACTTTTCAATCAACCCCTTATCGTTGCCATTGACTTTATATCTACACGTTGCCTTACGTTTTCTTTTTCTAAAAGACGTTTGTCTCACTCTGGGCCGTTTTTTTTCTACAAGCTTCCTGTACAAATAAAAAACCCACAAAATGTTCTTCTTTTGCAAAAAAGTGAACAAATTTTCAATAATTAGAGAGCTTTATAGCCTTAAAGAGTATATTTTTATCTTAGATATAGTTTTTATGTATGTTTTAATTTATTTATAGATTGTAGTCTGTGTTATTTTAAATGTTTGACCACTGAGATGTAAAAAATATATATTATTCATAAATAAATAATATCTAATGCCAACCTCTGTGACAATTGAAAACATTATTTTTGCATACTCATTGACAGTTCAATTCTTGGAGAGTTTTGGGTGTTGTACATTCTTGTATGGCATTTTTTGTATAGGTGTGGGTGTATCGATGTAATTTGTTAAAAATATATAATTTTCTTTGACATAATATCTTGTGACGAAGCCAAATGTTTCTTTTTAACCAAAAATGTAATATTTAAGAAATGAACCAAACACCAAATTATTTACTTGTTCAAACTAAAACAATTACAGCTAAAAAAAACCTTTTCAGGAACTTTTGAGAATTTTCACAAAGCACATATAAATAGTTCCTGAGAATACAATCCACCTATGCTTAAATAAATAGTTTATTAAGTAGATATTGTACTCAAAATTACTTAATTAAGGTTTAGTTTGGGTCTATTACTCCTGTCTAACCTGAGGATTTGTAGAGCTTGTAGGCAAAACCAAATTTATCTTTGTGAAATCCACTCTTGGAATACCTCCACTGCCATTTTTAGCAGGTAGTTCAACTAAATTTCCAAACGTTACATTTTTATTGCTGATGTTCGTAGGAGTGTCCTTCTTTACTCGGTTGATGAATGCTGCCAATTTCAAAGTATCTAATATCTTCCCATCACTCTCATTGTCTTTCCTGGTTTCTTCGTCAATTGAAAGTTTGTCGGGTGGTTCTTGTGGGACTGCTATACTGTTGAGAATTTCTCCGATGTTATCGCTTTGTAAAAGTTCACTAAATGAAACATTCAGTTGTTGAAGGATCGGAGTGATGTTTGTCGGAAGCATGTTGTTGAAGAGTTCTAAAGTGTTGTTTTCGTTGAAAACTACGTTGCTGGATCCGTCCATACGCATAGCCATTAGAACCTGTACAAGAATGAAAAGAGATGTTAGAAAAACAAAATAAACACATTTATTGATTTCTTTCCGTATAACAGAAATTCCTTTCTGCTGTGATCAAATGGATAAAATAATAATATTCTCTGATTCTGGATAGTTGTTTGACTCTATTTGAATATGAAAGCACCTACTGTACTGTTGAAATAATTTTAATATAAAAATTAAACTAAGTATTTGTGAAGAGTGGATTTGAGTGAACTGATTTATTTTATTGTGTGCCTTAGAATTATGTGAAAATATTTATTTTAAATGCACTACAAAGAATAAGGTGATTTCTCTAAGTGCACCGGTCTTTCTTTGCCTTGGTCTTGGGTGAAACATTGAAAAAACAGGGCTTACATTTTAGACAAAGGTTGGTCATGATGATTCTTAAATCTTACCAAATGACACATTTATGGTTAAAATCACTTTGCTCTTTGCACCTGGATGTCAAGTCGACATTGCATCGTCGAAAATTAATGTACAGCTTGCACTATTAACAAACTATTCAAACAGCTAGTTGAACTAAACTAAAGAGAAGTTAACAAAATGAATTTTGTTTCTATAATTTAGAAACATCGGCAGAAGTAACCTTTGACTAATGAGGGAACTGGTCATTCCATCCCAATAAAATAATATAAGATTAAAATACCTCAGCCATTGATGTCGTGGAAGTTCCGTTCTCTCCGAAGGGAGACGAGGTTGTATATGTGGAGCTGGAGTAGAGAGAAGTCGTGTTGGCAGCTTTGACTACAGCCGCGGGTGGACCAGGTCTCATGGTGAACACGGCGAGAGAAACGAGAAAGTAGCATGAGAAGAAGATGAACTGTCTGTAGAACCTGTCAACAGTCCAGTTAAACAAAAAAATCCCAATTCTTGCGCAAAATTATATATATGCAAACTTAAAAAAATAACAAAAGTAAAAACAATATAGGTTTTAGTTTACTTACCTGTATTTGACAAAAGCGTTCCACTTAGCATGGAGTAGATCCACAAGTACTCCGTCCATCAGTTCCAAATGTTCATCTTTTTCCTAACCACAAAACAACAATCATACCTCAGCCAGAAATAAAATATATTAAAACAGTATATACGGTAATGTAAAACAAATTGTCTATTTAAGGCTCATCTATATTATTCCTTTTATACTAAAACTACATTATAATGTATCAAGAAAAATTAAATCACATGAAATATGAAATAAACCCGGAAAAAATTTAGCAAGACATAGAAGGGGAGTAAAAATTTAAATGAAAATTTTCACTGCACACAATATATAGATACTGTTTATCCTCATAGCTGGGTAGCTAAGTGGTTCGGTCCTGAGAAGTTAGTAGCTTTTTGATGTTTTTATTTACTCAGCAGTAGTCTTTTGTCACTGTACTATTGGCTTTAATTCAGTAAACAAAAGAAACATAACCAGTAGTTTGTACTCGTAAACTTACCCCAAACACAACTAAATTGAGAGCAGAGTTTTTGCTTATATTTCCAGTTTCATTGTCTATTGTATCAATTTGGGAAAGCGGATAAGCAGCACACGTTATACTTCCTGGAACAAAATCAATTAAAACTTGAGTCAAGGAATACTTAAAAATATTGCGTTCTCTTTGTACAAGTATATATAATTTAAATTCTATTTCTATATAAAGCAATCAATTTTGAAGTAAATAGACAACCCGAATGGCGGTGGCCACATAGCATTTTGGTACAGTAGTTGTAGCACACAGGGTCTTCCTAAAATGTGTGCACTGTAATACGTGATGGCAAAGGGGAAAAGGTGAGCAGTAGGGGACAACCAATACAATTTGCTATAGACACCTGCGACTGGTGATATACACACCACTTAAGTGTACCATTGAATGTATCCTCTGTATCTTACTGCTCTGTGCCCATTTTCAACTATCATTGCTAACTTTTTCTACCAAGTAGAATGCACTTTGTTAAAATTCTTCCTCGATTAACATTGCTGTCAATGTTAGCGAAATATTCTGAAGGAGTTCAGAGTTTCTTGAGCAAGGATATACTCTTTCCTTTAGAGGTAATCCTGACTTTAAAACATTATTTAGTACCATGTAATTAACATTTAATTAATCTTTCCTGGTACTCACCAATCTGCCAATAGATTTCTCGTTCGATGTTAAGAATGTGGAAAAATATCTCTATCCGAGCGAGTTTGGCTGCTAGTGTCAACGGAGTGAGGTTCTGTATGTTTAGAATACTCAGGTTGGAACCAGTCTCATAGGCCATGTCGAACATTTGCTGTACAAAACATATTTTTAATTAATTGGTTTTTAAATCCATGTTTCTAGTCTGTGTTATGACATTCTATACATTAAATATGTTTTGGTGAAGATGGCTTTAGGCTAGGATTTTTAAGGATTTTGTTTTTTCAAGCCTTCTGTTGAAAAAATCCTAATCCCATATATTAAATACCTACCTTTAGTTGTTTGTGCATATAAATTGTTGACTTTATGACTCTGTGTCATCAATAAGGCAATAGCAGATAATTAAACTTGAGTATCCGCACCATAAGTTAATTAATAATTTATTTGAATCTCTATAAAAAAAACTTACACTCTTTTCATAGATGACCAGCATATGAAGCACAGTGTTGCCATTTGTATCTTGGGCGTCAGGGTTTGCTCCTCGCGCAAGAATCAGACGATAACACTCCTCTTGACTTCTACACGCGGCAAAACACAACGGGTACTCTCCCCAATAGACGTACCTACATACAACACAAACCTGTTAAGAGAATAATTATTGATGTTTGTGCTAAATGAAGAGCACAATTGGGATTTTGAAAGTAAGTTGACTTTAATACTTTTAATTAAAATGGCCACCATACGAAGGTGGGTATTTTAAGCAAAGTATGAATGGAGATGAGTGGAGGCTAACATTATCAATTCAATTATATCAACTATTTAAGGTGGGGGACGCCTCTATTTTAACCAATAATTAGGGTAACAGTATTGAGATTCATTAGATAAAGTTTATAAATTTGTATCTAACTATTTTCATTTTTTTACAGGTCTGGGTTCTCTTTTAACCTCATATTTCCACAGTGATCTCTGACATATGTGGAACAAATCAAGTTAAGTAAGAAGGAGCCAGTCAAGTGCAAGAGTAGACTTTTAAGAATGAATTTTAGTGGTGGCAAAAGGACACATATGTTGCTGCCAACAGAGCTACCGAATCACCAATTGTCTAATCGTTGGTCTCATGCTTTGGACTGAGATAATAATCAGGAAAAAAATATCTCACAGACATAACTAAATGACGATTATGAGTAACTAGAGAATATTAGGACATTAGTTTCATCTTATTTGCAAGAGAAATATCAGTACCGAGTTCCAAAATACCTCAAAAAAACAATAAAAACCATCCACATTACCCCTCGTAGTTGGTAAAAGGAGTAAGGTTGACCCATTCATGGTCCACAGAATCACTCCGAGAAAACTTCTGATCTTCAGGGCACATGAAGTTGCCGAAACATCTCTCTTCGAAGTTGACTCCGCTGTCAAGAAGGAACTTCACCATGGCTGGATCTTCATTTACAATCGCAATGTGAAGAACATTCTCACCTGTAATATTATAAGATTTTGAGTTAATTAATACTATATCAAGATGTACCTGAGTGATTTAAGGGATGGTTTGAGTAAAAATAAAGATCTTTTTGAAACTGTTTTAGAAAGGTTTGAAGTTTACACATCAGTGATAAACTAGAATACATACTTAGTGAAGATGAATGGAGTATGACATGAGTCAAACTTGTTATTAAGCTCAGTATAATGAGATTGGGAAGCTACTAAGGCATAAATAACCCAAATGTAAATGGAAAGATACAAGTTAAATGAGAGAGTAGATTAGATTAGCTTTGTTACTGACTAAGATCATTTCAGCTTGTTTTTTCCAGGATAATTTTTATTAGCATATTAAATGGAGAGCAGGGTAAAATATCAAAAAAATTTACAACTAACTTACTCAGGATCAAACCATCAACAACCTAATTATTTGGCACTTAACCACCCAGCTACCCTCAAAACTAACCATAATACTCGTCGCACATGTAGATGTCGTTGATCAACTTCGGGTAGAACTTGAGCAGTCTCTTGGCCAAGTCTGCGTGTACTGATGTAGCACTGAGTAGACACAAATGTAGCACAGTCTCTCCTACAGCGCCTCTCTCATTGAGGTCCCAACACACCTCTCTATACTTGCTGGTGTCTACAACAAACAGTGGCCTATCATTTAGAAGTATTGACATGTCATATGTTTATATATGAAAATCAAAATCTTGTAAACTTTATGACGAATAAACATTTCATTTCATTAGAAAAAGAGATAATTAAAACTAAATGAATGTTTTGTGTGTGTAGATGTTTTCATCCTCTGAAATTTCCTTCTGAAATACTTGGCTTATGGCTTCTCCATATCGCATACGTGTTTTTTATATATATATAAATATGGATGCTGCATAGCACGGGTGTAGAATGATCACACGATGATCTGCAAGTTAGATATATTTTAGTCAGGTTTTATTAAATGCTCCATGATCAAGGGGCAGTCGTGTCCAGTTTCAAATCATAAAAACACTTTTGGGTTTTAATAGAATCAAGGACAGGTTTAGCTGTATTTTAATTCATTTTCCATGCAGCTAAGATTCTTTTGTTTAACAAAACCATTATGTTTCGTTGTCATCAGATTTCAAAAGAACTTCTCTAACAATTTTAGAATGTTAAACTATGATCAGCCAACAAGATAACTAAGAGGGTTGTACCATACCTCCCTTTGTTTAGGCTATGGATAGTAACAGCTAAAGATACTCTCCTGGCGGTATAAGAGTGGATTAACATTTAAAAAGTTTGGTATTAGACAAACTTACCAACTCTCTCCCCCTCCTTTGGTTCTGGGATGTTCATGTAATTTTTGTTAACATCAAAAGTCCCTTCATCCATGTTCCGCACTATTGGTAGCTGTGTGAAAAAACCCATTGTTGTATTATTCAAAAACTATTTATATAAAATAACTAATTTTTTCTCTAAATACTCTGGTACCGCTCATAGTAATCAGCCAATTTTGATGACAGCAAATGCCAACAAAAGTTACCTTTCCCAAGTGCTTGGTTTATTTTCCTTTTCCCAAAAGGTTTTAAGCTTGGTGTCAAAGAATAATTTACCATCTAAAACACTTGACACATGTAACATTTGAAATGATCAGACCTCTTTCCAGTTAATTATTATATTTGATACATATATTGACAAGTTACAAATCAAAGAAGTATGAAATAAGAAGAACAAAACAAACTGAAATACAGGAGGCACTGGATAGAAGAAGAAACATCATGATTCAGTCAGTTTTATTAAGTCAGTGGCAGTGATTAGACAGTGCTGGCCAGCCTGTACAGTGTTTTATCAGTTTATCAATTTTTATTCAATTTTAATTAATATTTCAACATGACAAGTTTTCAATATTGTGACTGTGACATTCTTTTAAATAATCTATTGACATACCTCAATGTATTTATACATTGATAATGTGGTTGGATATTAATGACCTGACATAGTTCTAAGGAACGAAACTAGTCTTCATTGGAACAACTAACTGTGGTTGGATAAGGTAATTACTTTATTTTATCAATTATTTAAATTTTCTTTATCCCTTGAGTTTGCTGCTTATTGACATTTTGTAATGACTGCATCTTGTCTTCGTACCAATTTCATGTAATCTATTTCTGGGGATCAGACTACTACAACATCAAAAATATCTAATAGTGTTGGTATAAAATTAAAATAATGTCTTTCTCTCATAACTTGTTATTCACTAATGTAAATAAATACTCTATTTGATTCACCATTTTGTGTCGAGGTCGATCTATGTTCCTCATGAGCACCAGTTGCGCTACTGGGATCCACTTTCCTTTACCTCGGTTGTATAAGAACGGTTCTACTTTTGTCTTGATAGCATGATCCAGTTCTGCGTATTGTTTGTTTTGTGCGGCTCGCTTCATCAGTTCAACAAGTAAACCTCCTCCTAGAATAAAGCTGTGTTAGAAACTTGAATTCTTAAATCAACTTTTGGAGAAAAAATCATGTATTGATGTGATGGTTTTAGATCTACAATAAATACATATTTATGGATATTTAGACTGATAAAATATTTTATATTTAAGTAATTTGCCCTTGAATTTTTTTTGCCTTGAAGTAATATCCAAAGCTCCAACTTTATTACAGTTTATAACACAGGCTTAACTCATTGCAGCATAGTTTTACAGTAAATGTAACACCAAATGTTTGTCCATTGTTTCACAGTGTTACACTTTGTGTAACACCACATGTTTTATTTTTTTCCAACCAGACACACAGCGCTATTATTTCGGAACTGTTCCCCTGTAGTTCAACACATCACCACTAGATAGGGTATGTGGGTATTTGAGGGAAACCTATTTATTTATTGTGTTCAGAGACGTTCACATGTGATCGTGTTGGTGTTTACTGTTATCATTGATACTTTCATGATTATTGAGGTAAGTTTATTACTGATTATACTTATTCTAAATGGAAAATGAACTTATGGTTTCGTTATACAATATAAAGTTGTTTTCCCATAATTTATTTAAGTTATATGTTGCTAGGTGATAGGTCAAAACAATTAAAAACAAGCATTTTTGCATTTGTCATAGTTCCGTGCAACATGGGGTCACAGAACTAGGGATGGTTCCGTGCAGCAAAGAGTGTTTTTAACTCTCGCTCGTTTTCCAACCTCGGATTTGTCTTGGTCTTTAAATTTGAATTTGCACCAAAATCTCTATCCTACATAATGATGAAATATGCTATTTTTTGGCTCGCCCCTCTTGCTCCCAATAGAGATCCAACTTGTTACAGTAGCGCCCGATGGTCGATAACTAGATTCTCATGGGGGTTATTAAATAAGACATCATCAAGGCCGAGGTTGACTTCTTAACGAGGTTTGCAACAACATCAGATATGGATGGAATAAATTCAAGGGGATTTGAAAATTGCTTTAGCTAACAACATTGACTTTTTATCGAGGTTCTACTGTGTTCTCTCGCTTAAACTATTTCAGTTCCTTATAGTTAATGATTCACCTTTCAGATCCACCAGTTTGTACATCTGTACATTGGAAGTGTCCGCTTGTTTTTTCACGCCACTTGCAACATTACTCTCTGAATTACCCATGGTGCTGTTGTTTTTTCTGTTTTACCTGTAATATAATACATCACGTTTAGTAATAAAATTTTCACTCATCAATTAAATTTAATAATACCATAAATTTTTTTCAACATTTAAGGTCAAATACACTACAGGTATTTTGTTGGAAAATTATCAATGACAGCCTCTTGAATTGTAGAATTGGTTTTTGACGAAATGGACAGGTGGTTTATTGATAAACATTAACATTTTAAAAAGAGCCTTTAGTAGACATTTTGAGCCATAAAATAGAAAATATTTTACTCCTGGTTCAAGTCCATTTTGCCTGATTAACTGAAAATAAAATTTTACATTTAAAATTAGGTTTAAATATACATATTATTTAATAGTACAAGTATGGTGATGGTGAGTTTGTTTTTGTTGATTAATTTATCATTGCGGAAGTTTATCATCAGTAAAAAGTGATCTAATTCTGTGTTTTACTAAGTGTAATGAAAAATGTCCACAATAATCCTTCAAACAATACATACAACTGTATATTTTTTTAACAATATTGACTTACCTCAAAGTTATACACTTCCCTCTAGTAACTTCTTACCAGTACTAAATATTATTTGACAAATTTCCCCTCCTCTCGACATTCAATTGCAGAATTTTGTTTTCTGATTCCATCTTGACGGTTTCTCACTCACATTCACTCGTTTTGCAACCGTTTTATCTTCAACTGTTATGAAACACCCTGTGGGGACGCATAGCACAACTTGTAAGCCATTAGGGTTGTAGTCAATAGCTGGGTGCCTATCACGGCCAGGTACCTTTCACCCCTTTCATCCCCCTCCCCCCCTTTGACATTGCCCTTTCTTCTCTACATGTTGCTTCCCATTTTCACCACCATTGCTGTATTAATTAACAAGACAATGTTTACCGTTTCGTGTTTCCAGAGGGAAACTTTCTTGACACATTTCTCGTGGACTTTCGGTTTCAATAAAAATCTTTTAGAATTGTATTTGTTGTTTGAAAATTGTTGGCTGTTTGTTTTTCAAGACTACTGATTGACTTGTATATTCACTTGTAATGGTAATCAAATTTTTTCTCTTACATTGCAATTTTAAATTGTTATTTGAGCCAACAAGAATATTTTTCAGATATTTTAATACATTTTTATCTTGATCATACATTTTTGTCTCTAATATATTTTCAAAGTTTACATAAATCTGGTTTATTTAGACATGACATTCTATCTTTGATTTTCTAGAAGGAAGTAGGAAATTCAAGAAAATATCTCTAGCAATTTTTTTGTTTGGGGTAGATTATGAAATTTTATTTGATAGGGACAAAATACTAAAAAGTGTTCCTTGGTATTTCAAGGGAATAGCAGCGTAAACTTATCACTGTAAAAGTAGGTTATATAATGAAATACATAGAAAAAAGCAAATATTTATTAAAGAAAATCTTTTAACTTTTAGGAGTTTGAAAACACACATGGTACAAATGTATTATAGAGACACAAGAAAACTCTTGTTTTGCTCAAACTACTAATGATTGTTAATTGACTTTTTTTAGAATAAAAAATAAGTATATCATTAGAGTCCCTTGGAAGTAGTGGTATCTATCTAGTAAATAACAAGATCTTCTGCAGTAAAAGTCTCTTTATTATTGAAAGTAAGTAATTTACAAACAAGACTGTACAGAACTGTTCAAACATGCACCGGTATTAATTATATGCACAAGATACAGTTTTAGGAACTTATGAAATTTAATTAAAAGTGAAGGCATAATTAGAAATCTACAAAGTTTTACATTCGGTAGTCTACATATGAGGTTTTCTAAAATGTTAAATATAATAGGTGATCTCAAGGAGAAGATAAACATAAAAATACTGTACTGGAATGAAAGATTTTCTAGGATTTTACTCATCCCTCCACAGCTTAGAAAATAATATAAACAAATATTTGGGAATTAAATCATACAATAAACGGTCAAACCATGGGGAATGTGAATTGGAAGAGAATTACCACTTTCAAAATTACTATAAAGGTGAAAATTGTTTTTTATTCGTAAATAAACATTATTATCACACTATCTTTTTTTAAGTCAAATATATGATTTTTAGGCTAAAGGGCTAACTTCACTCATAATTCACAGAGTTTTACACTTATATAATGTGAAAATTTAAGTAACATCCATTGTAAGCTTTACATTACCGCTGCAAAATATTTCTTTTAATCAATGAAAGAAGAAATATTTTAATTTGACACTAACCACATGCACATACAAAATAACAGATCTCTATGAAGATTCTGTTTGTTCCAAGGATTAAGTTAATTTTTCTGCAACATTTTTGTACTTAAAGCTTTTGTCATTTTCAAGCCTTGCCCAGTCCTCTGTCTACATCCCTTACTTGTCGGTAGTAACTGTAGACCACAAAGAAAAAGTAGACTGTCACTGCTGAAAATTGAAAAATACCGTCAAAACCACATACAGAATTTCAAAATGTACATCTAGGTATCTATTGTTTAATATCAAAATTTGACTTGTATATCTTCATTTTTTGTGAATACCTATACCTAAACACATTTTGAACTGCTTTTGAGTTAGTACAGTATGCAAAGTAGATTTAACTAGGTGTATTACTTACATTTTCACACATCAGGATCCATTTTTATTAAAATTAAAAAACAAAATGGACTTTTTACATAACTGGAGAGGTACAAAATACTTACAAACATGAGTAGCTAAGCTGACAATTCGGGGGTTTAGATCGCCAATGGCCAAATGACTCGCCATAGTCGCTAGATACGCTCCTTCCATCATAACTACAACTAACGCCACCACAAGCCACGGCAAGATCAAACCTGCATTTTCCTGAAACAGTTTTTTAATACATTTATATTATGATCAATATTAATAGTTAGCATTTTGAAGGCAACACATGATTTCAATTCAGTTTGACAACAAGAAGCATATTTCCTTTGAAAGACGGTCATTCTAAACTTTTTGATAAGAGCCTAACCCATAAATTGGGTAAATTATTTTAAAATTGAATTTATTTTCTAAATTTTTTTCTGATAATCTTTGGATTTTGACAGGAACTCTTTAAACCCGAGACTCTTCAACGACACTTTAAATCTCTAGGTTCATCCCCGTTTTCCAACGATAGTTTGTTTTGTTGCTGAATACTGGCTAAATCAAGCTGGTTTTTAGTCAGGATAGTTTGTTGACAGCTTTTTGATGGTTAGAAACTGGACCCAGCTGTCCTCGTTTATTAAGCTTTCAATTCAATTCCGGTTGTCTTTATTCATCAAGTCCATTAGGAAAATATAAATGAATAGCGTCAAATTTCTTAAATAAAAAGTTATAATGAAATGTACATGCTTTTAGTATGCAAGAGAAAATTTTAAAAGAACAAAATACCAACAGAAAAAGACATAAATAAAGTGAAAACATATACTTTAATTTAGTAGGGAAAGAGAAGCCAATTACAGTTCATCAAATGAATAAAGGTCCCTGCCAACGAGAAATTTCTTAAAGTTTTTTAAAATATTATTTTAATAAATAGTCTTAGATAAAAAGAATGTTTAAGTGATAAAGACACTATTCTACACTCTCCCCGCAGTGCATTTATATTCAGTTTATAATATGTACTCAAATATGCGTTTGTGTGATACAGATACGATTGATTAATGTTGTAACAAATTTAAATACCCCCGCCGCAGCAAACCTGCAGACTAAGCGAATTTTAACTTGTCTGATTACATTTTTACTAAAATATTTCCATAAATAAGACATATTTATTCCCTATTTAAATAACATTAGATTTAACGAGTGCTTAGGTTTGCTGCTACGGGGAAGGTAAAAAGTGTTTTTTGACCATAAGTCAATAGTATAAGATGAAATAAATAAATTTGCCAAAATTTATAAATATATATCCATAAACAAGTAAACTACAACAATTTTCATTTTCTCCATATAAGAATAACATGGGAATTTTAAATTATACTATTTTTGAATTTTCTCCATGACCATTAGGCATATAACAGTGCTTCAATATACTAAATTATTTATTTTTTTAAGCTCTACAAAACGGTTTAGAAAGAAATTGCAATTTTTTTTGTTTTTTTCGCATTTTTGCCACATGAAACCCCCCATAAAACCCCGTTCCCATGGTCCGATTATGCTGGATCGCGAACTCGTTCAAATAGACGTAGGTTTACACGTTTTTACCAAATTTCATCAAAATCGGACCATTTTTGCTTGAGTTATCGCACTAACTGACACACATATATATATGAATTTGAACGGATGGTGTTTTTGACCTCTTGTCCTTCTAGGGGCCTCAAAATGAAAAATTAAATTGGTCCTGGGTCCAGGTCTTACCATGAGTACTACGGTAATAGCTTATTCCCTATATGGGGAATTCCCTAAAACTACCTTAATTAAACAAACATACAAATCGTTTTTGGCAAAAGAGTAAAATGGGTAGAAACACTAATAAGATTTTCCTTTATTGAAGTTATAATAAAAACAATTTAATTACATCATGATATTTTCATATGTTAAACCTTACCTTGTGGGTGGCAATGATCAGAAAAAGGCTGAAAATGGCCTGAAGAGTACGAGCCCCAAGTATACACGACTCCAAAACTAAAAGAAAAACACTATATTTTAGATGGTAGGGCTACTAAATATGTAAAATAACTTATAAAAATATTTACCCAGTTTTACAAAACATTTGGAGTAGGAATAAGCATTTCGAAGGAAGAGAATAAGAAAAACCTAATAGGGAACATGATGTACGCAGTTTTGATTCTCTCTGTCTAAAAACATGTCTATACTTTGTCAATGCAAATTAAAATAGTTTGTTATAAAAGAGAAACCAACAATAAAGCATGGAGCACGTTTATCCATCTATACAGAAATTTATTGTAAACGTTAACAGAAAATAATTTCTTCTTACCTGTGTCGATATTTGAATCTTTGCTAACAATTACATAGTTTCCGTTTATGAGTGACATTATCGCCATGTATGTAAGAATGCTTGCCCAAATCTGTAATATTATAGGATTATTACAATTGGAATCTGTAGGAATATTACAACAGAATATAAGAACACTAAAAATATACACTTAATTTTATGTCATTGATATTTCAAAAGACTAAAAAAATGTTTAGTTTGTTAAGTATGAGGTATGTTTTTTAAGACAATAATAGGGTTTTTACATACCTCAGTCAAATAGTCCAAAAATGATATTGCTCAACAGCTTACATGTTTCGTTGCGAAGACAACATTATCAAAGCTTGCAACTCGTCAAAAACACATTTAAAACACGAACACGAACACAGAAAACATTAATACGGTACGAATACACGATTGACATTTATGATTCTCTCTATCGTGCTCTTACTCTTGCGACGCGCCTTTCTGCACTGGAAAAAATAATATTAAAAGTGCAGTGCAGTCGCAACCGTTTGCCGGGGATAGCTCAGCCTACAATGGCTGGGTAAAATTCCAGGGTCTGCGATAAGGTCAGGGAAACCACTAGGCCAAAAGCCGGGTCTAACCGGTATAGGACTGGCTCATACACGGGCACTGTGAACAAGTCAAAAACAAGTCACCAAAACAAACGTGCAATAATCACTACCAGACCTACGCCGATTCTCCACACTCCTAGGGGGTCGTTGCTGACTACGCAACTCGGGCTTCGTCCTAACTATCCAATAGCTAAGCCCAGAGTGCCTAAAACACGGTGAGTTACACGACGACTTGCCAATAAAAACCACAACGCGTGTTATCACCAGGCGGGGTCTACTAGGCCACTATAATCCAATACACAACTCTAATGCCCAAGCTAAGAATCAAACAGTTCACTCAATAATCGTACCACATAATAATATACAAGTACACTATAGGTAGAGTGACTACACCACTAGTAGCTGGTCTCAATAAATACCAAGCCAAACAAGCAAGACTAAATGGCAATTGCACTATTAAAATATTGAGCTACTTAGTAGCAGATAAATAAATATTGAATACGTTCCAAACACTAGATAAATATATTATCTGATAGCCGGTACTCCGCTATCCAAGCTACCAAGATAACGTGTTGGACTACCAAACAAGCTGTTCAGGTTAAATTAAAATAATCAAATGAATAAACAATAACAACCCTACTACTGTTACTGCTACTACCAACGTTATATTGCTTAGCCGGGCTTCTGTTAATAGGCTAATAAAACTAGCTACTAGCCTACTGGCCTCGTGCTTCCAACTACGCACGCTAAATCGTGCAGCCTAGGTTTGTCAGGCCTCAGAGTTATTAGTAATATAACTAACTCTAGGTACAACGCAAAATAATATCTACTACAGTCAATTAAATTATCTTATTTGCGCTCTAGCACCTGCCCAGAACCGTCAGGAGTACACTTTAATATTATTCCTGACTAATATAAATCCTAACTACCGTCAGGCTTTGACCAGCACGGTTACAACTCTAACTCTCGCAATAAAATCAGATATTAATATTATCAACTCTTAAACCAAAATGTAAGTAACGTCGTCCACTCACCAACAGTGGGTCTGTACCCAACTTACACCAACACTCGGCGCGATCACACCACCAACGTACTCCGACACCACTGTCACGTACACTCCTCTCTACGTACACCACCGACGTATCCCAGTGGTCTTCACAAGACACCACACTAACTCTTCCTTACTGTCCGGGATCCACCACTAGAATGTCTGTCCTAGGCTATCCTGAGAAACTAGGATATCCCAGGCTTATCGGCACTGATAAGCCGGGTCAAAGGGCGCTAGCCAGGTTCGCCGCCGCCGCTTGCCTACCTCAACAATCGGTGCGCGGCCAAATAGCAAATATTTACCCCCCTAGGAAAATAACTCGTTACATCCCCCACTTACATCGGGATGAAAAAAAAGAAAACGGCCAAAAAGAAAAAAAATCTTTGAACTCCGGCCAAAACAGAATACTCCAACCCCTAACCCAATGGTGAACCCTACACCACAGGTCTCAAACTTAAAACAAAGAAAAACTCTTCTACTCGCCACTACCAGCCAACATGGTGCTGAATGATTTGGCATCAGGAACCAGACGGGGATTTCCATTGCAAGGGCCTTCGGGGTCTTCGTCACCAATTTTGACACTGTCCATGCGGCCCCCTTGGCCAGAACAGTCATCACCCACGCCCATTGTTATCACCTCCGTCACGACCGTCACAAGTCCGAGATCTCGTATGGCATCCATACCCAAAATCATATCCGTGGTGAGAGTGGGGACATACAAGGCATCTCCTATCCACCGTCTTCCCGCAGCTTCTGCTAGCCGAAACGAATACTCGGCCGTTGACTGTGTCCCATCTGCCATCCTTAGAGGAGCGGTAATCTTACAAGGCTCAATCCCCTGGCGTCGAAGATGTTCGGCGACTCCTCGCCCAACCAGGTTAACTACGGACCCAGTGTCCAATAACGCCTTAAAAACGCTGCCCATCAGCACAACTTCAACAAAGGGCCTTGTCTCCGAAACCAGCCGGTTCTCGTCTACTCCACCAACCAGGCTGTTTAGTTTTCCGAGCCACTCGGACCACTCTTCTGAGGTCGTTCGTTTTCGGTGGCCTTGCCCAGTTGACCTCCTGATGTCTGAGCTGGCCTGCCGTTTCCCGCACGACATCCACACTGGTTCACAGTAAGACCGGGTTTCCCACACCCAAAACAGGAGACGGTCCTCAGTTTGCCACATTCTCGGGCAAAGTGGCCAATCTCCTGGCACCTAAAACATTTCACCGTCCCCTTTGGACCCTCAGCTGCTGTCACGGGCCGTTGACCGTGGACCCGATTCAACTTCGAAGCCACCCGCCCAAGCGACTCAGCTTCCGGAGATGATCTCTCGAAACTCCGCTTCTCGACTGCGGCAGTTTCGGCGCGCTTCTCCACCTTCTTTTTGGGTGCGTAGGCGGTTTCCAAAACCAGCGCTACGTTTGGAGAAGGAGGAGGTCGGAAGGCCGCCTTCTCTCGCAGATAGGCCTCATAGTCTTCAGCCAACTCAACCATCTCAGCCAGGTTGCTGAAGTCCCGCCGTCGCACCATGAGCTTGTACTCGGGTCGCATGTTGTTGTAGATCAAGTCCAATCTACCATACTCCGACAACGTACCGCTACGCCTAAGCAAGGTACTTATGGCAACAACGTAGTCCCGGAAGTGCTCGCCTTCACCCTGTGTCCTTTTCCGGATCTCCTCATCCAAGTTCCTCCAATATCCTGGTGGGAAGAACTGGATTTCAAACTGACGCCGGAAAGCTTCAAAGGAATACAGGAGCTCCTTGCAATTCCTGTACCATAGAAGCGCTGAGCCTTGCAACAGCTCCGGCAGCGCTCTGAGCAGGTCCTCTGATGATACGGAGTAGGACACCATCAGCTCTTCGAGGCGCTCTAGGAATGACACTGGGTCTCGTCGGCCATCAAACCTCAAACCCCACTTCCGGACCATGTCGCATATCTTGGAACAATTCTTCGGCTCCACCCTGCTGGCCTCATTCGAGAGCATATCCGATCCACGTGGCACCTCCACGTTAGAAGGACGAACTGGTCTCTCCAAACTATCACTGGGCCGCTGCCATCCCTCGGGTCTACTTGGTAACCCAAAGGTAGACAGCTGAGCAGCCACAACAGGGGATGCAGGGTTGGCGGGTCTTTCGAACCCATAGCCGACCTCATTACTCGGCGAGCCTCTCGCCTGTCGCACCACCGATGCCAGATATTCTCGAAGAGTCCGGGTATCAGTATCCAAAGACAACCCAAGAATCTCTTTGACCGCCTCTAACTCCCTGCTAAGTTCCCCTATCTCTATTTGGCCCGAATCAGTACTACCCAGTACCTGAGGTACGGTTCTCGGGGGGTCAGGAAGTCCCATAGTGGTAATAGCTGGCGGTACATATGTCGCTGCAGCAGCCCCAGCCGTACACAGCCTGTCATCGCTGTACCGACGGGCATTCCGCTGCTTCCAAAACGACGAGAACCTCTGCCGTAACTCCGCAGAAGTACCAGTGGTCACCAAACCATACTGGTCCATCGTCCTCATGAGCTCCCCTTTCGAAAGGTCATAGATCCATCCCACGCGAACGTCCCGGGGCTGCGACCCCAAGGACAAAGTCGCTGGCGCGGAATAGGTCAACGAAGTTGTCACCGTCGTAGCCACTACCGAAGAAATTGTCGGCCAAACGGGCGAAGACGCCGGCCACAATGACGATGTCGTCATCACCGACAGTTCGGAGCTAACCCCAGAACTAGTCGTAGCAATAGCAGACGTAATAGGCGTACCGCCCAGCACGGACGTCGTACTCGTAGTCACAACCATATTTAAAATTCAAATACCACGACTAATCCGCAAAAATAAGAGCGAAACCGATTAAAATCTATTTAACACCGTACTATAAATCAAACCAAATATAGGTGTGAAAGTCAAACCACAAATACACAATAAGGGTTCTCACTCAAATAATATTCGATGATAAAGCTCAATTAATTAGCAAAATTAAAATTACTAACTAATCTATATGTATACAACCACCAAATAAATAATTAGGGTTCACAACACACCACGCTGTAACAGAAAACAGGTTAGGCCTACCCAACCGACTATAAAATCACAGCAGGTCTGCCTAAAACTCTGCTCAACAGCTCAGGTCCGCAGCCAATCTGCACAAGTCCGCAGCAAATCTGCACAAATAAAATTATTTTGTTCGGGCGCCGTTAATACGTCAGCAACTCAGCACCACTGCCAACCTCAGTCCCTGTTCGCAGGCGCCATCTTGCGACGAGATTTTCTGCACTGGAAAAAAAATATTAAAAGTGCAGTGCAGTCGCAACCGTTTGCCGGGGATAGCTCAGCCTACAATGGCTGGGTAAAATTCCAGGGTCTGCGATAAGGTCAGGGAAACCACTAGGCCAAAAGCCGGGTCTAACCGGTATAGGACTGGCTCATACACGGGCACTGTGAACAAGTCAAAAACAAGTCACCAAAACAAACGTGCAATAATCACTACCAGACCTACGCCGATTCTCCACACTCCTAGGGGGTCGTTGCTGACTACGCAACTCGGGCTTCGTCCTAACTATCCAATAGCTAAGCCCAGAGTGCCTAAAACACGGTGAGTTACACGACGACTTGCCAATAAAAACCACAACGCGTGTTATCACCAGGCGGGGTCTACTAGGCCACTATAATCCAATACACAACTCTAATGCCCAAGCTAAGAATCAAACAGTTCACTCAATAATCGTACCACATAATAATATACAAGTACACTATAGGTAGAGTGACTACACCACTAGTAGCTGGTCTCAATAAATACCAAGCCAAACAAGCAAGACTAAATGGCAATTGCACTATTAAAATATTGAGCTACTTAGTAGCAGATAAATAAATATTGAATACGTTCCAAACACTAGATAAATATATTATCTGATAGCCGGTACTCCGCTATCCAAGCTACCAAGATAACGTGTTGGACTACCAAACAAGCTGTTCAGGTTAAATTAAAATAATCAAATGAATAAACAATAACAACCCTACTACTGTTACTGCTACTACCAACGTTATATTGCTTAGCCGGGCTTCTGTTAATAGGCTAATAAAACTAGCTACTAGCCTACTGGCCTCGTGCTTTCAACTACGCACGCTAAATCGTGCAGCCTAGGTTTGTCGGGCCTCAGAGTTATTAGTAATATAACTAACTCTAGGTACAACGCAAAATAATATCTACTACAGTCAATTAAATTATCTTATTTGCGCTCTAGCACCTGCCCAGAACCGTCAGGAGTACACTTTAATATTATTCCTGACTAATATAAATCCTAACTACCGTCAGGCTTTGACCAGCACGGTTACAACTCTAACTCTCGCAATAAAATCAGATATTAATATTATCAACTCTTAAACCAAAATGTAAGTAACGTCGTCCACTCACCAACAGTGGGTCTGTACCCAACTTACACCAACACTCGGCGCGATCACACCACCAACGTACTCCGACACCACTGTCACGTACACTCCTCTCTACGTACACCACCGACGTATCCCAGTGGTCTTCACAAGACACCACACTAACTCTTCCTTACTGTCCGGGATCCACCACTAGAATGTCTGTCCTAGGCTATCCTGAGAAACTAGGATATCCCAGGCTTATCGGCACTGATAAGCCGGGTCAAAGGGCGCTAGCCAGGTTCGCCGCCGCCGCTTGCCTACCTCAACAATCGGTGCGCGGCCAAATAGCAAATATTTACCCCCCTAGGAAAATAACTCGTTACACTCTTGTTTTTTAGAGGTATGTAAAAAACCTATTATTGTCTTAACAATATAGTCCAGGGGCCGAAAACATGAATTATGTTTTTTAAGTACCGCTTTTAAAAATAAAACCAAAACCAGTATACTTATTGTTTGCACTACGACACGAGGCAAAAAATCTACCAGTAACACCCCCGTTCTGTCCCAAAAGACAGTACACATAAACTTTCAGGCTGAAATCGTTTGCTTTAACTTCAGTTTCTTTGGCAAATGTGTATCCCGCCAATCCATGGATTGTTTTTTTTTTTTACTCTGGTGTAACATAAGACACCCATGTTTCATCGCTTGTAACAATTTGACTTATCAAATCCTTTACCCTCGTAGCGCTCAAGAAAAGTCAATGCACTGCCTAGACCCTTGGTTTTGTTCACCTGTCAACGTTTTCGGCACCCAGCGTGAGCACAATTTTCGGTACTTTAATTTCTCAGTCCCAATATCATAAAGGACACTTCTCGAAACTAAAGGAAACTCATAAGATAATGATGAGATCGTAAACCGTCTGTTCTATCTCACTTTTCCATCCTCTTTACGCAACAATTCATTGGTAATGACAGATGGCCGCCCAGTGCGTTGCTCATCATGAACGTTGGTGCAGCCGTCTTTAAATAAATGCCCTTACCCACTTGCCTACTATTGATTGATTGATTGATATTTATTGGCACAAAACATACAGATTATTACAGGATGTATGTACAGGTGCTTCGTCATAAATAAAATTGTCCTTATACAAGTCGTCTCTTTCCTTCTAGGTTAAATACATTTTAAAACCTCCGTTAAAGTTTAGTTTTTATTCCGTTTTTAGTTAGTTTAGTCCGTTAGTTTAGTTTTTATTTCGTCACTCATAATGTTCTCGCCATACACTTCACTAATTTGGCGATTTATTTCAATGGCTTTTACACCTATAGCACTTAAAATCTAAATACAGTGCACACTTCACAGTCGACGGCAGTCTCAATTGGCGGCACCATTTTGAATGCTTGAAACCGGATGTAAACACGACCAATTGTTGCTGAATGTCCGGCGCAGGCTTGCCAATAGATGCACATACACAGCGCAAATGTCCAAAATGCCAATCGCAGCGCTGGAAGGGAGAAATTTAAAAACGATAATTAAAAAGCCTCGTATTTAGTCTTTTCTTATTCTTTACGAATCTCTGTCTTTTATTGGTCCAGAACCCTAGGATGTCAGGTAGAAGTAGATCGATAGTAAAGGGGAATCAGAATGGTTTTCACTTCAGTGTTTTCATACTAAAAGAACAAAAATCCCCCTTACCAGGACAAGAAAATCCTCTTTACGTAGTATGTAAATCCCGTTTTATGCCACAAAAAATTTGGTTAAAATCCTGTTCTATCTCAAAAGTGGTCTTTTTGATTTATCATTACGAAATAGGCTAGCTGATTTTAATACTATGCTAAAATAATTAATTAATTGTGGTTGATTTTTATCTGAAAATCTGTAGTCAAAATCTAAAATCCCGTATTTTGTTTGAATCCTGTGCATGATCTAATCATCAGTTTTATAGAAAACACTGATTCCCTTACTGAAATTGTAAAAATTCCATTTTAAAATACTCAACACAAAAATACATTTTTCAAACACAAAGAACAATATTTTTTGTTATGAAACTGCACTGTACCAACCATGGTGATGAACCCTATGATCATGGAGCCGGTTTTGAGTGAACAGCCGCAACAACATTCCTTGAGCATGGGTAAACCGCTAGACACCATGATGCTGGTCATCGATCGGTCTTCAACTCGGGAATCTGGAGATAACTATAGATTGTAAACAACAAAAAATGGTGTGACTAGCGGTGAATATAATATTCGGTGTAGGATAAAATTGTTTAAAGGAAGTGTTAAGCATTGCTGAAGTGTTGTAAAACAACCTAATCACATGCAGAATGCACGATTCAAGCCAGTTTGTACTGAAATGAGTCTGAAAGTAAATTATAGCTGTTGACTAAAGAACACTGTTATTAAAAAAGAACTGTTCTGTAATTCTTGTAAATTATTTTTGAATTATTGATGGAATTTTTTTTAAAGTTGGTGTCAGTAGAGTTAACTGTAAGGAAGGACCATGAGGTCCTAAGTTTGCCTCAATAAAGAAGGATTTTCAGTTTATTTCAGTAAATAAACTGCCAGTTTTTAAGAGTAACTTGAATTCTGAAAACAGGAAACAATAATGTTTACAAAGGAAAACTAAAAACTATGAACAATATAAGCCAACAATTAAAAACTGTTTGGTACCAAAAACAAATTAAAAATCACAGATACAAAATTTAGAAACAAGGGAACTTAGCAGTTTACCTGTAAGTTGCAAAGAAGTTGAGTGGGTAATGAGGTTTATCAGCAACAAAGGACTTCTGACAGCTGATATCCTTGTTAAAGTCCTTAGTAGATAAGGCTTCTGATGTAACGGATCACAACCTTGAAAAAATATTCTAGAACATGGACAACATACGCCCACTTGATAAGCGATTGTAAGCTGGGTATCCTAGTAGAGCGCGGCTTGTAATCTAAAGGTCGTCAGATCAATCCTAAAAGAAGTCAGTAGCTTTTTGATGGTTTGAAATTGGGCCCAGCTGTCCCTGATCATTGGGCTTTTAATAAATGATCATGAACAATAAAACAGCTGATTTTAGGCAGCTATAAAGCTTTACATAGCATATCACTTTCTACACTTGCATTACATTCATGTATAGCTAATCAATAGTGCTTAACATGAACTGTAAAAAAGTAGTTTATTTTTTACACCCCGAGTTAAAACTGTTAAAAAGCATTAGAATAAAAATTAACTTAATTGAACAGAGCGGAGCTGATTTCAGTTTCTAATTTCCGTCAACAACGGCAACTTTTTAACCAAGCAAAACAAAAAGAGTAACTTATTAAAATATTGAACTGCTCCATAGATGGCATGTGATGTGAGTTCAGTATGCAAAAGTCTAGTGTTATTGTGCATTCTTCCTTCAGAAATATTTGAATCTACAACTAAAACATTTTAATGTTCAAGTTTTAGAAAAGCCAAAGATTGATACCTCCAAATTATCTTTGAAACCAAAAACATGGGGTTTACTTGCTTATTGGAATTGTAACATTTAATAATTAAGTTTTTGAAAAACCATAGAAGAGGCCTGCAAATTTAGAGAAACGGTCATAAAAATTACCATTTAGAAATAAATGTGGAAGAGGGGTTGCATAGTAAAAATATTCTGTGAAAATAGACTTAACATATTTATTTAATATTTGTGCATCATATAATACAACAGAAACACAAGGATAAAGCAAGTAAAAGTAAAATTAAGAATATAACCAGAAAAAAATTAAATAACTAAAATCACTATAATGGCTCTGATACACAGCCATTAAGAAAGTAATATTTACAAAGTTTTTAGTAAAATCCTTTGGTTATATAGGTTATAGTTTAAACAAGCATAAAATATGAAACATTGATACAGTATAAAAATATTGTCATTTTATCCTCATGAGTATACTAGGTCTAATATGGTTACAATGATTTTTCACACAATATGTTTTCATATAAAAATAAATGCTTTTCCTAAGTTCAGTCACGATCAAATCTTTTTCGAAATTATCAAATATTTGTCACTAAAAAAATAAACTCTGTTCATCTAAAATATGTAAATGCAACAATCAAAACAAACCCTACTTCATACAGTTTTCAATTATATTTTTCAGTTTGATTATAATTATACACCAAGCTTCAATTTTGATGAAACTATTTTGATGAATTGAGTTTGACTTTCGAATGTCGTAATAGTTGTATTTATTAGCACAATTTTTTTTTATATCTAGAGGAAAATAGTGTTTTTTACAAATTCCTTAAAAAGTTTAAAAAATGTTTATCACATTAACCCTCCGAGTGTCCATAGTTTAGGCCTTAATGTCCACCTATTTTTGGCCCCTTTGCAAGGTTTTATTAAAACGGATCTGAGAAGCTTAAAACAATGTTAATTATAATGTTCTATATACCATTTTGTTTGGAAAATCATGGGCTTCAATATTATATATAAAACATAAGGAACATTTTTTCAAAAAAAAAATTTTTAGGTAAAAAAAAATATAATTTCGAAAATTTTCAAAAAAAAAATAAGTTCGCGCTCAATGAAATTGTATAAATTATAGGCCTATAAATATTTGAAAATAGCCACTTTGTTCTAAATTTAATGAGGATTACAAATATATAATCATATAGCGAGGTAAGTTATCAAATAAATAAGTTATGAGCGAAAAACGTATTTCAGTACATAGCGTTTAGCTAAGAATGCATAGCCTAACCATAGCTAGGAATCTGGCTGATAATTTACATCAATATCACTACCTACTTCTTCAGGATCATCAACCAGCACTTCAAAACCACTTAAATCTTCTTATAATGCACCACGTATATCACTACTTTTGATTTTTAACACTAAAACAATGATAAACGTAATAAAACACATCAGTCATCGGTCCGGGGGAACCTAGCTGTTTACAAATACACGCACGTCAGCTGTATGCTACAATATTTTCGGAACTAAAATGACTAGCGCTTAGAGACAGACCTCTTGAGAAAGCTTAGAATATTACGGAAAGAACGATACCTAACTCGATCCAGTTCAATCCGATTCAGTCAGTCATAGAGCCTTCGCCGTAAACGATGTTTGTGCGTCTTAAAAGCGACGCGTGACCCTACACAAAGTGTGTTGTGCGTCGTTTTTATGACGCGTGACACTCGGAGGGTTAAAAGAATTAACATTCACAACATCAGATTCATTACAAAATATCAAAACAATTTTATTATATATTTTTTGTAATAGAACCCTGTACTATGTTCTTTTAATTCAGCACTAAAGTAGTGTTGACACTTTAAATATACAATTTCTTATTTATCTATAGTCATGAATTATTCTACACCTGCATTAATTATTCAAACTACACAAAAACCGAAATAAATTAGTTTTGAGTGTAATTATTTACCCTTAGTAAAAAAGTGTGTTACACATTCTCAAAATAAATAATAGACTAGAGATACAAGGAATTTAAAATTGGGGTACATAGAGCTGTCACAGAATGTACCATAAATAATGTTAGTTGCTGACCGGGAATGCAGTAATAGGAGTATTGTATTGAGAATAAGATCTGTCAGTATTGTACTAAGAATACGGTGATTGAGTTAAAACAATTTTTATCTCAACTCAAATATTGTAAAATAAGTAAATCCAATTATGTACGACGTTTGCCTTTCAGCACAAAGAATAGGTAAGTTGAGTTATGTTTTAACAGCTAAGCCAATGAGAGCACTGTTTTTTGTTTTAAAAGACAAATGAGTCAATGATGACGCTTTAATAGCTCTCCCTAGTGGACAGTAAGAATTAAGCAATGACTTGTTAGTGCTTTGATTTTTTAAATGCTTAAAACATTTTAGTTTTGTGTAACTTGCATGCAATTTGAAAATATTTTTATATCTGCTTATTGGTTTACATGTTATAGTATAGGCATAGATAAAACATACTCCCTTAGTAGATTTCTCATCCTTACGGAACAGCTAAAGACAATTTTATCGTTAGTTCTGTGCGGTTTATGTAGAGGTTGTGTTTTGTTTACAATTTGTTTCCTGTTGTTACAGTCATTAAAAACCTTGTTTAACCAAATAATACGATCTAATCATAAACAATAACTTGTTCCCTAGTTATATAACCAAACAGGGATGAGAAGTCTACTTGTGTTGGTTAGTCTATGGTATAGGCCTATAAACATCTTTTGTCTTTACAATGATTTACTATTTTACATGATTCAATAAAATTGAGTTATAACGGATAACTCCAGTTAATACCAATTTAAAAATCAGAAACAGAAACAATATTTCAAACCTCTAATATAAATAAAAATACTGAAAGGCAAACGTAGAGAGAATAAACAATAATTGTTACCCATATTCAACACTCCAATGATCTTTGAGATTTTTTTACTCCAAAGCAAAATGCTGAAAAACTTTAAACAATTATTGTAAGACCATTATGCATCCAAATTAAAAAGATCAAATAAGCATATCGGAAATGGTAACTAGTTTGATAAACAAGAGATTCTAACACATCTATGAGAATATGATTGAAATGGTTCGTTGCATACCCTGGTAAAACCCACAAAAGTTGTAGACTTGACATTAAATTCTAAAATCACATGAGTTTGCGCTGTATCATGGGAGTTACGCTGCGTCCCCGGAGTTGCTGAGAGTCTGCGGTAGATTCTTCTCTCTTCGTAATTCTCGGAAGTGACTGTACACGATGAGCACACAGTAGTACATCACCACTGGAACATTTGAAAAGTAATCAATAGCCTTGTGTATTCTATTATAGAAGTAGATTCACTCACCTTCATACATGTACTTACTTTGGGAAATATAGTCAAGAACGTATAGATTTCTGGTAATTGGTGAAATAATAAATTTTTCACATTTCCCCCCTATTACTTCCTCGTCAAGCCCAATCACGGTTAATAAGAAGAACTGGCTTGTTCTTACAGTTCAGACAACATTACAAAAATTATCGTATCACCATTCGCAGTAGGCTCGCCGTTAACAGAAAGACGATTCGCATTATTCCAGTCGCTCGTTCTTTAAGTACAGACAACTAAAAGGAAATCACGATGATCAGCAAATGGTTTTTTCGTTAGCTGGTGTAAACAGTTCAGATGATGTTACTAAAATAATAGGGTATTCTCAGTAATCTATTTGCTGGGTGGTGATACTTCAGTAATAGTATTATTTATCCTGTTAAGTTAAAGTACCTGGGGACCGAGCTTTGCTCGGAGAAAATCATTAGTTCACTCTGAAAGCAGTCTTAGTATCGGAGATACATAAATCTGTTCCCCAAACTCCACATGGCTCGCCTTTACAACGTCCTACACCATTTCCTACGTCATGGACCTGTTTCCCTCCATTCCCATAGCACTTTAAGATTGTAGATACCTTAATCTAATCGTTATTAACAGTTCCCACACTCCGGACAGCTAGCCTTGACTACTTCCTTCACCACTTCCAACGTAGCGGACCTGTTTTTCTCCCTTCCCATAGCATTTCAGAATTGCAGATACGTTAATCTAATCGTCATAAACAGTTCCCACACTCCATACTAATCGCCTTTACTACTTCCTTCACCACTTCCTACGTCGCAAACATGTTTCCCTCCCTTCCCATTGCATTTAAAGATTGCAGATACATTAATCTAATCGTCATAAACAGTTCCCACACTCCGGACAGCTCGCCTTGACTACTTCCTTCACCACATCCTACGTCGCGGACCTGTTTCCCTCCCTTCCCATTGCATTTAAAGATTGCAGATACCTTAATCTAATCGTCATAAACAGTTCCCACACTCCGGACAACTCGCCTTGACTACTTCCGTCACCACTTCCTACGTCGCGGACCTGTTTCCCTCCCTTCCCATATCATTTTAGGATAGCCCATACCCTTATCTAATCGTCATAAACAGTTCCCACACTCCGGACAGCTCGCCTTGACTACTTCCTTCACCACATCCTACGTCACGGACCTGTTTCCCTCCCTTCCCATAGCATTTTAGGATTGCAGATACCCTAATCTTATCGTCATAAACAGTCCCCACACTCCGGGCTGCTCGCATTTGCTACTTCCTTCATCACTTCCTACGTCACGGACCTGTTTCCCTCTATTCCCATAGCATTTTATGATTGCCTTTACTACTTCCTTCACTACTTCCTCCGTCACGGACCTGTTTCCTTCCCTTCCCATAGCATTTTAGGATTGCAGATACCTTAATGGTATTCGTCATAAACAGATCCTAGACTTCGCACTGCTACCCTTGACTACAATGTCTCGAGTAATCTTAAGTATAATCAATCTTTGGTATAATCTTTGCTCAATATTAACAAGTGATGTTTTTCCTTTTGTACTGTATTTGTAATTTGCTAGTATACTGTGGGTAGTTGGTTTATTATGAACACGTGCTACTACTTCAAGTCTTTTGTTTACCTTTTCCTTGTTATTTAATTCAACCAACATGGTTACTTAGCAACCCATAAGACTAATGTTAAAAAAATTTGACTTTCAGTTTCGTTTTTCTACGTAATTAGATTTTTGTTGGCAGTTCTAACTGCATGAAACTTGTTTTTAGGCCAAAAATAAACTATTTACAAGATTTGAAGAAAATCGTCGGAGCCGTTTTCGAGATCTTTCTGCAAGCAAGCAAGCAAGCATACATACAAGCAAACATTGCTCGTATTAGAGTATAGGATAACGCCCACCTCTACTTAGATGGTTCAGACAGCTAGAAAGACTATCCTTTAACTGACCGAATTGAACTGTAACTCAGGATAATAACCATTCCTACTCCTTTAATATATTTAAATAAAAGATTGTGAAAGGTTAAAAAAACTATTGCAAAAACACTCAAGAACATTAAATAATTTCTACAAGCAAAAATCTCTTAAATAAAATTTGTGTTCATGTAGACAACTGAAACCCAAACGAATGTTAGGTCAATTATTATTACTTCTATGTTCCTTGATATGTTCTGAATCAATGCATGTATAATATACTAGATTTTTTGGAGCATTTTTGATTATATAACAATAGTTAAACACATATATTGAAACAGACTTTTAGCATTTAGAAAAATAGCGGTTCTAGGGCTATGAAAACTTGAACAATTGCTACAGTAATTGACAGACTTGAACGTACAACAATTGAAAACTGGTAAAGCGCAAAACAAATGTCTAAACTCACCGACTATGAGCCAAATGATGACCTGTTCAAAGCTAAACTTGTGCAGCAGCAACAGGAAGGCGATGAACGTAAATATCATGGTGAATGCGGTGGTCAAGATGGCCCAGGGCAACACATAACTCGGCTTGTGCTGTAACATAACACAAAAACATGAAGTAACAGTATCAATTTTAATTATATTTAACTGAGGTTTACAAACGCTGAAAGGTTGATTCAAGAGTTTGTTTTGTTAAAAACAAGTTTGTGAGTGATCTGAAGATTTAATTTTGGCATCAAAAGCAGAAAAGGATTATTTAATGTTATGTAAAAAACTTTAATATCACGCTGATCCTTTCAATCTGGAGAGGAATGTATTTGGGGAGTATCATTTGTATAACGACAGCATCCTAGAAAATCTTTCAACTACATGAGGATGAAAATAGAAACTTTTGACTATGTTGTCCAAATTAAATTGTCAACATCCATGTTCGGACCCTCAATACTAGCTGAGGAAAAGGTCTGAGATATTATCGCTGCTCTCAACAAACGTTAGGACCCAAGAGCAAACAACGGCGCAGCTCGGACGTAAATAGACGCATTAGAAAGCATGTCTGTATTATACAGGGTGATCAACTCAAGGAGGCCACCATTGGGATATCGGAAACGGTAAGAATTAGAGAAAACTTTAAATGGGGGACATTCCTTTATTTTTTGTGGCAATTAAAAATATAATTTTAGTTTTTCAAAATTCAGCCGCCATTTTCCAAAATGGCGGCCAACTTTGAAATTTCTTATGGAACACCCTGTATTTTATCATGTTTTCGGATAGAACATGCAATTTAAAAACTTTTTTATTCATGACATTTTTTCGATAAACCCACTCGTTTAGGAGTTACAGCCTATGGAAAAATGACTTCCGGTGTACATTTTACATCATGTAGCTAAAAAAAGTAGGTTTATAACGAAAATGCGAAGAGAAAATAAGTCAAATAAGTCTTAAAATTGCATCCACATTCCATTAAGACCATAAAATACACAGTTTTCCACTTTTCAAGTTTGCCGCCATTTTGGAAAATGGCCGCCATTTTTAAATAATAGAATTAATATTTTTAACGAATTTTATGGACTTTTTGGAATGTGGATGCAATTTTAAGACTTATTTGACTTATTTTCTTTTCGCATTTTCGCCATAAACCTACTTTTTTTGGAGCTACATGACGTAAAATGTACACCGGAAGTCACTTTTCCATAGGCTGTAACTCCTAAACGAGTGGTTTTATCGAAAAAATGTCATGAATAAAAAAGTTTTTAAATTGCATGTTCTATCCGAAAACATGATAAAATACAGGATGTTCCATAAGAAATTTCAAAGTTGGCCGCCATTTTGGAAAATGGCGGCTGAATTTTGAAAAACTAAAATCAAATTTTTAACTGCCACAAAAAATAAAGGAATGTTCCCCATTTAAAGTTTTCTCTAATTCTTACCGTTTCCGATATCCCAATGGTGGCCTCCTTGAGTTGATCACCCTGTATACAAGTTGCTAGGATTTCAGCTCTGACATGAATGCACCCTTACACTGTTTATTTTAGTGGACCTCTTTAACCAAGCTCTGTTACAGACTTGTGAACTCATAAAGACAAGAACTGTGTCCTGGCTGGAAGGAAATCACTCAGCCATCAAACTTAATGGCTACCAGTTTGATTTGAAACTGTTTGAGGAATTGACAAATACTAGATTGTCCTCGGTGTGCCAGTGGTTACGCCTTACTGTTAATTTACTGTTATTCTGGTCCCATTTTAGTGAACAAATGGTCGATTATTTTGTCCTATGAATGGCCTCCTCTTCTACGCATCAGCGTGGTTAAAGCAACAACAAACTTCCTAATCCATCCATTGTGTCCTCTTCTCAATTTCCTCGGTCAGTTTTCTCCGGTAGTCTGGAGGAAAATCATTTTCAGTAAAGCTTGTGACGAAATCTTGGTAAAAGTAAAGCCTGTCCTTTCAACAACTCGGGCATTGCTTTGAGCATAAAAGCCGGCAGTCAGTGAGTCGGTGGCTCAGTCGGTAGCGTCGCGGACTTCGGGCCCAAGGCAGCGATGTCGTGGGTTCAGATCCTGGTCACTGCCGATAACATTTTATCAGTACAGTTCACCTTTGTACTGTACCAGCTCACTCCTTGCTTTGCTCTATACGTTCCACGCACGGGCGCTTAGTCTATGTGGACAGGTAAATGCAAGGTTAAAAGAGGCCGCCAACCTCTTTTATAAAAGAAAGAAGAAGAAGGATTCATAAAGATTTGTCTAACTCTATAAACAATACTGGTTGATGTTCACCATCAAACTTTAAGTTCCATTTCCCTACCTGATTGCAAACTTCTTCCATAGCATTCAGGTTTTTTTTTTGTAGGAGAATAGCCTTGAGGAAAGAGTCGTAGCGTAAATTAGAAGTTATAAGTTTTGTATATAGTTCAGACCTTTTTACAGCTAGTATTGAGGCTGCAAACATTGACAATTGAATGTTGACAATTTAATGTAGACAATGTGTAGAGAAAAGTTTATAATTTACATATAAAGTTGTATTTAATCAAAGCTAATTACCTCTTTAACCCCGTACCACAGCAGAAAGGCCAGAGTTCCATGTATCCCAGAGACGATCATTGTCATGACAGCAATCACCTCTTTATCTGTAACATAGACAACCATGTTTAGAGAACATTCAAGCATAAAAGGAAATTTCCCGTAGTACGGCTACCACTGTATAGTTTGTATGTAACAATTAACCATTAAAGGTTTAGGTTAGGTCTCAGTTCTAACAAGTGATGTGAGAAAATTGAACCTGAAATCAAATTTTATATATGTTTGGAGATTCAATCAGTGATTTGGAAGATTCAAAACCAAGTATTGATTCAATTGATAAGCACTCAGCTGATTAAAAACAACAAACCTCACGTGAAGGTGATTAAAATAAAGAAGCCACACGATTCTCTAAACCTTAGTAAATAATTTATCTTCTAAAATATAGATTTTCTGCACTGCTGGTTGTACGTAGTAACCTGTATTTGCCACTAAAGTTACTCACAAGTTTCATCATGATGTTGAGCTTCTGTGTCTGGGTTCCTCAAATCAATCTCTGTACTGATGATGTAATACAAGGAGGTGAGGAATATAAGACTGCTGAGGCACTGAAACATAAGGTTATAGTCAGTACAATCGTGGAAGAACTAGAGTACAAAAATTAAGAAATAGCTTGGAAAATTGTGGGTTAACTCCTCATTTTACAATAAAGTTTTAAGCCTGAATTTATATGTTTTTGGCTGGTTGCACCTAAGTGATTCTTAATAAACTTTTGATTTATTTTCGGGTAAATTGTGCAGTAGCCTATGAGCTTTACTTTTTAGCGAATTTCCCATATAGGGAATAAGCTATTACCGTAGTACTCATGGTAAGACCTGGACGCGGGACCGATTTTTTTTTTCGTTTTGAGGTCCCTAGAGGCTAAAAACACCATCTGTTCAAATTCATATATATATATATATGTGTCCGTCAGCACGATAACTCGAGCAAAAATAATCCGATTTTGATGAAATTTGGTACAAACGTGTAAACGTACGTTTATTCGAACGAGTTTGCGATCCAGCATGATCAGACCATGGGAACGGGGGTTTACGGGGGGTTTTATGGGGTAAAAATAGGTTTTCCCCATTTTTGACCCAAAAAACATAAAATTTAGCAATTTCTTTCCAAACCATTTTGTAGAGCTTAAAAAAACAAATAATTTAGTATATTGAAGCGTTATTATGCGCCTAATGGTTAAGGAGAAAATTCAAAAAAATTTTAAATTTAAAATTCCCATGTTATTCTTATGGAGAATAAGTAAACTGTTGTAGTTTGCTTGTTTGTGAACATATTTTGATAAAATTTGGAAAATGTTTTCATTCCTTACTAACTATTCACATTTTACAAAAAAAAAAAAAAAACAGTTTTACCCTCCCTGATGCAGCAAACCTAAGTACTTGTTAAACTAATTCTATTTAAATCAAGAATAAATGTTATATTTTTAAGTAGACATTTCAGTGTAAATCCAATCAGTCAAATGGAAATTTGCTTAGTCTGCAGGTTTGCTGCGGCGGGGGTATTAATTATAAAACCAGAGAAAAATACCAAAACATTTAAAGTGTAGTTTCTTCCAGCAGACTCAAAACACAACCTGATTCAGACACAAGTTATTCTAAAAAAAATGTTATAATGACAAATATATAAATAACTTTTTTCTACATTTCCTTTACAAGTATAATTTAGCTGTTGCCTTTTGGTCAAAACTTTTAACCTGGGATCCATTAGGCTTTTAAGAAAATATCTGATGACTACTGATTTGATTTTGAATTTGATTCTTGAGTGTTCCATTCATCTGCGTGGTTAGAGCTGTCATTTAATTGATGAGCAAACTATTAATAAAATTTGTAGGTGTCAACTCAGTAGAGTCTCAGTCTAACATCACAGCAAGGGCAAAGTGTTGAATTTCATCTGACGATGCAGTTGGGGTTAAATAACCTGTGCATATTCACACAAATACACACACTTGCATGTGACAATTGGACAAGCTACAAACTAATAAATTTTAAGTTTTACTTACAAAAAATATGACAGAGATGATTTTAGCGCCAAGGGTGAGGGAAACTCCACAACCGCAATCTTTAAGCTCTGGAATCCTAGCGGTTACCATCCTAAAACATATAAAGAATAAAATAAGTTCTTGGTGTTTTTACTTAATACAACTGTATTAAAATAAATCTTTTAAAAGTCAGAGGCAATGAGATTTGAATATTATATGGCTTTCAGTGAAGAATGTTTTTAATTATGAGAAATGTTCTTTGCCTGAAAGACTTGTCCTTTGTTGATAAGGTGGAGTCTGAACCACTGAGTCATGGCATTATCACTAAGCTACAAGCCATTTGAGATTGGCATGCCCCACCTTAAAATCACCTCTAGACTCACCAGCCACGTCCATAGAGTGAATTAACAACGGTTCCTTAAATAATACAGGGCTAAAATATAAGTAAATATATGTCAAATGATTTTTAGTTTAAAGTATTTTCCAGCCCATTGTAACATTTCTTTAGGTGAAATAAAATACTGTATTATAAATACATTTTCATAACTCACCGTGGTAATACATAGGCTATTTTTAGCATATGACGGGTTAACAAAAAATTGGTTATCCGAAACGGCTCTCCCCCCTTTATTTGGGTTAACCGGGGTTCTACTGTATATACTTTCTTATTCTCATGATAGGTTAAAACTGTTAAAAGTCTAAAACTGAAAATTCAGAGCTTAAATGTTAGTATAGAATATTTTGCTTTCGTATGTAAGGCTTGTAGTGAAATTTAACATAATCCTAACACTATATAATTTACGGTTTGAAATAGATTCTATATCCTGTAGTAGGTTAAATAATTAATTAAATAGGCTAAATAAATAATTGGCAATTCTGACATATTTGCTATTTGAAAACAAAGACGGACTTTCAAAGTCTCAGGCCAGTGTTATAGAAAGCAAAAATGTACTCAGTCAAAAATAGTTCTGATGTTTGAAACATAGTAGACTATTTTAAAATCATAAAACCTTCCCTTGTACAAAAGTCCGTGAGAGATACACAAAAGATACCTGTCTACCTAGACAAGCAAAACATATGTTTGTAAATATGTTATGGTGATGGCCTTGAAACTGTCATAACAAGCAATGATAATACTTTAAGGTACAAAAAATGGAAACTTGAAATCTGAACCCTTCAACACCAAAGAACCTCTATTGCATATTGTTTTGTAAAATCATATAAACTTAATAACCCTTAATTATTGCTTGGTTTACCATTATACCAATAGATAATGGTATAAAATAGCCACGATGTGAAGTAAAATATTCAATTTTGATAGTTCATTCAACATAGTTTTAACCTTGAAACCTTCATTACATCCAAGAATTATTTTTACTCTAAATGTAAAGATTTATCATAGCTGTTTTCAACATCATAAACTATATTTTACATAAATATTCTATCAACATTCGGATTAAGACACAAATTTTTACCTACTTGTTTCGCTGAATAGAACAAAGTGAATTAGTTATCCACAAAAGCACATAACACTATAAACCAACACACCACAACGTAGACAGTCAGTGGAAGCAACTGAACACTGAACTGAATAACAGATGATTGTGTGAGAGAGATACAAGGGGGTCCTATCTATCTTGTTTACTGGACTGGTCAGTGCTCAGACTGATGTACTGTATTGTCCTGCCTCACTTGTCACAGTAAATAAATACTTGACAATCGTAAATAAAGATTTCATTGACATAGCTAAGCCTACTAAGTAATAAATAATATGACGCATACACAGCCAAAAATATAAGGGTTAACAATATTGAAAGTAATTAAAAACTAAAATCCAAGTTATATTTTAACCTTAAATTAATTTTAAAACATATCTGCTTTACAAATAAACCTTAGGTAGGCTAAATGTAATGATGACAATAATAATGACTCATTCCTTTTTTCATTTAGTTCACGTAAAAGAAAATATTTACTCTTATAACTGATGATATCGTAGTTTACATGGTTATTATACTAGGCATTAATATGACTTTGGCTGGTTTAAAATTGTGTCATTTTTGCAAGCAATCAGTATTTCACCAACACACTGTTAGTGGATAAACTAGACTACATTCATTTCCATTCTAAATCTGACACGGTTAACATGGGTATTGAATGTATAAAAGAAGGACTATCAATAATCATAAATTTTGCTCAATTGATAAATATCTGAACTGTTAAGACTTGAAACTACGATAACTCTGTACAGTAATTTCATAATTCTTTTCGTAAATATTGACGACCACCCAGTTATTGTACTATTTGATGGCAAATCAAATCCTTATCCTCAAACAGTGTCTAGTCATAACAAATAACTTCAGTTGTGACTTGTGTGACGACAGGAAACGGCCGGGAGGAAGGAGATAATAACCTCCTACATAGGGGCAATAATGCCAACCACTAGGCAGCCACAGTCACAGCTGGATAGCAAGACATAGATAATGTTGTCACACATACTGCTGTAGAGTGACATAATTTTGCTGAGCGAAACCATTGACTAAATATAAATACTAATTGATACAACAGTACAGGGTTAACTGGCTGAGTAGCTCAGTGGTTATAGTGCTCTTAACAATCAAAAGGTTGCCGGTTCAATCCTGAGAAAAACCCGAAACATTTGAACTGGACACATCTGTCCCTGATTGGCTTTAATTAAAAAATCCTGGCTAATGAAACAGCTGATAATAACAAAGCTACACAGATCATCTCACTCCGTTCTACACTCACCTCACATTCATATTTAGGTCTAACTTAAAGATCACACCAAGGCAACCGTCACCGTCTTAAAGTATTAATAATTATATTATATTATATAGTCGATAGCGGAACCAAGACAGGCAACCTCCTAAGGAAGGAGTAAAATTGAAATCATCTACAAAATAATCTTTTCTGCAAATGCTAACATTTAGTAATAAAAAAAAAACTAAATGAGAAACTTTAAGGGCATTTCTATAACTTACTTTTTGGAATCGTCCTTAACTATCTTTTGTGTTCTGACAGCCCTTTTGTGAAACCTGAATATTTGTTCAATAATTTTATGTCGGTTATCATTGCTCTTATAGATTTCATTTTTATTTTTGAAGTTTAATGACTTTTTACTTTTTGCAGAGGCATACATTTAGGGTTAGTTTTATCAAACAGAAGTGTTTTAGATATTTGGAAATAACAAGAATTTTGGGACCCTGGTTTTTGGGACTAATTAGAAATAAGTCTGTAACTATCATTGTTTTGTATGTAGAAGCCAAAATTATTATAAATACATCACAATACACTATTTACTTCTTTTAACCAATCATAATCAAAGACAATGAACAATCTAAATCTACATTTTGAAGTTTGAGGTACGCCGAAAATGTTAACAAAAACAACACTTTCTCTACAAGTGTTAAGGAGAAAGTTCAAATCCAAACTCAATTTCACTAAACCTATTGTTAAAAGACAACAATGCACAGAGTAGGCTAAACAGCTAATCTTTATTGTGACAACGTTTTAAAATCTGATCTAATATATTGTTCGAATATAAAAGATATAATTTTATATTCCATCGTAAAATTAATAACGATAACATAAATATATTCTGCTTCTAATCCTTTTTCAACATGGAGCATGTTTCCCAACAATGACAGATTGACTAAAACAATGGAGCGAATACTGTGACATCATATAGTAAGTGCTTATTATTTGGTGACCTTCAAACAAAATTATTGCTTTGCATCTTGACCTTCTTGACTCAAGAATGGACAAGGAACAACCAAAAATAATAGATCCCCACAGACCACAAGAGTCTAGAAGTTCTAAACTGAATAAGATTGAATTCTCAAATCATATTGTGCCCCATTGAAGTCTGAGATTGTTGAATGGTTAGTTGATTGACACCGCGGTTATTGAAGATGTCATATTGGATGTGGGTTTTCTATGTCACTTATTCCTATCAAAGCCCTTCTACCATCTCCTATCAGTTGATTGAGTTAATCAAACACAACAGATTTTTTCAACTTGACGGTTAAGCTTAGTGTCATATCTTTTTCAAACTCCATGGGCTTGGTTATGATACTAACATTAACATAATAACATATAGTTCATCTTTAAGTACTTTAATGGCTTCCCAATCTTTGCTTGATGCATTTCCCACACAAACCTGAGACCCTTGGAGGGTAAAACGGAAGTTTAAAAGAGTTTGTACTGACCACTTGAAAAATTACAAAAAAAAAAAACATTTCTATAGGCCTATAGTAAATTTTTTGACTCTTCTCTATTTGTTTACTAAGTAAAAGTATCTTTCAATATTAACAATTTAAAGATAAAATTATCACAGCAGTGAGAAACAACTGTGAAACATGGATGTCTAAACATGGATTCCTTGAATTTTATGATAAACTTTGAGGTCGTGGTCTGCAGATAAGTAGCCTGCTGATAATACGTTAGGGCTCTGAGATCACAGCCATTTGTTGTACCGTTTCTCAAAGGAATAAAATATATTTTTAAAAATGTTTATTAAAAAAATATTTTGCAATCTTAAGTTTTTTATCTGACTTAATATGTCTGTAAGAAGATGAAAAAAATACCTGTAAAGGGAAAGCGTACAGAACTAACCATGACTACAAAATAAGATTTTAAATTGGTCTTGATTTAAAGCCTAAACAACATGGGCTAAACTTGTTCAATTTGAGTCGGCAATAAATGGGAACTATAATAAATTGTTATTTTAAATTGTTACCTATTTGTTGTTATTGGAGGGTGGAAGAATGGAGTGCATTTTTTAAGCCGTTGAAATGTTTTACCTATGTTTTTTGTAAGAAACGGTCCAAACCCTGGTTTTGTTAAGTACTAACCAACATGTTCCTTTTAGAGTGTCATTTTCAAATATTTTTGATTTTATTTCATCCCTAATCCCAAATCCCATGTTATTGCAAATCTAGATAAGAAGTCAACCTCAATTGCAAAGTCTTAATTTAATTTTAAGCTGTAATCAACTGACTCATTATCGAGGTTCTACTGCATACCGTACTGAATATGTTGGATGAAAAATAAAAACAATATCATTGAATTTCACAACCTTAAACATCCGTTTTTTTTTTAATTAATAAAATAAAGCCTGACTGACAACCAAAAAAAACCTAACACAGGATGAGGCTTTACAAACAGTTTTTAGCCTACTCAGAGAATAGCTGAGTCAAATTACTCCGCTACCAAACTACAATTGAGATTAATCAGGCAGAGGCTGTGGAGGCTATTGCCGTGGCAGTGGTGTGATGTCATAAGTAAACAAACGTGCTGGTACAAGTATGCTCCAAGGTCACAGTCTGGTTACAAAACTCTGCAATGACTACAACACCCACTTTGCAGAAACTTTTAACTCACGACTACAGTTTCAAACTGATGCTCAAACCACATTTTGAACTGTTGAAGCTAAAATGTTGCTTTCACAACAATCTTTTGTAAATTTTTTATGACGTATGACAGAAAACATTAATTCTCTCGTGGGAAACATGTAAGCTTAAGTTTGAGGCTTGCTATGATTTTGAATTAAAAATTGCTGCTTGATATTTTGAAAAAAAATGTTTTGTTTGTCTAAGTCTTAGAAAAAAACATATAGGCGATTGACAGCAAACCAAAAACCTACAGTAAGTCAGGAACCTAAAATGTATTATTCTAGGGGAAAATAAAATTAACCCTAAGACATTTGACATCAAGGAGTAATAACCTAATTGCTCTTAAAGTCAGAATCAAATATTAACTAAAAATTATAAATTTTGGGTTGCAAGTGCAGTGAGAACGGAGTTTAACAAATGTGATAAGTTATTCATTGACCCAGAGCAGATTTAAACCATGTACTTGTGAATCAGCAGATATTCGTCAGCAACAGAGATCAGATCATATCCCCACCCCATCCTTTTAAACTAAGCTTGCATTCATATTTTTGCTTAAAATGCACACCTAATTTTCAAAGTAATTTAATTGAAGGAACTTTATACTACAGAAAGAAAGGTTTTTCTCCCTGGTATAAGTTCCCAGCGCCTCAATATGCAAAGTTTCCTCATCGCTTATTCCATTGGACCAACCTTATCGTTACCATTAGGAACAAGATTGTAGGGCACATAACTGACTTTACAAATCAATCTAAATAATTTAATGAGGGCTTCAAATGACTTAATTACTGGTCCTAAAAAAATAAAACAAAACTACTTAGCTGATTAGTCTTAAAACTGTAGGTAATCTGATCCATTTAAAACTCATCCTTCACTCATCTCCCTTTTAATAAGTTATGCACCCCGATGTGACAGCGTTGTAGAATAGAAATCTGGGACAATCAAGGAATAAAAGGAGGTAAAATAGAGAAAATTACTAAATACAAGCATCTGATGATCAAAGTGTCTAATCAAAATTGATCACCATTATGCCTACCAATTACAATTTTTCTAACTTATGCATTTACCGTTTTGTTAAAACAGTAAGCGTAGGCTAAATATATCAAGTGATTATAATTCAATAAACTTAAAAGTTTTGTTTAAGTTACTTAAATAAGTTGGTGCTTGCCTTCAAAAATACTGGTATAATCCCAAGCTGGCTGGTCTTATTTTCATTTGGTTGTTTTTGACAACAGATATGAAAGTCTACCCTACCAATTAGCATAAGTTATGCCTGCCTATTGATATTAGCCTACAAAAGGACGGCGCTTAGCTAAGTTAGTAACAAGACCAAGGTTTGAACGTTCTCTTACAAAAATAGAAGGAGTAAGTTAGGCTACAAATGTTTATTGACGCAATGAGAGAAAAATACCTATGGTAGCCTACTTACCAATTTTCACGAAAACAATAATTGTCATTATAAGTAATTCTCATTGACTCACTTAAGTTAAGGCTAACGAATATCTACAGTTAAATTTTGCAGATCAGACTAAGTTAACTTAGATCGAGCATAACTTAATTGCCATGTCTCCCCTTGACTCAGCTTGGCTTATTTAACTTCTACCTCACCAATCGGAGTCATGCCAATCTGGGCGGTCGGCTCCAGCTGGGTCACCTTGTTAATGTTTTCTTTAGGTATTGAACGTGTTACCTAAGCATGCCTTTAGTAGGCCTAGTTATAGGCTAGTATGGTACAACTGTTTCAAATGGACACCAATTTCTATCAGTGGTTAGGTTTCTAATTTAAGTTTATGCGTACGGTAGGCCTACTTGAACCTTAGGCTACATTTAAACACACAGCCACAAATAAGGTGAAAATTATGTTACTTGGTTAAGGATTTTAGTATAAATTAAGTTACTTAACTTAGTTAGGTAGCGCGTAGGCTGTAACTACATAGCGCTACTAGCGGTGTGCGCCTGAACCTATGGTAATCGCAGCACAGCTGATGGTCTATATTTAATTATTTTTGTCTATGGTACCCTATTATTAAACCTACATTATACCTAGGTAGGTTAATGATCTAAGCTTTCTAATAACAACCACTAATAACCTATATCCAAGTGGTGCCAGGATAGGCCTAGCTCTGATGAATTTGGACTTACCTGTTGAATTGTAGGCCTATACCAGTCGTTTTGGTTGAATTCACAGACCTAACACCTTATAACTTTTAGGCTATAAATTTTAATCCACAAAGAGTCGCTTTAACCAATAAATTACTTCATCTAAATGGAACCTTGGTATCTAGGCCCTAATTCGTATCAGTGTTTAGTTTATAGATGCAATGACAGAAATTCAAATAATGGTTAGTTATCAAGCAAGTCAACACGTCAATTAACAACAACAAATCAGCAACTAGGGAAAGAGAAAGAGAACTAACCAAATCACTAACACAAAAAAAAACAATTACCATATGACCTACACATGTGTAATAATAAAATAATTCCACAAGACGCTGTGGCTAGGCTAAATAGTAAATGCTATGCTACTGCCAGTAAGCAGTAAATGATGTTATCAGCTGTTTGCTCAAAGAAAAAATAGTCAACATTCAACAGATGGTTTCGTTTTTGTGGTTCCGGTCCCACCTATGATGGTCGAGTGAAGACTGAAGAGGCTACACGTGACAAAACTGTCAAAACAAGCTGTTAGTCTTTGATTTTATAGTATTTTTCGATTACTATGTTCACTACATCAAGACTAATTACTATAAAGTTATACCATAGATAAAACAAACTCCCTTAGTAGATTTCCCATCCTTATGGAACAGCTGAAGCCAATTTTATTGTTAGTTCTGTACGGTTTATGTTAGAGGTCGTGTTTTGTTTACAATTTGTTTCCCGGTAATACAGTCATTTAAAACCTCGTTTAACCAAATAATACGATCTAATCATAAACAATAAATTGTCCCCTAGCTATTTAACCAAACAGTAAAGCACAAATCAAGAAATTAACCCTAAAATAATAGAAACAAAATTTCGTCGACACTAGCGCCCAGTGTGGCGTACATGAACTAGACATGAAAAACGAGCTTCAAAATTTACAATGGGATGAGAAGTCTACTTGTGTTGGTTAGTCTATGGTTATACGGAATGGAAAATGGCTATTATGATATTATATGCTATTCATACTATATAAAAAAAAAAATAGCAGCTAACTTCATTTAAGGCAGCCAAAATCATTGATTTCAATCTAATCAAAACAATAATTTTGACAGGAACAGAGTGATGTGTATTAATTTAAATGAACATGAATGTGTAGGATTAAATTAGATACGATGCAGACACACTAGCCACTTGTATGCGCATTGAGATGGGTGAGTAGTGAGCGTTGAATGAGATAACAGCTTTTATACTGACTAGAACCATAGAGTACTGTACTCAAGTTACAGCATAGGGGAGTGTAATTAAAATCCATGTGTGTAGCCCCTGAGCTGTTGGACATATGTAAGACTAAATTACTTAGGTCGGGCTCTGCACTGCCACAGGCGTCCCTTGGAACTTTAGGATTACTGGAAATAAGAAAATGGTGACTGGGCCCCGGGGAACTGGGGTGGGCCTGAGGGTATACTTGGCACGTACGATCCCGGTTATTCTCCTGTCCCTTACCGCACAATGCGCTGGCTCAAACATTTTTGGAATCAACAATTCCAGGAAGCATAGAGTAGAGATCAAACTGGTTTGGCTAGCAGTTAAAGTAGCGGATGGGGACTTCTGACACACTTTTTAACCAGCTTACACGGCGTCGACTGTTATTTTATAGGCAGCTAACAGTACCAATACCAGAGACCCACCTTATTGGTTTCCCTGGTTTTGGCACTGCACGCTGTATGGGGAGATGGTCAAATTCACTGAAGCCATTCAGGCTAGTGGTTGACACGACTCACGTAGAGGGCTGCTTGTGCAACCTGTATACTAGTAGATTGCGGAGTTGCATCAAACTACCTTGAGAGCTAGACAACTTGCTGCCAAAGCCAGGGAACCCGTAGACAGACGTGGTAAATTAAAGGTCAACTAATGTACCAGGGAAGGAGGCCTATAGTTCCATCAACTGGAGAAAATACAATACCTGGGAGAAACTAAAGGGACAGTGTCAATTCCAATGGGTACTTGTTGTTCTATGTACTTGTTGCTTACAAACTTGTAACTAAAAAATGCAGCATATACTCAGGCCCGCTTTTATAAACGGGCAGACTGGGCATATGCCCAGGGGTGCCCACACTAGGTAAAAAAGGGGCGCTGCTTTTGGGTTTGCCCAGGTTTCCATACTGACTCTTAATGGGGCTGCCCTGCATATACTCTCCACTTTCCGCCATGGAGAGTCAAGTCCCTTTTGCGGCTCACACACTCTGCTCTGAGTGTGTTTTCTGCACCACAGGGTTTCTAGTTTACTACTTTTCTTCACTCTTTATAAGAAAACAGCTCTTCCCCTTACAGGTAAGCTTTAACAAGATTATCGATTTCCAATACCATCAAAACATATAATTTTGCCTGTCCCCTTCAAAACCACATTTTTACCAAGTAAACTTTTACCTAAGCCAATCTAGTATATTTCATCACTAGGGCGTAAAGTGACATTTGACACAAGCTCAAGTTGGAAAATGAGCAAGGGTTGATAAACTTTTAACTTATAAAATATAATAAACTTATATAATCAACAGAAGGAGTGTGCCATCATTCAAAGCACTCATTTAAATTTAAGTCATACACTAGATCATCACGCATTTGCAACCCGTTGGTAAATTTTTAAATTGATCACAAAAATATTCCTTTGAAACTATTTATAAGGCAAAACTTTAATACTTAACAATGAAATGGCGACCATACAATGTAGGTATTTAAAGCCAGGTATGAATGGAGATGAGTTGTACGATCTTGCAGTCTTGTTAATGACTAAGGCCGACTTATTCCTTAGACACAGCCGTTAATTAATAGCCCATACAGCTAATGGCAACTAAGGGACCTACAGTTTATAGTGGAATCCGAACCACATTTTTGCCTTGTAATTTACGAATTGGTTTAATTATCAAGATAGTATTACGAATAGTTGTAATACTCACTCGTGCGGACGTTAATCCACACCAAGGAGTATCGCATCCACAGTGCATGCCTATAAATATCCACAATTTGTAACCTCCTAGTAGTTGGATTATAGGACGACGCCACCCGTCCCATTTTAACTTTAAACAATTGCCTGGTCAGCTATTATGCTGTAATAGTATACTGTATGTTAAAACTTGGTTTTGGGTTTCTTCAAATTGACACAGGGTAAAATAATAAAGATAAAAATAATGAGAAAATTTACTTTAATTAATATGCCAACAGCAAACAAACATGAACATTAACATTAAATAAAACAATAAACAGGTAAATTACTTTAAATATGTCCTGAGGGGTAACAGCAGAAGAAATATGTTCAGTCTTATAAAAATGGTAAAGGTAAATAACACAAAATATACATTGCATCATAACTACTAAACCAAATTTCTTATAAAGTCTCTGAGACTTGATCATTCGAGAAAACTATTAAGCTAATTTTTAGTGACCAAACAAATACTTTTTACTTTATCTCAGTGATACCTAAAATATAGGTATATATTTTTTTTACACCAATGAACTTGAAAATGTTAGTCGGGGTGACAGACTAGTTTCTTTGTGCTATTGAATATTACATTTGATTATTTACACAAAGTGTTCAAACCCTGAATTATTTTTATAATAGGATTATTTTAGCTTTAAAAATTCAAGTTAGAATTGAACATTGAATTGTACATAAAATAAATAAAATGTCAGTTCATCAGGATGTAATACATGTTTAGGTGGAATTAGACATCACATACACAGCTATACTTTGCCTCTTTACAAATAACAAAAATATTGCTTTATAAACCTGAGAGTTGTGTTTGAAGGCATTTGGGTTCTTAGAATATCGCTAAAATAGTATAGTATATTTTTGTTACTAGTGACACATTATCAGGAATACTTTTGAGGTAATTGTGCAATTGCTAACTTATCTTATCTAAAGACTATCTATATTGAAGTGCCTCACACCCAGCCCAGAGTGTCCAAACCCAACTTCACTGTCAAACCAAGCAGAGTGAACAGACCAAAGTACCCAAAAGACCCCTTCATTCTGTTCTTTGGATCTGAAAAAACAAAACAGAAAGTGAACATGATACATTGCATTACTAGGTCTGAATGTTCAGAAAATGAAGAAAAATCCAAGCTTTAAGAATGGGTGACTATACAAAACCTGGGTAGCAAAGAGCTTGATATGCCCAGGGGCACCCCCAACCACTGCCTGCCCGCACTAGGAAAAAATGGGGCGCTGCTTTTGGGCTTACACAGGGCTGCACTGACCCATATCGGGGCAGAGCGGAAGTTAAGGCACATACAATAACAAGCTTTATATTTTACAACCGAACATGAATGGTACTTGCAGTGCTGAAAACATTAGGATGGAAAACCACTACAATTATTAAATGCAAAACCAATTGTTGAAATTATAGCAATTGAAACAGTAGAGTGAAACAGTGGAACCTCGATAAAAAGTGTCTCAAAGGGGTTAGAGAAACCTTGTTGAGGGTCGTGTTACCAAGGTAATTTCAGTGAGTAAATTGGGTAAATATTTGAGTAAATGGAATCACAACTGAGCATCTTCATAATGACTGCGTTTCTGAGCAGCAAACACTTTATCCTAAGAAGTGTATTTCTTGTGTGGATATTGTGCAACAAAGTTTAAAACAGGTTAGTAAATAAAATCTGCAACACACACACACTAGTATTGAATTTAGCCTGCACTAGTATCTTGCTCTGAAGTCTGAATTTATGATGCTTCCTCCTAAAATGCTTCTTGTGATAACTGTTTTATACCGTTGCTTGTTGTGTTATGAAGGTTGATTTGTCAAAAACAATTAACTTAGTTATACAGACTCTGAGTTACTTTGTGATTTAGAAAATAGGTGTGCAATTGAGGTTATTCTTATAGGAATATTCATGTTAATGGTTTATGTAATGTTGGGTGTTATGGTGTATTCAAGGGGATTTGAAAAGTTCACTCGTAATAGTGGTGATATTATTGTGGGTTGTGTAAACGAGGTTCTACAGAATATAACATTTCCTACCTCCAGTGTAGTACCCCTTAGCATAGGCAATCCTGCCTAAGCACCAAACAGCGCCAGCAGCCGACGCTAACACAGGGTGTTGTATTCCTCCAACAAACAGCAGCATTAGGAACTGGGGGTAATTCTCCAGCCTAGGGGCATAGCAATCCTATTATGATTTTATAACGTATTTCACTAATTCACTACAACAGTTTTGCTTCAATCCTTTATTAATTGCTTGAGGACTGGAGCCAGCAAAGTGCCTAGGACTCACTTATCTTAGCACACATTTTGAAGTCCGCTGTCAGAGTACAAAGACACATGGATGGAAACCATCTCTATTTTATAGTGTTATTGATGTAGGCCTATTCTCTAATTTTTTAATAGCTACATAATTTTTCTGTGACCTGGACCAATCAACCATTATGTTTCAATACATTTTAGGTCTTTAAATTTACAAATATCTACACTCACTAAGTCAATATTGTCGGATTTGTAATGACAACACAGGAAGCGTAGGTACTGAGTGTTAGAACTCTCTTATGCTATGATGGTGGTGATTAGCCCCATCCCAAGCGGCCCAGATAGAAAAAGTCTGTTACTTTACAGACGGCCCTCATATGGTGGGTGTGTAATAACTATTTTGCACAGGACATTTTAAGAACCACACTATTCTTTAACTTATCTTCACCCCGTCACAAAGCTTCCTTATAGCAGCTAGTGCTTTAAAAATATCAACACACGTGAAATACAAAGAAACTAAAATCAACAAATTGTGGGTAAGACACAACACATCAGGATAAGAAAGAGTAAAAAGCCTAAGTGATACTAGATGACTTACGTATTTTGATGGGCTCTTTGGTAACAGTTGAAATGGTCATTTGTTGGACTGTACATTGTTGGATAAGGTATGCTAAACTTCTTACGGGCTTGTCCAACCTAAAAATCATCAATTTATCAAACTGTATTCGAGATATTGCATATCTGTCTATGTGTAAACCAAAATTTTAGGCCTTTTTAATTTTTGTGTAGATAAATTAATGGTTAGTAATCTCTATAAATGGATAGAGCGCACGGGACTTCGGTGCCCAAGGTCCCGGGTTCAAATCCTGCAGAATCACCAATGGATTTTATCTCCAAGTGATAATGCCGCAAACCCTAGGTCTAGCCTGAGGTAATGTGGAAAAAAAATCCCGTGCCTAGCATCCTCGAAAAAAATAAATAAATAAAAAAATAAAATCACTAGGCCTAACTGTAGCCTAGAACGTACATTTCTCTAGTGGTTTTTATATTACAATGTGAGCACCTATGACATCTCGACCATTAATACACGATCAATCAACTATACAAGGAGTTTAATAAATAATAATCACTAGCAATTTTATACATACATAATAAGCCATGTATAGTTATGATTATTAATCCTAAACTGGCTTTTTCAAAGCAATCAAGAAGAGTTAGAACTACAGATCATAGTCATAACTTTGGTAGCCTACTTACCTTGATTCCTTTCCAAACGAGCATGAACGCTGAGCCCACTCCAACTAATATGACATAGCCATACTCTCTTGGCACAACAATGGTGGCCATTTGGGATCCTGTTCCGATAACTGGTAGAGGCCTGGAAGGAATGTCAACTTTAGTTGTATCAAATAGAAGTAAGAAACAGAGGATACACTTCATACACTTAAGCTAGGTGTCTAGGGCAAAGTCCCGTACCACCCTCCTCGCCATCATGTACTACAACGCTCACTGTGGAGGAAGACCCTGGGCCTTGTGCGATCGGAATTTTCACACAATGCTGATCAGGTCATTTGGGCTCTTCCTTTCCTCGTCTCAAGTATATTTCCACCCCAACATAACAGAGCTTTAGGGACACAATTGTCCCATTAGCATATTTCCCCTTTACCCCACTTCTTTGCGGTTTTATCCAAACTGTCTGTGGATACAATATACAAAAACTGTTAAGTCATACATTTTAACCTTTGCTCCTTATGTAGGCTAGCTCACAGTTAAATAGTGAGTTAATTGTTTACAAAAATATTAAATTCATTTTTAAGTAATGCACGTGACAATGAGATATATTTTTTGAAGCTACCGTATTCTCAGGTTCAAGACCTTAAATGATATAAAAGTAGTTATTACCTTTTTTAACAGTTTTTGAGTTGTAATTGTATGTTACCAAATAAGCATGTAGGCCAATCTTAATCATTACCGCAAGTTAATGGATTGAACACGAACACCATCCTAAACAAATAAATCAAAATGGAATGTTCGTTTAAATAATAAAATAAAAATAGGCCTAAACAAAAAAGAAGATTAAGTTACCCTACAACAGCTCTACAATTTCTAAACTAATCTACTACATTGAAACTGACAAAACTGGAAAAAAAAACATCAACAAAAAAACCGCAACACAAGATAAGATCAAAGCATTCGCCCGACCATAAACCTGGAAAGTTCCTACTCTCAAAGGTCCAACGGCCTAAATTCCAAAACCCCCTAAGTTAGTCCGATTAATGAAACGGAAGAAGAAAGACCTCCTGTCAATAACTTTGCGGCGGCATACCTGTCCTAACAATACTAAATCAACCAGTATGACGATGGTGTGTGTGAACATATTTGTAAATATGATAGACCATAGTTCGTGTTAGTGCTAGGGTGAGAAGACCCCCTGAAGATGCTACACGAGCTAGCAAAATGTACATAGGGCAACTTACAACTACAAATCTAGAACAGGGGCAACAAAAATAAGGTAGCCTAATAAGCTAACTACTTTAATATGATGAGTTATCGGTATATATTTGATACTGAGCTCTAGACAGAACAGACTTAAGACATCAAAATATGTAGGAGGATTACCTGCTATAGGCCTAAGCTGTCTATGTTATGTATTCATTGACAGCACAATTCACTTACATAAACTCCAAGTCTTGCGATTGCGGTGTTGGGCCTAATCGTGCACTTCAGGAAGTGCTTGTGTGTAGATATGATTAGATTTTGACTATTTACTCAAGCTTGATATAAGTACAAATGATAACACAATAATAGGCCAATAACAACCAACCCAACCGTGCAGTGCAGTCACTTGACAAAGATAAACAGCAATAATGACATAAACCTAATTAACAAAACAAAAAGTGACAGACAGCTGAGCTGAGGCTGAGACAGGACAGCTGATGTTGATGATTAGTTCCTCTTCTCCTCAAGTCGGAGTCAACGACAACAAAAAACAACAATAATATCTATTGGCCAATGATTATAATAATTTTGTACAAATATTGTACCATAGATGAAAAAAAGTCTATGATATTCATCAGATCTATAAATAAATAAATCAGCAAAATAAACATCGTGGAGTTGTCACAAAAATGATGTTTTATTACTTGGTGTGTAATTCAAGGTGTGCTGCTAGCTTATTTTTAGTACATGTCTCTGATGTAGATTTTGACATTGTTTAACGATAATCGTATTATATACTAAACGGGGAGGGAAGGGATTCATAATATGCTTGAGTGTAGGACTAAATGCCGAATTTGTCAGAGCTCAGTCAACTGACTGACAGGTAGAATAAATACAGTAATAGGCAAATTGAAACCGAGACAAACAACCTTTCAAATCAAAGATAATTTCTTGAAATAAAAAAAAAGGCTTCTTATCTTTAAAACTAAAGATTACTAATCAACCATCAAACAAATTAGTACAAGTACCAGGGTGCCGAGCCTTGCTTGGTTCCTTGGTAGCGGTATAAAAAAAAAACTTTTACTCCATAGAACCCACCATAACCCCCAACGTAGTCCATGTAGTCCACCGTTCAAATAAACGCAGGTTTACACACGTTTGCACAAAATTTCATCAAAATCGGTTTACGTTTTAACGGACTCCGATAAATTAATAATTGTATATAATTCGAACAGATGGTTTCTGGGACTTAAAAAGCCTACTACAAGACCTACGGCAATATCTTATTCCCTATATGGGAAATTCATCAACGACGTTTCTTTATAAGAACTTCATAAATTATTAAAATGTATGAATTTTGGCCAGCTTTAACTAAGCTGAAATATATATTATGATGGTGATTATCAGTGTCATAACGGCAAAAACTTATTTTCTTAGTAATAACACTGAAACTGATGGGCCTCATATTTTTTTTTGTGTCAATAAAACTTAAGATACGTTTTAAACAAAATTACCTCCAACACATTTATCCCCAAAGCACTAACATACGTTGGTAATTTGATCAATGCTTAATTAGGGCATGTGCTCAACAATATTTATACAATTTTATTGTTAATCTTATTTTTTTTTTTTATTTGTACCTATTATACTTAAGAGTTAATTAAAATATTATTAAATACATATACTATCACCAATAATCCAGTTACACTTACCAGAGCACTCAAGTAATCATAGCGTAAAGATAGAACCAAGAACAATAACGTCTTTAGAACGAAATAATGTCATTTTCACCAGTCAGCTGATTGTTGTATCAGCTGGTGCAATGTCTCTACGGTCCAGCTGTATTTATTTATATCAACGGATACACCATTTACACGGGAAAACCTGTTCTTACGTGTATCTTTGTATTGTTTTGGTATGGTGACTGTGCAGTGATCAGTGAGATAGTGTACGTTGTTACTTCAAAAGTTTTAATTCGGTTAGTGATTATATGGACTTGTGTTGGCTTACTTTGAAAATACTATTGTAGACGGTAAACACATACAAGAGGTTAGTTATGTACAAGTAATAACTAGGGTTGCTTTCAGAGAGTTGAAAGCCAGTTGAGCGGAAAAAACGTGATTTGATATTTGTATAAGTAATTAAATGTAAAAAAGTCAACGATGCTGGTTTTATTGATTAAAATTATAATAATTCAGATTTGTTTTTACTACATCTTGTTATTCAGATACCTCTTCCAAAAGTACATTATGGTAGTTTTGACCAGGGAAATATTATCAGTTTATTTGGTGCAACACAAATAAACAACTCGATCACCTACCTATAACCTACACTTTACCTCCCTAATCTAACCTTACTTCAAAACACTAAAAAATGTAGTCACGAATACTCATAAACCCCGACCTACCTTCCCCACATGCCTAAATTAGATCAGTGTTCAATCCGCGTTTTATTAATAAGTGTAATAACTTACTGCTCCGTCGATGTAATTCAACAAAATATAACCTGTGATGTATTATCGGATTAATTATCGATTTCGATTCGGTTCAATATATCGCTTATTAAATCCTGATTTCCAACATTGACTGTTTCTAATCAGCTGGCAACACAAATAGGTTCCCAAGAAAGTAGTCACTGGTCCGTATCCCTCCGCTCCTTGCTTATGCTCGGCGAATTGAGAAAGTAGTTCCGTATATTTCCTCGATTTTCAGTGAATTCCGTGCCTTAAAAAATGTTTTAACGGCATGGCTATGTTTATTGAAATCATAGGAATGGTTTAAAAACGTTTCAAAGAAAAGTCTAGAAAGTTCAGAAATACCTTATGATTCTCTTGTTTACATTTTGTTTGTAAACAAAAAACTGTCATATGGCTACTTTAGTCCCATAAGCCTAATGTTAAAATTTGGAAATTTTAAGTTCGTTTTAAATTGCATTAGCATTATCTAATTGAAATTTGTTTGTTTATAAACCATCTCACTATTAGTCTAAGTAATCTTGTTAAGTTTGGCTGAAATGTGTTCTGCCGTTATTGAGTGATGTTGCTATATTTGTTGCATTGAAGTTGATCCCAAAGAGCTACGCTCGCTTCGCTCGCTCCGCTCAATTATTGGGAAATTGCTTTTAGAAAAGACGGTTAGTTTAAGGGGGTCACGGATCAAAAAAACTTAAAATTTTACAAATTTGAGGTTTTAGCACATGTTGTAGAGTAGACTTTTACCTTCAAAAATCTGGTTTTACATATGTCCTATGATTAACAGTTTTTTTTATATAAATATTTTTATAAACTGATGTAAGCGCGATTACGCAACGCACCAGCGCGCGAAACACTGCTTCCCTTGACTTACGCAGACATTTTTGGCTATAATAAGTTAATGTTTTTTTTATATAGTAATGAATTTCAAAAATCATAAAATTTATTTCTGTGAGTTGGTAACACTGGCTTTACTTCAGACAGCTGGTCGTTCTCTTACTTACTACAATAACAAAACAATAACATAAACAGTTTGTTTGTTTTGTTTTGAGTAAGGTTATGGTTGTTGTGATATTCACTGTCAAGTAGTGGTGTTTTTAGTTTGTTTTAGTACTGTATAGTATTTTGCAAATATGGGAAGAGCGAAAAAAGTGTTCAAGAAAAGAAGAAACGTTGGAAAACCTAAATTGGTTGAGGGCGAAAGTCCATCTAGGCCTACTACTCCTGACAACCAGACTACACCTAGTTGTGATGATCCTCCTAGCAGCAGAGATATTTCTCTTTCTAAAACTAAATTAGAGAAATATTCTAGTGAGTATGAAGTGAAATACGGTATTCCAACAATGAAACAGAATATGATATTATATGTGTAAAAGATTTTGAGAAGCAACTACAAATAATGGCCAGTTGTAGGTTTTGCCAACACTCCCTTACCATCGAAAAACAACATATCGCAGGTCTTGCTGTCAAAATAAATATATTTTGCAAAAATTGTCAAAATGGCACTGAATATTCTAATTCCAAACCTTGGGATAGGGTAAAGGAAAGGGAAACACAACAAGATCTCATCTATGACATAAATATTAGGCTTGTTCTAAGCTTTAGGTCTGTTGGGCTTGGTTACGCTGGCGCAGAAGTAGTTTGTGGCATTCTTAACCTACATTCTCCTCCAGATAGATATTACATGTATGAGAAATATCTGTGTTCTGCTTCTGAAAAGGTTAGTAATAAATCCATGAAAAAGGCAGTAGATGAGGCAGTCCTTGAAAATGGTGGTTCTAAAGACCTGTGCGTAGCGGTTGACGGTTCTTGGCAACGGCGAGGCCATGTTTCCTTGAACGGAGTGTTGTCAGTGACCTCAGTGGATGTAGGCAAGGTTATTGATGTCAGTATAATGTCTAAATTTTGTAAATGTGCAGGTAGGCTACAAAACATCCACACAAATGATTGTATTGCCAATTACAGCGGAACAAGCGGGGGCATGGAAGTTACAGGAGCCACAGAAATTTTTCAAAGATCCGAGGCACGTTATGGAGTAAGATACACCGAATATCTTGGTGATGGTGACTCCAATGCTTTTTTAGCTGTTTCTAAATCCAAACCATATGGGGACAAGGAAATTGAAAAAAAAGAATGCATCGGACATATTCAAAAACGAATGTATGCCAGGCTAAAATCAGCCAAACAAGCTTCGGGATATTTCCCTACAAAGAATAGCCGCAAAAGGAAATTCGCTCTCAAAATGACTGATGCACAAATGAAGCAGATTCAGCTTTACTATGGACTTGCTATAAGAAGAAACACAAAAAGTGTGGCAGCTATGAGGCAGGGTATTTGGGCGGAGTACTTTCACCTATCTTCATCCAACGACACGCCTATGCACAACCTTTGTCCTAACGATGACGACACATGGTGTAAATTTAATAAAGCAAAACAATGTGGAGAAATATATGACCATAATAAACACTTTCATGTTCCTGCAGCCACAATGAAAAAAATCAAACCTATTTTTAGTGATTTGTCAGCCACTGAACTTTTAAAGAAATGTGTCAACGGTAAGACTCAAAATCCGAACGAGTCATTTAACAACATTATTTGGTCTTGGATACCTAAAAAGACATTTGTGGCACTTGACACACTCAAGTTGGGTGTGTTTCAAGCAATAATCAACTTTAACGATGGGGATATAGGAAAAATTTGGACACTAGAAGAGTTGGGCCTTCGGCCGGGTAGGAATTGTGTTGCGGCGATGAAAAAACGCGATGAACGCCGAATAAAGATGGCAGAAAAAAAACAACGAGAACTTGAAAAAAAGGTACGACAGAAGAGAAGCATCCTAAAAAGAAAACTAGAAGACCAGTTTGAACAAGAAGAGGATCCTGACAACCCTGCTTATTGTCCAGGATCATACTAAAGGTATTGTGAGAAGTAAATATTGCATGTCTTTCTTTATTCTTTTACGTATA